CTCGCTGCGCACACACCCTTGGTCCATATACGATGCCCAGTACCTCTTCCTTGCCATTGTCGCCATCTTCTCTCTCTCTGTCAGCGAAGCCCCAGGCCCGTTTGCAAAGACCTTTGTCGCTGCCCTGCTCATGTCCGGCCTCTGTCTACCCATTACCAGACAATTCCTCCTCCCATTGCTCCCGACCTTGACATGGTTACTTTTATTCTCAAGTTGCAAGTACGTTGCTTCTTGCTTTCTTCTCTCTTCCCTCGAGCACATGCTAACCTCACCAGATACATATCCCCCGAATATCGCCCTGCAATCTGGGTCCGCGTCCTTCCTGCCCTCGAAAATATCCTCTACGGCGCAAACCTCAGCAATATCCTCTCGGCGAATAAAAATACCATTCTTGATCTCCTGGCCTGGATCCCCTATGGAATCGTACACTACGTCTCCCCCGTCGTTGTCAGTGCCTGCATGTTCATCTGGGGTCCACCCGGCACCCTGCCCATCTGGGCTCGCTCTTTCGGTTACATGAACATCACCGCTGTTCTCATCCAGATCGTCTTCCCCTGCTCGCCACCATGGTACGAGAATCAGTACGGTTTGGCGCCGGCAAACTACTCCATCATTGGCAACCCAGCCGGTCTAGGAGCCATTGATGCCCTGTTTGGCGTCGACCTCTACACATCCACCTTCCATGCTTCACCCATGGTCTTTGGCGCCTTTCCCTCCCTGCACTCGGGATGGGCAACCATGGAGACGCTGTTTATGGGTCACGTCTTCCCCAAGCTGTTCCCCGTCTACGTCTTCTATACCATGTGGCTTTGGTGGTCCACCATGTACTTTTCCCATCACTACGCCATCGATTTGGTTGCAGGCAGCCTACGTACGTTTTACACATTTGCTTCTTCTTGTTTTTCCTCGGCATTCCGCTAACCACTATGAACCAGTCGCTGGCATCTGCTATTTCTTCAGCCGTGCCAACTTCCTCCCTCGGCCCCAAGCCGACAAGGAGTTCCGCTGGGACTACGATTACGTGGAGATTGGTGACCCAGCCGACAGCGCCGGTTACAGCATGCTTGACATCTATGAGGAGTTTCAACCACACTCCGACTCGGATGACTGGGCCAGTGGCTCGTCTTCCTCCTTTTCCACCGGTGGCCGCAGCCCCCTGGGCGCCCACTCACCTGTTGACGATGCTCAGAGTCTCTGGGACGGTGATACCGTCGGATCAGACACTGAACATCCCCGCAAGGACTAGACCCTTTTATCCTCTCCCCGCTGCCCCACCCTTGACTCTTCCTCATACTCGCATCTCACCACCTACCGCCCCAGTGACGGCCTCTGATGACCTTCATGCATAGGAAACGGAGTTTATTGTTTGCGAAGCATTTCAGCGATCCACCAACCCTTTGTGGTGGATTTTAACGGCATAGACACATTGGTGTCGCTCTTGCACGGCGAATGATTTCTTCATCGCACCAGACCCAGAGTCTCGCGCTTTAATCATTCTTCCTCACTTTTGTCTTTCGGAAGGGTGCGCACTGTGGATGCGCCGGATCTATTGCACAAATTCGGTTTCTTTATTTCTTGTTATTTGATACCCAAGTCGGTCGCTTCTGGCATTCTGGCACTGTTAAAAAGTACCGTTGTATACATTCGCTCCAGCACCGGCTCGCCACTTTTATCTTCTTTTTGCGGCTGTGTGACTGTACAGAAGGAGTTGGGGATGGTAGAAGGGAGGAGGAAGTAAAGAAGGGAGGCCAAGGAACCAGCCAGGCGATGACAATGTTAGGGCAAGAGCTTGATTTCAAGTTTTGTCTTTCTGTCGTCAAATGGACGGCTCGTTGGAAAGGGAAATTAAGACGCTGGTTCTGCGCTGCAAAGTGAGCAGAGGGATCCCTCCCCCCTCCCCCCCTTACAAGACTTTGTCCTGAGGGGGACAAACATCATTAGTAGTGGTAATGCTTAATGGAATGGAAAACGATTTTCGACGATGATTTGAATACACTTCTTTGTCTTTGATGATGTGGTGATAGCTTTGTATGTATGTATGTATGTAATCGTATAGGCTATAGATAGTCTGGCTTTAGAGTTTACTAGTTTACTCTAGGTTGGTGGGGTGGATGGGGTAGATGATGGTGTTCATACTCATGTACGTGGGCATGTGTTGATGCTTTGAAGGGAAGATGGCTTGTGAATTGGAAAGTAAGTGAGTGAGTGAGTGGCTTTGTGAGCGTGTAATGAAAGTAAAATAAGGGGAGGAGATTGACATGGGACTAGGGTGGAGACTGGTCATCAGAAGGGGGGAATGTCTGTATTCCTAATAGAGTACAAAGTCTCTTCCTACACTTTACATTTCACTCCTACCTCGATCCAAACTTCACACACACCACCAATTAAGTACATCCACAACTTGCATCCCCACACTCTACATCCGCCAATACCAACTCCTCCCCTCCCAAAAAACCCCCCTCCTCCATCGCCGCGCCCCCAAAACCACATCTTCATCATCATCGTCTTCATCATCCACATCCCCACGCACCCGCCTCAACCTCGTCGCCCCACGCCGCCTTAGTCTCGGCCGCATCGTCCGGCCACGCACGCACCGGTCCTCGTCGTCTTCCAGTGGACTCACTGTCCGGTAGTCGGCGGGGTGGTATCCTGGGCGCGGCATCTCGTGGGCGTTGCGGGGAGGGGAGATGTCGCGGTAGGAGGGGTGGTAGGGTAGGTAGCCGGAGGGGTGGTGGAAGGGGTTCATGGGGGGGTTTTGAAGGGGGGGTGTGGGTGGGTGTGGGTTTTGTGGATGGGGTTGGGGGGAGGGGACTGGGGGATGTAGTTTTTATAGATGGGTTTGGGGGGAGAGTTGAGGGTGGGGGTTGCTGGAGAGGGGATATATGATATGTGGTGGGGGAGTGAAGGGTGAGATTGTGTCTCGGTTGTGAAGTGTCTCGCCATGCGTGGTTGAATGGGGGGGAGGAGGGGGATGTGGATGACAGTTTCTGGTCTGGGAATGGGGGGACTGAGTCATCGATCATGGAAGGTGTGATGTGTGGGTCTGGGGGTTCTTGACAGCGTTGAAGGGTTGTTGCTGGCCATGTGCACGTCACGGACTTCATCACAGCGCAACGGTACAGCGCATTGTATGGCCTGTGAGTTTCGTTTGCTGGCTCGAGTTTATAGAAGGGTACACTGTGTTCATACCGTAAGAGAGAGGTTTCATTTGGTAGACGCCGTGATGGCGACGATTCTGATGGTTTTCCTTCACGCTCCCTGTTACAAGTGAATCATACCGAAACATCCTCTACGAATATTTTAGCCCGAGACATATCATGATCGACCTTTCAAACGTCATCTCTGTTCTTCATACAAGTCTCAACTAGCTTCCACGCCTTCCCAGTCATTTTCCAATATGGTTCACAGTCTAAAACCCACGACGACACCATCCAGCCTCGCCATAAAAAAACAGCATCCACCCAAAGCATCACGAAAGAAACCATAAGCCGATCAAACAGGCCCATCTCCTCACCCCTCCCCCTCAAAGAAACCCCACACCTCGAACCCAAACTCCCCCACCACCCAAACCCACACCATGCAAACCTGGCTCTTCCCCACCCCCTCCTTCACCCCCTCACCCTCTTACACGGCCTCGCCACCCTCTTACACGGCCTCGCCACCCTCCGCCAACGCATCAGCGACCTCGCAAACCTCGAGCTAAAACTCTACCACAAATCCCTCAACCTGCTTCGTCAGACGAGCTTTCGCTCCAGGCGGTCATGTATGCAGGCTGCGCTGGGTATGCGCCTGTCGAGCGGATGTGGGAGCAGCTGGGGCGGGCGGAGTTGGAGAGGTTGCTGTGGAGGGATGTGCTGGTGTATGATGGGCTGGCGGGGAAGGTGGGGGAGTGGAAGAGGGGGATGGATGGGAGGATGGGGAGGTGTGATGGTTAGAGGTGTTGGGCTGTAAAGGGTAGGAACTGTTCTTTTGCTGGATATGACGTTACCTGGTGAGGACAGGGACCGGCCATGGACGTGACACGAACTACCCTGGAGATTGTTTGGTGCCATGTGTGATAAACCCGAATTCTACGCCGAGCAATGCGTATGATAGACGCCAAAGGTTGGGGAAAAGTGCATATTCTGAGAGCCCATGGGAGATGAGATTCTTTTGTGAAACAGCAAATACAAGACATAAATCATAATAGCTTCCTAATACCCATCACCCTTAAAATAAAGCCAGGCCTATTGACTCACCCATTGTGATTTCCATGCCCACAATATCATCCATCAATCGTGTAAACCAATGTAACCCACTGCATAGCCACAAAAACTGCAACGCAACTCTTCAGTCTGAAAAACCATGTCCCCCTGTCCAACCCCTCCATACCTGCACTGAAACCGAACACCCTACAATCACAGTTTATGCCACAACTAACCCTATGCCATCCAGTCCTCGAGTTCTGCATTTTCCCATCCAACGTATCGATTGAAATCATTCGAACCCGGGTCTCCAAGCGACTCGGACGCGTGATCTTGGCTAAACGGGGCGGATGCGTCCTGTAGGGCAACGAGATGCTGGACCTGTGGCTGGGGGTGGAGGTTCCCCTGGGCGTCTCGATCTGGGTTGGGATAGTTACTGTGCTGGAACGCCGTCGGATCGGTTTGGAGGTCAGGTAGTGGCTGCTGCGGCTGAGGGACAGTCGACGACATGCAGACATTCAACGGCGCGTACGTCGTAGCGAGTAGCGGTTGCGTTGGGACATTAGAAAAGGAAGGTGATGCGGAATGATTTGAGCCTTGACTTTCTTGCCCCGGAAGAATTTCAACTGTCTTGCGCAATCGACACACAATATTGTATGCGCGCTCGCTGACGGCGTCCTTGACTTTCATGCAACGTAGCCACCTGGTGAGCTTATCTATGCTTGCGATCACGTTGGGCCGTCCAACCGTGGCGTGTATGGAGTCGTGTGACAGTTCGAGAAGAAGTATGGCAACGGTTTGCATGACTAGGTACGGTCAGTGAAACCCGTCCATTGTGAGGGGTCGAAGCCCACTAATATGCACGATTGACCACCATGGCCCCCTGCTATAAAGCCATTGTAGATTTGGTTCTTCGGAGAATTTGGAGCAGAGATTCAGAGCAGACTGTACGCAAATCTCTGCCGTCTTCTTATCCAAGCCCGTCATTCCTTCACTCTGGCTTTCATTGTGCATATCTATTCGGCACAGACATGGTCGTGTGATGTACATCTTAGCACTTCCATAGTATAGGTACAGCGAGAAGTGTTCACGCCTGTTTGTAAGTGCCGTGGATGCCAGTAAGCCGTGTGGAAGAGACTGTAAAGCCCACTCCTCGAGCTCGGGGAGCAAAGTTGCAATCTGCTTTTGTGTCTGCATCCACGAAATGTTGCTCGTGCGAGGAGAATACAATGTTGTCAGAACCTTGTGCATGACGAGATCAATCCCGATATAGCCATTGAGGAATGACGCCCTCGAGTCAACTACAGAGGGGCGAGAGGGAGGTTCTGAGGGCTCAGTGGGGCTGCTGTCAATCCGCGTGAAAAGGTGAGAGGGTCGTGTGTTAGCGTCGAGTGGCCGCTTCTCAGCCCCAGATAAAGCTCTTGGTAGGATTGCTGTGATGTCTCTGAGACTGATCACGCGTGGTTGTCCCGTCACGGAGGTCAAAAGAGTCTCAATCGAATGTAGTGCCCACCATGTTTGCGAAAGTGTGGTTTTACGCTCCAGGGACAATGAGGGATCTTGGTGCCTCAGGTGTAATCCAGCCGCTTGCGCATGACGAATGGATATGCCGAGTGTGTACCATGCTCTTTCAGCCATGTTAGCTTCTGTCCTTTGTCGGAATAACAGTAACTTCTCCCATTCTGATGTGTAGGCTTCCGTCTACGGTCTGACATGCGAGCAGTTACCTAGAATTTTGTCACCTACCTGTGAACATATCCGATCGTTAGATAGTAATACGACAATAGACCAGTTGCCTTTATGAGTTCAGCATGGCTCCTCAATTTTGGTACTAAACGCACCTGAACAAATGATAGGTCCGGAGCTAACACTGGCGCACTGAAGGATCCGAGTTCTAGCAAATGAACGGCTCTCCACATGTAGGCTAGGTGACTGTGGAGGCGATCTAATCAGTTGACGAATAACACCAGACGGAATTGGACAAGACTTACTTATGGTCTTCCGCCTGGGGATCGTCATCGATGAGCTGAGCATAGCGTGCACCTATTGCGAACACAAGGTTCATACAGGCCTTCCATTTCGAACAAACGGACAGCATTGCATCCCCTTTTAGAGCGATATAATATCTGCGCAACTGGCCTGCAAATGCATCACCGAGAACTCGAAAGGGGTCGTGGACGACCGAGCGGTAATGCTCGTATAGCCTTCCTGCGGTATCCGCACATGGTACGATATTTGGATCGCCAATGTCAACGTTGATATCTGAAGCATCCAGGTAGAAATTGAACTCTGCAAACTGAACGCTCTTTATTGTCCCTCGGGACAGGAAGGGCGGGTTATCGATACTATCGTCAGAGTCAGTCATGAGAACAACGGTGGAACTGTTTGTTTCTGTCCTTTTCCGAAGACTATACTGTTCTGTCCGCTTATACAAGAATTGTAGCCAGTGTACGGGAGACTCGCGCCCCAGAAGACCTGTACTGTTGACTTGATCATCGTGTAGTACATTGTCCTCTAAGAAATTGAGGCCCTGCAAACAGCTAGCAGAAGCGACAACGGGTGCTCTTTTGGAAAGTGTGCCATTGTCATCTGCGTGATCATCCTCCGCAGAAGAGAAGTCTCTCCTGCATCTTTTCCCAAAGACCTTGACTGATGCATGTACTGCGTTTGGCATGGTTGAGAACGGGGCGTTGGCGATAGTCTTGAGCACTTCCTCCACCTTTTCCCTCTTTTCTTGATCATCATGAACAGGACTATCTTTCAGAAGCTCAGTCAACATGTGATTCCGTTCTAAAGCCCTTCAAATGATTAGGCCACGTGTTATTTTCCATGCTAGATATACGAACTCTCTGAGACGATCTCTGCGGACCTGGTCATACCGGCATTCCAGGTTCTGCTTGACACAGCTTTGGCATTGTGGCTTCTCTCCAGAGCATCTCGTTTCTGTAATGCATTAGCTCGCACTACGCGTCCACACGAGCTCATGGTATGAGTAGGTTCGTGAGGATGTGAAGATGTGCCAACTTCGCTTTCGGCATTGAGTACACTGGCCGATGATTAGGGTTGTGGATGCCAAGCCAGAGTGGCTAACACTTACTGCCGTGCTCACTGCTTTTGTAGGTCGAACACTTGATTTAGGGGCTAAATTCGTCGCTTCAAGTCGCTTCAACGTCGGAATTGCGACCTTGCCTTTGTGCCGGTGAGGGCTATCATGTCGTGGATGGTTGATATCCATTTTAGTGGAGTGAAAACGCTATTTTTACCGCGATTCGGCAAGGCAGCGACGTGCAGCAGCCGCTGTGGACCCTCAGAGAAGCATTTGTTGTCTGTCACTTCAGTTGACAAGTAATGAAGACGTGATTTGCGCGCGTGTACGGTACAGCTCGCGTATATATGGCCGATCAGCTTTGTTGTTGGGAAAGCTGACCAGTGGGCGCCATGCATTATTGGAACTCGTAACGGTACAATGAGAGCCTGTGAGGCAAGAGAGACCGGAAACGGAAGTAAATCAGCCTTGATTGGTACGGGGAAGACTCCCATCGAATATATGATGAGTACCATCGGTAGTATCGTCATCATTGCCTCGCTACTCACCTGTCCTTTACCTTGGGATCAGACTTGTTGTGAACTGGCCTTGTATGGAAGATTACTGGAGGACGCAGGGGCAGAGAGCGTAACCTGCCAAATTGGATTTGTCGTGCGTCTCCGGCGACACAGACAGACTGCGTGGTGCGGGGACTGCTGAAGGCTACCATGGAGGTGAGCACGCTATCGATGGTCGAATGATGTTGGAGTCCAAAGTTACATTTCATGACCCAAACTATGACAAACGAAAGCTGCGTAGATGGGAATTCCTGCAAACGACGTCATCGGTTTCACGACCATCTCAACGAATTTGGCAAAACATCCTGGTAGGCCAACAGCGCTGGCGGAACCCTTACCGGTACCGCGTGATCGCCGGTGCTCCGAACAGGATTCGCCACCATGTGCTTGTCGCAACGACCTCCGAATGGCAGTGGCAAACAGTTGTGTGATGGCCAAATCTTGCCCATCAATGTGTGATACGAGAGAGAGATTAGCTACATGAAGACGCTTTGTTGTTGAACTCCTCTCTAGCGAACGAGTCGGTCGCAACGAGAAGCTTTGCCTAGCTCTGGGAATTGTACCGGTATGGTATTGCCGAACATTACAGTCTATGTACTTGCCCAAAACCTCTTCTCAACGCCCAACGCTTGCGCGTCAAACCATAGTTGAAACTGGCACACTTAACGCGATGATTTATCAGCCCTCATGCGTCGTTCAGCCCATGTGTAGAAAATACTTCCATCGTAAATACCACGGATATCTTCCTGTTACTGGTCAGTTTCATCGCTCCATCAGCAGAGAGCCCCGACTAACCTTCATCATACGCCCATCCTCTGGCCATAGCATAAGATAGGTCGCAAGCCCTAGCCATATTAGCACATCTTTCAAGACCAGTGGCCATTGTGATATAGTACTCACATTCGAAGAGCGCACCACCCCAGCCGACAGGATCGGCAATACACCGCTGTCCTTTGAGGACGTTGCTCAGATCCCAGATGGTCAGATAGTCCCGTCCAGCAGCATATTTTGCAAATATATCCTCGAACCTCTGCGGCACAAAACGTCCTTCGTGGTCATAAGTACCCGTGTCGCTACCATGCTTGTCCTTGTGTATATTGGTTAGGAACAAGCGGAAGAAGGGATCAGGCAGCCAGCCCGAGCAGGTTGGATAAGAGAAGTAGTTTACAATGGTTTCGAGTGACATGCAGGATGCAGTGCAGCGAGAAATATACGGTTTGCACGTCTTCACATGTCAATTGTTTGGCAGCAGTTTCGTCGAGATTGCGTCATGATCCGCTCAATGTCTATCTTGCGTTGACAGAGACTACTGTAACCAAGCACTGGAGGTTTCTCGTCTGATGGAGTACTATAGAGTACGCGTGCTGACTGTAAATGCGTCCGTCTTGGTGTCTGCCTACCCGCCGCTACTGTGCCTAGTACCCGGTACCGGTAAGTTGCCAACTGTTGCCCAGTTTGCCCAGTTTGCCCAGAAGACAATGGCTTGCTCATTCATGCGCAGACCGTGGATGTAGGCCCTACTAGAACTAGAGCGGGTTAGCCTGCTCACGTGGCATGTCGGCATTTGAACAGCGCCTGACCGTCGGCTACGTCAGATGCCGAGAGCCACGACGCGCACTTTGGGTAGCGTGCAAAAGAGGTTGGCAATGGCGAATTGCACAAAAAGGCGATTGTTTTACGAGACTACTCTAGAGCCAGCCGGCTCGAATACCTTGCTTCGCTGATCTCGCCACGGTCCGAATAGGCAACTGGCAAACCAGAGGAGCAAAGGCGGTTGCATACTCTAGCATGACACGGTGTGCTCCGAGGCAAAGCCCATGGCTGGCGGGGGCAGTTTCTGAGTGCAGGCCAGGGTCGCGTCATAGCGATACGTGAATGCTGTGGCAAGTAGCCAACGGCTTGTCGACTAGAGTAGTATGTAGCAAGCTCCAATCATACACTGATCAACAAGGCGACTTGCTACTAGGAGTACTCTATACGTGAGATGATGACGGCAAAATCCCCGATTTTCTAATCGGCCGACTCGTTGGACCTCCGTTGGTGGATCTGAGCTATACCGGTAAGGCCTCCAAATGCCGCTGCACTTGACAAATCTTCGTTCGCTGACAGCTTCTTCTCATCTCGAACATCTGAAATCGAGAGCAACAACCTTGTACCTTCAAACCCACACCGATCCCATTGACAATGTCGCAACGAGCAGCTCTCCTCATTGGCAAACTCGCACATACAGCGAAAGAGTGGCAAGACGTGGCACAAGTCGCGTCGAAGCTGCACGAGTACCCAGATGGCAATCGCGAAGACTTCATGGCGAAATGCAAGAGCGGGGAATTCGACGGCGTCTATGCACTCTATCGAGGTAACGACTCCAACCCGATCACGGGAGACTTCAACGCCGAACTCGTCCATGTTCTTCCAAAAAGCCTAAAGTACATCTGCCACAACGGTGCGGGATACAACAACATCGACATCGCAGCATGCACACAGAGGGGCATTCAGGTATCCAGCACACCCATCGCAGTCAATGATGCGACTGCAGATGTTGCCATGTTCTTGATGTTGGGCGCGCTCCGAAACATCAAGCAGTCTTTCATGGCCGTCAACCAAGGTGCGTAGCCAACGTTTGAATCCAATCTCTTAGGCTCCTCGACTGACAATGGCACCAGGGAAATGGCGGGGAAACTTCCAGCTCGGCCACGACCCAAAGAACAAGACGCTCGGCATCCTCGGTATGGGTGGCATCGGCTCAGCAGTCGCCCATCGCGCAAAGGCTTTTGGCATGAAGGTTCAATATCATAACCGGAATCAGCTCTCGCCCAAGGAAGAGAATGGCGCAAGATATGTCAGCTTCGACGAGCTGCTCAAGACGTCCGATGTGATTAGCCTGAACCTGGCTCTCAACCCAAGCACGAGACACATCATCGGCAAGCCAGAATTCGAAAAGATGAAGGACGGTGTGATTATCGTAAACACTGCGCGAGGCGCATTGATTGACGAAGCTGCGCTGGTAGATGCGCTCAAGAGTGGCAAGGTATGGACGGCCGGACTGGACGTCTTTGAGGAGGAGCCCAAGATTCACCCGGGATTGTTGGAGACGGACAATGTGGTACTGTTGCCTCACGTCGGAACAGGCACCTTTGAGACACAGGTATGCGAGCCGGTTCTACTGCAAAGTCAAAACTAACAACACTTGCACCTAGCGCGATATGGAACTCCTTGTCATCGACAACCTAAAGTCGGCAATCCAGAGCGATACACTGCTCACACAAGTGCCTGAGCAGAAGAAGGACAGGGCAAACATATAGAGCCTCGAAGAATATACGCTATAATGCATCTACGACAACTATGACCGACCTCTACAACCCTCCGTAATCATACTCTCTTCTTTGCACGTCCTCTCCAGCCCGTTTCCCATCCAAGACTCAGATACAAGTATCACACCAACCCAGATGAATAAACGATCGTAACTCGTAACCCTTGTTAGAGCAGGATGCCGTGTAATCAACGCCAGCAATCCGCCTCTAGAAGTGCAAGAGTAAGATGAATAGGCAAGCGACAAGTGCAAGTACAACTGCAAGTCTAAATACAAAACCAAAGCCCTCACACCTTCTCATGATTCATACATGCACCCTCCACGCCCCATCACGCACATAATCTCGCCGTCATGATGGTGCCATATGGCCCTAGTACACACTGGAAACTGGCACACACTGGCACACACCTTACTCACCGCACCCCCCAAAGCTCCACTCTCCTCCCGCTCGTCCACCCAGCACGCACTCCCTCACCACATCCTCCGGAAAATTTCCACCCGTAAAGTCCTATCCACACGCATACAAATATTCCCGCCCATACCGGACGGTCCACCTAGGGATCAAAGCTGTACAAGAAAGCATCGCATCGCATTACATCACACACCCCATCCCATCATCCATCCATCCATCCATCCCAACCAAAAAAAATGCCCTCTCCAAGCCCGCTCAACAAGCAACGCCCAGCCCCGGTCCCACCCGCCGGATACACCCACCCGCCCGCCTTTGTACCTAGGTAGCTGACTGCAGCGCCTCGGCATACAATACCTAGCAGGGCGCGGCGAGGCGCGCCATCGCATCGCACCACATGTACACCTCCTCTTCTGTTGCAGTAAAAGATTCGTTCGCTGCGCTGTGTAGATGGATGAATGTATAGATGAACGAGCTGTGCGAATTACATGGCACGTGGTCTCTTTGCACTACCACTCCCACTCCCACCACTAGCCCCCCAACCCCCCAAACCCCACCCGAGATCAGGCGATACGACACGAGCCCGACGCGCCGCTGCACAGGGGTGCGCAGGGCGGGGGAGCGGGGCGGTTCAAATGCCGCGGGTGGGAGCGGTGAAGTGGTGTGGGCGTTGGGGATTGGAGTGGTAGTGGTAGTGGTGGGTAGGTAGGGTAGAGGAGAGGAGAGGAGAGGACGGTAGAGGAGGGTGGAAAGCTTTCTGTGTGTATGTGTGTGTGTGTGCGTGGGTATGAACGACGCGGGAGAGGGGAGGAGTGTGTGGGAATGGCATTGTGTTGTACCCAGGTATTTCCAGTACCGGTACATCCCAACTCCAATCGAACCCAAAATCCAGCAAAAACAACAACAACAGCGCCTATTAATCCCAAAAACAAACAAACAGCACAAACAAACAGCACAAACACAGCAGAAACAAGAACAATCATCACGCCAACTCCTCCCGAAACCAGTCAGAACCAAGCATAGCACGAAACAGCCAGCAACAGCGCCCTCCCTCCAACAAGCCCGTTTGATGGTGTACCGGTATGGGATGGAATGTATACACCTGCATAGCGATAGATACAAATACCCAGACACAAGCACAACCGCACTTCCCCAACCCTTTGCAACTTGCCACCAAGATGGAGTGAAAAAACCCCAGGAACCCAATTCCACCACGATGCATACCGTTATCGCCGCCGCCATACCGGTATCCCTATCATGACATTGTCGCGCCGCTGCATCGCTCTTCGCTCCACCGATCACACCAAACACCAACACCACAAACCCCCCATAATACCCCCACCTCACCCACAACCCATCCAACAACAAAAACAATGCAAAAAAAATAATACAGTGGACCCACCCTCCCCCAATCCAGCGGCCTCAGAAAACCCGGGGAGACGGGGTTTGAAAATCCCCTCCCCCCACCCTCCCCAGCCATTTCGGCCTGAGAAGCCGCGACGTCGGGTAAGTTTTTCTGGGGCGCGGGCTTTTTTTTGGACGGGGGGGGGGAGGAGGGGTGGCTAGGTTGCATATATATATAGTGTATGCGTGTGTCTGTGTGTATAGTTTTTTTTTGGCCTTTGAGACAGTAGTGGGAAGGAAATTATTTGAGTAATTGAATTACCTATTTTTTTTTAGGAGGCCTGCGAGTTTGAGCTCGAGTTGGCTTGAATTGTGTTCTGGTGTGAGTGTGGTGGGCGCAAATAACGCTACGAAACGCTACGAAACGAAACAGAACGCAACGCAAGGTTTGGTCACCACTTGAAACGAACGAGGTTGGTTGCATCGCGAGCACGTTGGGACGGTTACGAAAAAGACTATTCTACGACGGGATATTGTACGGGCTTCTTGCAGCCATGGCGAAGTTAGATCTCCCTGGTGTCTGGAGAGACATCAAGACATATCGGCGAGCGTATATTCTCACAGCCGTTGCGTCCTTTGGTGGTGTAGGTGCCCCTTCCTTCTCTCCACCAGCCCTCCCCAGACAGCTCCTCTGACAAAAAACCCCCAACACAGATGCTCTTCGGTTGGGACACGGGACTCATCGGCGGCGTCCTCACAATGGACGCCTTCCAACACTCGTTCAACCTGGACAAGGACAGCAAAGACTTTGCCAATCTGCAGGGCAACATCGTGTCCGTGCTGCAAGCAGGCTGTTTCTTCGGTGCCATGTCCTCGTTCTACGTGAGCGATAGATTTGGGCGCAAGATGGCCCTCATCATTGCCGATGCCATCTTCATCGTGGGATCGATTGTGCAGACGCTCTGTGCGCTGGGCACCACGAGCTTGACCCAGCTTTACATTGGCAGAGTGATTGGTGGATTTGGCGTCGGACTCATCTCAGCCGTGGTGCCAACCTACATTGGAGAGAATGCACCCAAGGAGATTCGCGGTCGCTGCATTGGCTGTATGCAGCTCTTCAACGTGACGGGCATCTGTCTATCCTTCTTCGTCAACTACGGCATCGACCTCGACATTGAGAGCCCGACCGACTCGGCCAAATGGCGGGTTCCTTTTGCACTGCAGATGCTGCCCGGGGTTCTGCTCTTTGCTGGCATCATCTTCCAGAACGAGAGTCCTAGGTGGCTGGTGGAGAAGAACCGGTTGACGGACGCGGCCAAGGCATTGGCGACGGTGCGACGCAAGGCTGTCGACGACCCAGAAGTGGTGCAGGAGCTGGATGAGATTATTGCGGATTACAATGGGCACGAGAAGATGCCTATGATGGCACAGCTCAAGGCGGCGTGCAAGGGAAAGAGGATGATCTATCGATCGAGTTTTGTGGTCTTGCTCATGTTCTTTCAGCAGTGGACTGGCACGGTAAGGAGTTGTTGGGTCCCAGAATAAGGGCAAACGTTGGCTAATGGCTGAGAAAGAACTCGATCAACTATTATGCGCCTCAGATCTTCCGACAGATTGGTCTCGTGGGAACCTCGTCTGGGCTATTTGCTACTGGTGTAAGTGATGCTCGACAGCTGTCCGTCTCGAGCTCTACTGACTGGAGCTATAGGTCTACGGCATTGTCAAGATCGTCGTGACAGCCATTGGACTGATGGCGTTTACGGAACAAATGGGACGCAAGGTTGGTCACGACAGGCGCAAGGCCGTCTTGTAGGCACCTTTTGCTAACCGTGATTCAGTGGTCTCTGATCATTGGCTCGGCCGGTCAGGCGTTTGCCATGTTCTACATTGGCGTGAACCAGGCCGTGCACCCACCCACCGGTGAACTGGACGGCAATTCTGTTTTTGCCATTGTTTGTGTCTACCTCTTCGTCGTGTTCTACTCGTTTGGCTGGGGTCCCACGCCCTTTATCCTGAGCTCCGAGTGCAGTCCCAACCACGTCCGCTCGCTTCTCATGGCCGCCGCGCTCATGACGCAATGGCTCTTCAACTTTGTCATTGCCAAGATCACGCCACTGATGCTGGCTGATATCACGTACGGCACGTTTTTGCTATTTGGGTCTCTCTGTATCGTCATGGGCATCTGGACCGTGTTTTGTGTGCCAGAGACCAAAGGGGTGCAGCTCGAGTCGGTGGGGCTGCTGTTCGAGGGCGACATCATCAAGGGCTGCCTGCAGGACACGATTCCCAGCAAGTCGCGGGCGCGCAAGCTGCGAGAGGATGCGCTCATGGCGAATGACAGCGACTCGAGACATGGCGGGGTGGGAAAGAAAGGGGCAAGAGTCGAGCAGATCGAGGATGTATAGGCCATCTGGCATTGGCGCCCAATGGACCCATTTCCACAGAGAGACGGAGAAAGAGACAGCGTCTTTCTCGTCTTTCGGTTTCACATAGGGCCGAGGCTTGGGGCAAAGGGCCATGCCCTGTTAGCATTCGATTTACACTTGAGTGGCATTGCGCAATGCAGGCTGTAGCGCTTTGAGACTTTTGACTTGACCACGTTGACCATGCTGCGGTGATCTTGTTGATGATCGAAGTGGACAGGGGCCAGGTGATGTACAGTAGATAGTGGACGGTATATGTAGGTAGATGGGGAAGGAGCGAACAGAGGCAAGCGAGCCCCTCTTCCCCTCTTCCCCTCTCCCCGAAAAAGCACGGCACAGCATTGCAGGCTCAGCCTCCGCCCTGGACATGTCGTGTTCGCGGTGAAGGGTGATGGAAGATGGCCTCTGCATGGAAGCAGCGTGCCAGGAACCCAAATTCGGGCCGGGAGGCGAAGCAGGCAAGTCGAGATGGACCCAGTTGCGGCTTAGCGGACGAGTCAGATTGGTGAGGCTCCGTTTGGGGGAGGCGACGACGTTGGGCGCGGGTGTCACTGGGATGGCCTGGCTGAGCTGGCGGAGCGGGTCAGCAGGTGTCAGATTATGTTGATGGTGGCGGGCGACCATGGACGGCTAGCAGCAGCGGCGGGGCGAACGTTGGAGACCGGAGTCTAGGAGTAGTTGCCCCAAAGTGCGGATTGAGTGCATCAGGCAGACAGGCAGGTTGTGCAGCGCAGCCTACTACACAACAAGAAGAAGAAGCGAAAGGAAGGAAGAAGAAGAAGAAGAAGAAGAAGAAGAAGAAGAAGAAGAAGTGAAGCAAATGATGTGGGTGTGGGTGCACATCATTTGCATGTTTTGACCATGGCTGACTGTGGTAGGTAGATAGGCAGTAGCGTAGTAGAGTAGGTAGGTAGTACTCTTAGTGACCAGGCGCGGGGGACAGGCGGGGTGTTTGGGCTGGTGACGGCATACTATGCGGCAGTCGGTGTGTGCATGTGGTAAAAAAGGGAAAAAAGGAAAAAAAATAAAAAAGGGTCCCGCAGGAGCAACAGCACGAAGGAGCCAGCCAGCCAGCCAGTGCGCGTGCTGTCCGCCAAGCACCGATGTCATAGTCGGAAGATCTCCTCCTGCTATGGCCCACCCCACCTACAATGTATCTACTTTCTCTCTCTCTGTCTCTAACTCGCTACAAACTTACTAGTCTACCTATAACTACTTCCGACTACATTCTACATACGGTACCTACTACAGTGCTGACCAGCCTAGCCAGGCCTCGTGGCCAAGCAGGAGGGGCCCAGGAAGCGGACACGGCTCACTCTCTACTCATTTCTACCTCTTCGTCTACTCGATAGCTAATCAATTACATCCACTTGCTGTATTTACTCACCACCACCCTGCAGCCCCGAAGATCGCTTCTCCTACTACTGCTTGTCATACATGTACACATCCACACATCCACATCCATACAATCCCCATCCCACACACACCCTCTCTTTTTTTCTCTCTCTCTCTCTCTCTCTCTCTCTTCTCTCCCACACACACACATATACACACTCCCTCATTGCCTCACCTTTTCACCATCGACACGACATCTTCCCCCTTTGCGAACCACACACATATGCATTCCTGCAACTCCTCGACTCGTGCACCTGTTTTCGCCCAACCTGCCCCGCTGCCGTGACCAAGTCAAGCCCAGTCGGCAGGCGGTCACTGCGAGCTCTTCTCTCCCTCCCCAGGCTCTTTCCCTGCAGCGGCTGCTAACAAATAATCTCGCCAGAGGTCGCCTAGTAAGGCCTTCCTCTGTGCCCCCGCCCCTCCCCCCCCCCCTGTAGCCTGTAGCCTCGTTCTGCACTGGCTCCGTCACCACTCGCTGCCCTGCCCTTGGGCCGATTGCATTTGCGACACCCTTCCACCGCCCATCGCCCATCGGGCTCCGTGTTTCTAGTCTGCATCCTGTCCTATCCTGCCCTCTTGCCCTTCACCGCGACAACCTTCATCCCTGGTAGCCCACTGCCTACTGCTCTAGCCCACTTGGCCCTCGCCCTCGACCACGGTACCCCTCGAACATATACCACCGGATACCATGTACGTCCAACTGCGCCCTTGCTCTTCGTCTGCCCGCTTCTCTCCTTGTCCTGTTGAGTCTGTTGTGTCTGTGTCTGTGTCTGCGTTTGTGTAGGACACAACTACAACTGCTGCTACCACGGCTACCGTTGGTTTGTTGGTGCTTTTATACCATTGTCGCTGCTTCTTCTTTGGCTACTGCTACTTCCTCTTTGGTTCCGTTTGAGCCATTCGCTCCTTCCCGCCCATCTCACCTCCTTCACCGGCTGACACTATGCTGGGCAGCACCCCTCTCCCCGCGACATCTGTCGCCGCCCGGAGACACACTTACACCGGCGCTCTCAATCCCCCACTACCCCCTCGACGCAACTCCCTCGCCACGGGTCCAGCGGCCAAAACCGCTCCCCTTCAGATCAACTCCATCACACTCACGAGCGCCATGGAGTCGAGATATGCCCGCCCTGCCTCGCCGCGGGGCCGCTATGCCAACCCCGCAAGGTCGTCAACGGGCACCTTTGCAGACCCCTATTACGACTACACCTCCTACAGACCTAGCTCACCACGGTCGAGCGTCGATCGCTTGTCAGGCTCCTTTCACTCCAACTCGTCGGCCTACTACACTACTCCTGCCACCTCGAATGGCTCACGAGCAAGCAACGTCCAGTATGACTCGTACGCTGCTGCCCGGCCACGGAGAAACACAAACGACCATACCTCTCGTCCCAATGTCAGCTCGCTGACCAATACCTCGTTACCCCTCCGCACGCCCTACTCCCCCCACGGCAGTACCCACCACGACCGCCCTTCGAGTCCCCTGGTGCAAGCCCATCACAAGGCCGTGGAGTCGTACATTACGCCTAGCACTTCACGCTCCACCCACAAGAAGGTATACAGCGTCGATGATGCTAGCCACTCGACCAGACTGGTTGCAGATGTCGAGACCCCGCGCCACAGGGATACTGCCGACCGGGGTTACAGTCTTACCAGTGGCGGCCGCAGTTACCATACCACCACCAAAGCTCCGCCACGGCTGACTGAGCTAGGCGACGATGGCTATTCCTACACAGATCCCGCGAGTATGTATCGTGACACAGAGCCGGCGTGGCGGCGGCCGCGTGCAGGAAGCGTGGAACGTGGGGCCCGACCTTCGAGCATGATCATGGATCGCTCTGCGCGCAGCTCTGCACGCGAACTGGGCCCCCCACCCACCACGCGAGGCCTTGACAAGTTTAACAGTGCCGTCAGCGGCGCTATCCCACGCGGTCATTCCAGGGCTGGCTCCCTGGACAAGGCACGAGATATTCCGCTATACGACCCCTATGCCGAAGTAGCCCCTGCTCTCCCCGCTCGAACAACCGCATCTCGACAGCGAGCCCCGACTGCGATTCACCAAGAACCACGCGACCACCGAAGAGACACGTATCACGAGGATTTTGATCGCCGGGACCGGGATACTGAGAACAGACGTCTGAATGGCAGTAGTAGTCACTTCGAGGACCACAATGTTAGCACTCGCGGATTTGGTATTGCCCCGGGCATTGTTCCCATGCAGCCCAGTGTGGCCCATGATCATCACGCTCTTGACCGAGAGCCGGTCTGGCCTGCTGTTGAGGTAGCACGAGCGAGACCCCAAGAACCGCCTAGCCAGTATTACCAGCCCGAGCGTGCTGAGGCACGCATGCCTGAACCTCGTCTGCCCCGTGAAAGGGACCTGGCGGCCCCCCAAGATAGCTATGAAAAGCGTCCGCGTGAACGGGAGGGTAGCAACGGCAACTTTGTTCCTGCGGCTGCGGGAGCTGCCGCTGGCGTTGCTGCTGGCGTTGCTGCCGGATTCATAAAGTCACGGGACAAGGATCGCATTGCCAACGACCGAGACGCTTCTGCGGAGCGGGAAAGAGAACGAAGGCGAGAGTACGACGAGCGTGATAGACGAGATCGAGCCGACGATCGACGCGCCAAGGAAGTCGATGATCGACGTGAAAGACGAATCGACGAGCGCCGCGACATTCCACTTCCGGCCACGATTGCATCTGCTCCTCCTATTCCTGGCGCCTATCCTCCTCCGATAGAGGCAGACCACCGTCCTCGTGAGCGAAGATACGAAGACGAGGATCGGGAGAGACTTTCCAGAAAGCAGCCCTCGTCAGAAGGCAGCGGTGATGAGCGACCGCGCCATTACGTAGATCGCGATGCTGAGCGTAAGAAGGAGTCGGCGCCAAAAGAGGCAGCCATTGATCCTGATGAGGACTATCGCCGTCGTGTCCAACAAGAAGCTGAACGAAGCAGTCGCAGTACACGCGATAGAGACAGCGACTCTGACCGCGAGCGGGAACGACGACGTCGCAAGAGCGACCGCGACCGATCTCGAGACCCCGAAGAACGCTCTCGTGCCTCACCTCCAACGACTAGGGAGGCGGCCAGTTCTCGTTACGAGGAGCGCTCTTCCAGTATCTACGATGCCAAACTAGTGCAAGAGCCCGAGTCACTCGACCGCGATGCTTCGAGCAGAAGTGTTCAGATTGTCACTCCCCCCAAGGAAGCCCCGCAACCCGTCAAGGGTATCCTCCGCAAGCCCACCTCCAAGTTTCCCGAAGATCCAGAGCCCATTCGTGAGGGTGTAGCTCCACACAAAGACGCCCTCAAAGGCAAAGACATCCCCGTAGGCGCCCGTTGGACCCGTATCGACCGCCGCCTCGTAAATCCTGAGGCGCTTGAACAAGCCAAGGAACGGTTCGAAGAGCGCATGGACTGCGTCATCGTGCTGCGCGTCTTGACCAAAGAAGACATCCAGAAACTGGCTGATCGCACTAGGAAGATCCGCGAGCAGAGAGGTACTACTCCTACAGGCTGAAACTATTGTGAGCGTGCTCTAACCCGTGACTCTAGAGGATGAATATGAGCGTCGTGACAAAGAAGAGCGCAGCAAACGCAGCAGTCGTGACGGCAAAGACGAACGCGATGATGAGCGCGATAGAGAGTATCGACGCGAGAGGGAGAGGAGGAGGAGATATGATGACGACAGTGATCATGATGGTCACGAGGAGAGGGAAAGGGAGCGTGAGAGGAACAGGCCCAAGAAGTTGGAGATTGAAGAAGCAAGGTGATGGAACTAGGCAGAGAACCTTGCCGTCCTCTTTCCGGCACGACTTCTGAAAGGCAATGGTGCTTATGTTTTGAATAGCAGAAAGAGGGGCCAAAAGCCGCAGAGTACAGCAGCGCAGTCGTTGAGAAAGGATCTCGTGGACCTGGATATCAAGCAGCAACTGTAGAGCAGTGAAGACCGAGACGGCGAGCAAGATGGGCATGGCAACGGTACTTCAAGGCATCACCATCGTAGGCGAGACAGTTCTCCAAAACACAGTCATCTGACCAAGGATGATGAGAAGAAGATGAAGAAGAAGAAGAAGAGAAGAAGAGCTGCATTCAGAAGGCTTTAAACTTGCTTTGAGCGCCTGTGGGTCGCCGTGTGGGATTGCACTTTGAAACCGTTCACGGCAACTAGGCCGAGCATTTGAGGCTGGACCAGTGGGGGCGAGAAACTCTTGTATATATGTTCCTTTTCTTCACTTATCACCACCTGGATGTCCGAATCATACCTTATCTTTACACGTACAACGAACTCGCTCATACATGCGTGTTTGAAATGTAATCTCGGTGTAAAGGACAAATCAGCATTATTATGTCAAAGTTTCTTTAGTTAAGTCAATCCTTTTTCTCACTTTTCCAATCTGACTGCCCTCTCAGCATCACGCCACCACTCACACTGCACCCGCCTCCCCGCATCGCTCTCCACAGCAGTCTGCCCAAACGGCCTCATCACCAACTGTAACCCTGGTTTCCCCTCTTCCCAGGCATCCACATATGGCGGCCAATACGGTGTTGGTGTTGCTGGCACGCTCCCATTCAACCCATTGCTATTCATGCCCCCTTTCCCATTCGGATCCCCACTCACCACAAAGTTTGCAAGATAACTGTGCAGCAAAGTCCCCACATCAGGATGTTGGACGCCCCCAACTCCTCCCTGTTCAGCCCATATATAGCGCCCATCTGCCGTATGCGGAATCCCCTGCCAAGGCGGAAAAGTATTATTCACCGCGAAGTTCAGTTTAAACACCGGAGGCGACGACTCCGCCGCAGACAAGCGAACCGCAGTTTCCTGGCCAGGACAAATATACATGTAATCCGACAGCGCCGCACTGATCCTGTCATACTGCGTTGAATTTGGACTATACGCATACGGCGAGTCGGAAATCGGCGTCGTGGCCGGATCTGGATACAGCACCGCCAAATCGGAGAGATCCTGCGCGGACAGGTTGGGCAGGAGATTGTGCAAGAAGCCAAGGAAGTCATCGTTGGTGACCAGGTCGCCTGGTGCGTGCCATTTCCCCTCGTCGCGCACGTTGGTCGTGATGATGGGGATCGAGTAGAAGTTCCCATTGACCCCGGACGCAGAGCCTCGTTGCTCGAACAAGGGGCCACCGAGCGTGGGTTGAAAGGGCCATGTGATGGCGTAATTCGATTCGAAAAAGACGGTCGTGCTGGCGTTTGAAATGGCGTCAATGGGCGCGGAGCGCAGACACGATAGGAGGCTGGCATCAGAGCTGTTTGCCTCGCTGCCACACCCAATCATATCAAGGTAACGGGCAAATTGCGCCTGGTACAGCGGATACGAAGCACTAGGAAACGAGCGCGCCGTCACACTGCCCGACTCCAGTATCGCCTGGGAGAACAACGGGGCCGGGCCCGCGGTCTTGTTGTAGTTGTGAAACAGATGGATACCCACACTATGTGCGCCTGCTGAGTGGCCGCCCAGCGTCACGCGTTCCGGATCGCCGCCAAAAGCCGAGATGTGGGCTTGGACAAACTGGAAGAGGGTTTCCTGGTCGCGGAGCCCGAGATTCAGCAGCCCGAGACGCTCCATCGCCGGGCTGGGCAGGAAGCCAAGTGAGTTTAGGCGGTAGTTGAAGGTTACGACTATCATGGGCTCTTTGGAGTTGGCGACGAAGGAGGGACCGTCGAAGGATCGCGCGCTGCCGGTTACAAAGCCTCCCTGGGGGTAATTCAGTATGGTGTTTTGGGAGAGTAGTGGGTAAGGGGGGATATTGCAGTGGTACTCCCAGTCCGTCGAACTGACCTCTCCCACTGAAGGACTCATACAAAGGCACTCCTCAGACGAAGCCGAGAACGCGAGGACTCAAGAAACAACACCACCTCCCCCCCAAGAAAAACAGCACTCTGAAGGAAAGAAGAGAAAAAACTCACCCCATGAACCCAAACCAAAACCGGCAACTTTTCCTCCCCATCCGCCACCCCCTTTGTCCGAAAAACATTCATATTCAAACACGCCTCACCCTGCCCGTACGCCAACGCCCCCTCCCACTGCACACACGCCAACCCATACCGCCCGGCCTCTCTCACACCCTCAAAAGGCGCCGGCGGCCCCACGACAGCAAATCGCGCCTCGCCCACCGGCTGGCTCGCAAAATCTATGCCTAGCCAGGCATCTACGGACGTCGCGAGTGTCTTGTTTGTCAGGCTGGTGGAGATTGTGGTTCCAAGGAAGCGGCCGTAGCCCTGGAGGGCGATTTCTTGGGATGCGAGGGTGGGGGTTGGGGAGAGGGTGAGGGTGAGGGCGGCGAGGAGGAGGGTTGGAGGGCGCATACCGGTGGTGTGTGGTTGTGGTAGTAGTGAATGTAGGATTTGGGGGGATGCTGTATATATCTACACCAATGTCAGTGTCAATATTAATGTCAATATCAACATCAATGTACCCGTCCACACAACCATTCATCCATCCATCCATCACCAACCCAAGTACCACTTTATATACTTTAACCCAACCCAGCCAGCAAAAACACGCGGCCCATACTCGGACCCCTCCCCGGCCAAGAAGAGTATACACTGCGCTGCACCCTCTCGATCCGGATGTGATAAGCAGTCAGCCTCTGCACGTCACTGGGTAAACACACAAGGCGTAAGGCCCGGCGAATCCTGCCAGAATCGGGTGCTAACCGATGCCTATTTCGGGGGGAAGATTCAGGCACCGTGGTGTAGTATGGTGCTGGGGTTTGTTTTTACATGGGATTTTTTAGGGAAGGGGGGATTGGGATGGGAAATAGAATGGTGGGATAGTTATGTGTGAAATTGGTGTTTACCATACAAGATCGTTGCACCATCACCTAATCCACCCTCTCACTACCCACCACCCACCGCCCACTACACTTGAAAGCGGGGGAATTTTTTCTCTCGTCCATCTACCCACCTACTGAGAGTGGAAGAGTCAGTACCCCATGTCCAAACTCCCCTCCCAATGTCGATCTCAGCTGCTTCTTCTGGCACCTAGTCGGCCTTGCGTACATACCTAGGCTGCATGCCGCGGGGAGAACGTGGAGACGCGTTCTGGCCCACTTGCGGAGGAACTAATACCCGGTGTTGGTGCGGGGGGTTGCGGGCGGAGGCAGAAGTAGAGGCCGTGGGGGCTGGGGGTGGTGATATTGGGGGAAGGTGGTTTGGGTTTGGGGGAGTGAGGTGGATGGCGGTATTTGGGTGTGATGAGGTGGCTTGGGATGATGTGCAGTTTAGTTAGGTAGATGTTGGGCGGCCATGTACAGTAGAATATGGTTGCGTTCGAAGTTTCTTTAGATATTGATATGGTGAATTCTGTTGCTGTGAATGAATATGGATTTTGGCCATGTTGTTGACTCTACCTTTGCCGTCTTATGTGTAGTTTGCGACCATTGTTCGCAATGCTAGAGTAGAATGTAGAAAGAGACGCCAGGCTTCCGACGACGGGATGACGACGTGGTTGCGAACCTCGGCTGACGCAAATACCAAGCCCTCATCTAACCGCCCTTCCGTCAAGAGCATCCGATGAAGTCCTGCCAGCCCAGCCTTCCGTTCCGTCACAGCACCAAACGATTCGCCACGAAAAATGACCATGGCCACGACCCCGGACTCACCGCCTCGACCGGAAAAGCGACGTCGAACTGACCGCGTGACGGTAGCCTGCGATCTCTGTAAAAAGAGAAAGACTAAATGTGACGGAGAACAGCCGTGCGCGTACTGCACCAGGAAGAATCGTGCAGACACCTGTGCCTTCAGCACCGCAAATGCGCAATCCCAAGTTCGCTCCGCTGGGAACACTCCTCACACTTTCATCAGGCCTCGTGGTCCGACTCCGCCTCCGCGCCGCAGAAGTCATGATGGTGTTACCGAGAGAGAGGCTTCCCTCTCACCAACAGTGAGTCGGAACGACCACCAAGACGATACGGTTGTGCCGTTGGAAGGTCGGATTCTTCGAGACGCCCAAGGCAAAGTCATATTCATTGGTGACTGCGCTCCTCTATCTTTCCTACAGACTGTGAGACATCTTATTGCATCTGAAGTGGACTCCGAGGGCATCTCTACTCAAGCTGTCCGTGATTCTATCATTGAAGTGGCCCCGACTACTTCTGGCAATGGTCAGGGATCCCTCGCTGTGACACCGCAGGAGATACCAGCTCTCGTCGACGGGTATACAGTCGCGACCAGTGGTCTGGTGGATCTCTTCCAGAAAGACGAATTGATCAGAGAGTTGAGGGTATGGGCCGCGGGTGTCTCTTCACCGTCGGACGATTGTGGAGCGGCCATGTTCTTCTTGGTACTTGCCATTGGCGCGCAAGAGCATGGCGAAAGCAGAGCGCAGGCCTGGTTCGAGCAGTCTAGAGATCAACTTGTGAAGCATATGTGTAATAACATGAATGCGCCGACTGTTCAAGGGTTTATTCTCGTTGCCCTCTATATGCTGCGGGCGTTTCAACCCAATGGGGCGTACCTATACTTTTGTAAGTACATGTCTCCCCGTTTCTACGAATGATATCAGATGCCCGCGTAAATGAAGGATGGCTTAGAACTTGTCGGCTACATGAGCAACGAACAAGGATTCAGTGGGCTGACGTCTTCCAGCGCTGGCGGCACGCGCGGCATACGCTATTGGTATCCATCGGACAGAAGTCAACGCATCCTTTGGACAACCCATCAAAATCAGGCGAGATCGCATATGGAAGAGTCTGCGGGTTGTCGACCAGCTTATAAGCAATGTTTTAGGCCGACCACCCACGACGTCAGACGTGGATTGTACCGTCAAGTACAGCGAAAAGGGATCAGGCAGTGACACAAGCGTCGACATACTAGATGCCAGCGTACAGATCTTCATGATCATCGAACGCGTCGTCGTCGAGGTGTACTCACGCAAACGCATCTCACTCCGCATTGCCGACTATGTATCCCGGCAGCTGAAGGGTTGGGCATCGAAATACCTATCCAACTTGTCCCAGACGATTCTGCAGTCTACAAACAACGGCGTGACTCGAGAGGCAGCCGTAGGAGCTTGCTCCACGCTATGCTCGTACTATTATGGAATCATGCTCCTCACCAGACCTTTCTTGATCTACGACCTGTATGAGCACATGGGCGTTTCCTTGAAGAGCGGCGGTACCCAGGCGGATCATCAGGAAAAACAGAAATATGCATATGCTGCGCTTGATGCTGCCTCCTCTTTGGTAGACTCTGTGCAGACCTTGATCGAGACGGGGCAAATGCCGCGCAGGATGCCCCTTGTCGTGTAAGATTTACAACAGCTTCACATGTTGACATGCACCGACTGACTGAATGATACCAGCTCCTGGCTTTTTACGGCAACCCTCGTCCTGGCCGTCGGTGGTCTCGGCGAGTCCGGATTGACTCTGAAGGACAATTGTGCAGATGCAATCCGCTGCTTAGACTACTTCTGCGAGGTCGATCCCCACGCCCGCCAGTACTCCCTTATTGCACATTCACTTACCAAGGTCATCACATCGTATGTCAAGAACAAGGAACTCCAGTTGCGCTTGCAAAGAAAGCAGGCTTCTTCAGAATTATTTGGATTACTACCATCTATTCCAACTGCCCGTAGTAGCCAACCGTCAGATCAGCCGCCATCCCGTCCGCCACCCGAGGCTCTGGTGCCCTTGCGATCGGGACAGGCTCATTTGGCATCTTCGGATCCGTTTGACTGGACCATCTATGATGCAGACTTCTTTGCACTGCCCTGGCTTAATGAGAATGATCAAGGGCTGCAGGATTTCCTCCAGCCTGGCACGCATACTCTGGATGGTGCCTCTGTTGCTGACATTCCACTTTTCCCCATCTATGATCAGTCCGCAGGCGGGTAGCGACCATGTTAGATGATATTCCCCCCACTGATGTACAGGCTCCATCTGCATCAAAAGACTTGCTATTGAGACGGGTGCGACTTTCAACGCACAACTTTGGTTTCGCTTGTTTCGTCTCTCGACGTGCGCAGAAACGGTATCAGTGTCGTGCCTCCTGTACCCACTAGTTCCTGTGTCTTTGGCTTTTCCGACGCCAGCTTGCTCGAAGCCGATGCAATATCTCTGCGCTTAACCAGGTTCTGTGGTTTGGCTTGGCGACTGGGGATGATGATGTATCGAGTCACGAGAGCAATGTGCTTGTCGCGAAAGCCGCTAAGCGCCGCAACCGCCTCGTTGAAAGCTGTCAAAAGGGGCAAGTTGTCTTGGTGACTGTCGACGTAGTCGCGTATGTTTGCAATGGCTTCGACATCGTCGAGAAATCGGGCGTGAGATCCCGGCATGTATCCGCGCATCTCGGAATGGAAGCCACCACTTCGGGCGTGGTTCACGGATAGGACGGCATCGAAGAACTGTAGCAGCGAGCTTTGCCCGTTACTGCCGCCGCGGTATTTCCTCCACGAACCCTTTCCGTCGCCTTCGTCGTAGAATACGCCGTTGGGCAATCCTGCAGCCTCCATGTTCATGCTGCCTGCTAGGAATGGCCGAATGGTGTGGTAGAACATTTGGGGGTTGCATCGCTCATCCATACGCTCTAAAAGTTGCCCGATGCTCTTCAAGCCTTGACTCAGGTACTCTAGAGCATGTATGATCTTGGGGACGTCGTTGCGTTCGACGGCTTCGATGGCACCAAGCATGATTTCGATCAGTGGACCTGCTCTTGCTTCCATGGCGTTGGAGATGATGAAGAACCACGACTCGTCGTCGGTGCCTGTGGCTGTATGCAGTGCAACCATGTTTTCGGGTTGAGTGAGGTCCGCATTGTCTTCTAGTGGCGTCCAGTTCCACAGATTCAGTGCTGCATAAGTAGCCACAGGATGCACCTCAAGGTGCTCGGCAGTCTGGAGGAAGGGTACGGTGACAGCAGGAGGTAGTCTCTGTACAATGTAAGTGACTGATGATGAAGCTGGAATTGCGAGAACGTCTGTTACCTGTGATGGCTCAGGGCCTGTCCATATGTATCCTTGGGCGATTACAGCTAATAGCGAGTGGGCTCTCTGCCATTCTGCTTCGCTATCAAGATACTCGGTACTGAGAACGGGAAGCTTGTCTACCCATTCCCGTATTTGTTGTGCCTCGATCAACGCAGGCAGAACATCGGTAATCAGCTCCCATGGCTGATAGTATGCATGTGGCAGGCGACTGAGAGGGGCTTCGGCGGGCAGAAAGCCGTTCGAGGAGATTCCATATTGAGGCAAAGCTGCCGGTGAAGGAAGGGCATCAATTCTGTGAGGACTCATGTTGAAGGATGTAGTAGATCAGAATGTTATTGTGTCAGATGTGGTGATCCGGGAAGATACTTCCATCTTCCAGCGCGAACACCGCATTTATTGCAGATTTAAACATACGAATGCCCATGCCTGTTGTCCCAGTTATTGTGCCCACTTGGTAAGAGGGACAACATAGCGTCACAGAGACATGCGCCGCTCACTGACGGAACGGAGGCTGTCGGAAGACCTGTCGGAACCACATCTCGATCGCAAAAGCGGAAGGTGGTTAACGGATAGTTAGTGTCGAGCGTCGGATGCAAGCCACCACGCGAACAGTCTTCATCGTAGACGTAATTGAGCAACTGTAGCTACTATATCTAATAGATCTGGCTGCTCCTCACGTAGCCCCATCTTCCGCATTCACAACAACTCGGCTCAGGGCGTCTACTCATCACATACTCCCATCAGAACACCTTCCGCACAATGGACGCCAACAACGCAATCCAACAGCTTCGCCAAGGGCAAAAGCCAGAATGGCCAGCAAATGCCGAATCATTGGCCTTTGCACAATGTCTTGACAACAACACTCAAATACCCGAAACTCACCGATCAGACTTCATTGTACCAACCAAGGCGCAACTAAAGCGCAAAACACTCAAAGACGATACCAAAACAGCAGCTGCGGCATCAAGCGCGGATGAAGAGAGTATCTACTTCTGCGGAAACTCCCTGGGCTTACAGCCAAAGGCCGTTGGCGAACACCTGAACGCATATCTCAAGACATGGGGCTCCATCGGTGTCGGCGGCCACTTCACACGCCTCGAGGACTCCCCCCTCACCCCTTACCAAGACATGGTTGCAGAATGCTCGAGGAAGATGTCCGACATTGTTGGCGCAGCGCCATCTGAGATTGTCGCAATGAACACACTGACCATCAATCTCCACTTGATGATGGCAGCCTTCTACAAGCCCACGGAAAAGAAGCACAAGATCATGTGCGAATGGCGGCCCTTCCCCAGCGATTGGTATGCCATAGAATCGCAGATAGAATGGCATGGTCTCGACCCCAAGAAATCAATGCTACTGGTAGAGCCAGACGAGGGCTACACCATGACCACCAAAAACATCCTCAAGCTCATCGACGACAATGTCGACGAACTTGCTCTCATCATGCTCCCCGGCATCCAATACTACAGTGGCCAACTCCTCGACATCCCCACCATCACTGCACATGCACGCAAGCACGGCATCACCATTGGCTGGGATCTCGCGCACGCCGCGGGCAACGTTGAACTAAAGCTCCACGACTGGGACGTCGACTTCGCCTGCTGGTGTACGTACAAGTACATGAACGCAGGCGCAGGTGCCATCGCCGGAGCCTTTATCCACGAGAAGCACGGCAACAACGAGCACTACACCGGCCTCAAGGGCTGGTACGGCCACGACAAGTCCTCCCGCTTCCTCATGGACAACCGATTCGTGCCCACGCCCGGCGCCCAGGGCTTCCAGTGCTCCAACCCCTCCATCGTCGACTTGACTTGTCTCTCCGGCGCCCTCAGCGTCTTCCAAAAGACATCCATGGCGCATCTGCGCTCGCGCTCCCTGCTCCTCACCGCCTACGCCGAACACCTTCTCACCCAAATCGCAGCCCGCAACATCAAGAATGGTGACTTCCCCTTCCAAATCATCACGCCCTCGGACCCCCGCTTCCGCGGCGCCCAACTCAGCGTCCTGCTCACAGAGGACATCTTCGAGGAGGCGAGCGCGGAGCTCGAGCGCAGGGGCGTTATTTGTGACAAGCGGAAGCCTGGGATCATTCGGGTGGCGCCTGTTCCGTTGTATAATACCTTTGAAGATGTTTACAGGTTCATGCAGATTTTGGAGGATGCGCTGCAGATAGGGGAGGGACAAGGGCAGCAGCAACAGCAGCAGCAGGGGGAGAAGGCGGTAGAGGCGAGGTTGTAGGATGTTTTGATACCATAGTTTAGCGGGTTTTTGTTGTGTTTATCTATCTTGACGATTTTCTGAATGAATGGAAAATGAGGTCTATGTGTCAAATCAATGTCAAGAATTGAACGACTGAATGGCCACTATGCTTGGGTGTGGAATCAGAAAAGATGAAATTGCTGGAGAATGATGAAAGCCTCCGGCCCATTACACTATAGTCACAGTCCGTCGAGGCAACTTCCTAAGAATCCTATTAATACGCAGCCTCGTCGTATGAAACACTCCCAACCGCCTAAACTGCGTCGACCCCTCCAGCCGATGGAGCACAAGACCCAACACCAGCTCCCGCTCATGCGCCAACTTCTTCGCCGTCCCAATAACAGGCACCAGCACGAGTTCGCTAGGACGGCTCTGCAGAACGGTGTCGAAACGGATTTCGGCTTGGTCGGCAGCATCTGGCGGGACTGCCACGGCCATTTGGTGATTGTGGTCTATTGGGAAAACATGGGTTATGGTGCCAGACATGGGTGCTGTTGTGCCTGGATTACCTGCAGCGTCTTCCCACAGCACTGATGCGACGGGAGCGGATACGCTCACTTCTCCGAATTCAACACTGCCGAATCTGGCTCCTTCTCTTGCCCAGACTACTCTTGCGTCTTCGAGTGTGGCTAGGCGCTCTTTTGTGTTGTAATTGTTGTGGCACCATGCAAAGGAAATCTTGCCCTCGATTGAAGCCCACGACCACGATGGGGCAATGTATTGGCCGGGTTGGTGGTCTAGGTAGGCAATCGGCGTGCATGTCTCTGGCCCGGCCGATCTATTTCTAGTGTAGACTTCTGTGATCCAGAGGAGATGAAGGGGTAGGGATGAATGCCATAGGCCGGCCAGATATCCGTCGTGTGTGTCTCTGCCTTTGTCGAGTACAATGACACTTGCGATACCGGACAGGGCAACGAGTTTGTCCTGCTTCATGGTTAAAAGCCCAAGGGAGTACAACTCGGCTATTGTGGTCCAGTCTCGGTAGACTGATGCGTCATTCAATGCTGCGTAGAAGTTTACTTCTTGGAGTTTGACTGGCCGTGCGTAGCGCAACACCATGTCCCATAATCGGTGCATCATCGTCTGTGGCATCTCCAAATCAGAGGTATATCGACTGGGCCACCGCTCATCCTGCGGTGCGTCGCCGAGATCCAGTGTCTTTACGTCGACAAAGGTGTTTTGTCGAAGACTCGGCGGTAAACCTTTCCAATACGTCTCGCATGCTATCGTCTCTCTGCATTCCCAGAAGAGCTGTGCACGACCAAAGTGTATGACACGAGGAGCGAGAATTCGCTCTTGTAGAATCCAACCTCTCTGATTGAGGGGCTCGTTTAATAATTTCCGTGCCCAAAAGTCGGGGTCAGGCACGACTTGGTATCGCCAGCTCTGTCCGTTTTCCAAGTGGCTCCATGCGACGGCGAAGATGGTAGGTCGTATGTCGTCTGGGCTTCTGTCCCAATGGCACCCTTCACTGCCGTTTGTAGCACCAGTGGCTGCGATGTTGATGTAGCCATATCGGTACACATTACTCATTCTAGCCGCCTCATTACCCCAATCGTCCGGGCTGTCTTGCACGATGCAGAGACTATCAATCCATATATAACGTAGTCCTAACGAGCGTATGATTTGAATTGCATCCATGAAGGTTTTGGTAAGCTCATCAGGGTGGATTTTCGCACAGCGCGCCTTGTAGTTCTCCTGCAACGTTTTGGGCGTTGGATACATTCCCCAGCAATGGGAAAGGGTGGCGTATGGCTCATTGGGGAGAGCATCGCGGTCGTTGATCAGACGTATAATATCGTCTTCGGAGTCTCCGATGTCGAGCACCCGCGTGGGGAACCATTTATTTGGTCGACGATGATTGCAACGTGCATGCCCTTTGACGCATTGCTCTAACCAAGAGACGACCAGCTCATGGGCTGGATCGGAATCAGTCGTTGAAGCAGGCTTGTAGTCATTTTCCTCGTCTAGTCTCACGTGTCAGCTTGAATGCAGGCGGTATAGAAATGGAGAAGCCGGACCGCTGCTGTCTTGAACTGCGTCCAGAGTAAATGTGAGGTTCAAATCTTCCACCGCTTCTGATGTCAAGGTAAGCTCGAACGAGCTCTGCCACGCGACACATGATGTATCAGAGGAGCACAAGATGGGGAAAAACTCCTCCAGCAATTCCGTTTCTCTCTCTAGAGCGTAGCCCTGCAGATATTCCCATTTTACATGCTCCAGGAGCACAGTGCAGATTCCACAAGCCAGATCGACTGATTGAGAAAGTGAGAGCAATGAATGTTGATGGATTAGGTTCCCATGTTGACCTTCTACACGAATGGCGTGCATGATTTCCTTGCAAACATTGCAGAGCTCGTTGAACGCACGAGAGGTTGTGCCCGCATTGGCTGCCATAGTTGCACTGAGAGTATTGCTATGGAGATGAAGAGAATCAGAGAGCAATCCATAGTGATATTCCAATTCTCAGGCATTAGGCAGCCAGCTGAGCAGTGAGGCTGAATTACGATTTACAGCTGGCATCGAGGCTGAGTGTGAGATGCGGGGTCGCTTTCACTCATGTCCTCGACCTCAACACGTACGATTTCTCGTGCCAAAACACTGAACCTGCACTTGTTTCCATAGATTCATTTGTATACAGATGCCAGCTTCCGGTGTGAGCGTAGGTAGTAATAGCAAATGATGCCGTCCTGGCCGGAGATACTTACCTGGTTAGGTAATCACGACCTCGAAACCAGATTACACCCTTGCACTCGTTGGGCGACGGAAGAACACTTGTGGAAACGATTGGAACGTCTGGCTACAACGATGCGTACCGGTACCTAGCTCCTTTGCACAAGAGACTGCTTCCTATGATACTCGCATGCTGCCAAAGGTAAACGACGATGGAAGGCAATGGCTAGGGTAACCAACATCTGTAATCAACGGCTGCAGGCTGCATCATGAAGTCCAAAACCCAGCCGATGGAGTCAAGTAATCACGAAAATCTCTCAAGGTGCATATCCAAACTGTAGTCCCCTGATAACCACCGACCCCAACATTCAGTCCATTCCAGCCAAGCCCACCTCGGCATCAGACCACACATGCACACCTGGGCAAAGCAACCACAGCACCACCCGCCTGTCCTCCAAATCCCACGATCCCAAGATCCTCACCCAAACCCAAACCCAATACGCACGCCATACTACCCACCAGACCGACCAACCGAAAAAAAAAACACCTCTCACTCAAGCATTTCAAATAAACCCCCCTCCCCTTTGAAATTACCTAAACACATTGCAGCGCTTCCACCCAGTCCATGTCAGACTTCGATTTATGCACCAGTCCCAAAAGCCCAGCAAAACGTCATTGTGCAGCGGGCGCCGGCACGTTTTAGATGGGCTGCGAGATGGGGCACGACGTCGAGTCGAGTCTAGAGGTGGTGGCATGTCATATGACCATGGATTTAGCGTCGGGCGACTTGGGCTTTACTCCGAGTGGTTAGAATATCCCTGTAGGTTCAAGTCCACGTCACAGCGGCAAATTTTCATGGTTATATAAACTAGCCTATGGTCAAGTATAAATTAGGGTAATTTAAGCAAGTAAACGTAGTTTTTGTTACTATCTTTTTTAAACGTGTTCTAAACCTGTTCTTAACAATATGCAGGCGTTCCTAAATGCTATACTAGAGTTTAGTACAGCAGTACTAGACAACGTATCTAAACTAGATAGTAATATTAGAGATGAATTTAGGCAACCGTATAAAGTGCTAGAGGAGGATAGTAGCAGTAGCGTTAAGGAAGTAAGTGAAAGTAAATAGAACAAGTTTAGAACAGGTTAGTAACACGTTATAGGGGCACAATGTATACCTTACTTGTGGTAATAGTTAAGGACTACTACTTACACCAGCAATTATTAAGCATGCAGCTATTCTCCTAGCATACCCTTAATCACACAGCTAAGGGTATAGGTATATAATACTAGTTTAGCAACATAAAGATAGCTCTTACCTAATAAGAGAAGAGGTGCTTGTGCAGGCTACACAGGTAACACGTTAAGAACACGTTCTTAAATTGTTCTAATTCTAGCAGGTACAATACTCCCGCCAGTCTGTCTATCTTAATAGGCCTACAACTTCACTATTCTTTAATAGCTAGCTAGCAAGCTGGTATAAATACTAATGCTCTAGGGTAAAAGCGTGTAAGTATCTTAAGAACACGTTACAAACGTGTTCTTATTACGTTGTTGATAACGTATTGTACAATTAGATCTAAACCTTAAAAAGTATAGTACCTAAGAAAATTCTACAAAGAGAACTACGAACAAGAAGCTATTATTATAGCCTTATTGAGCGCTTCTCTTTAAGGATTTGTAAGGACTACTAGGTGTCTTATTGTCCTATAATAAGGACTGTAGTAAATTAGGTAGGGAGCGAAACTTAAACATGTTTAAAACGTGTTAACAACAAGTTAGCAAATCGTGGAACAGGCTTGACTATACATTGGCTGTTAGAACTATAGCCTAATATCTGCTACTAGGAAAAAACATTATTTTAGTTAGGTACTACTAGAGGTAGACTCCACATATCTACAAGGTCTTCTAACTAGGGAGATATTAAATCTTTCTAGTAGTCCTGCTTTATGTTCTGTGGTTAAGCTATAGTTAAGCTAGATAAAGAAGTGTGGTAGGCATATTGTAACCTATTCCTAACATGTTCCTAACATATTCTAGGCGTTAATTATCCACAAGGGCAAGGATCTCTGTTTAAAATCCTGTGTAAAGTTACCTTCTAAGTAATTATACTAATAGATATAGTAGCAATACCTTTTTTTGCTATTATTTCTTTTGGTATATATACACATATACCTCCTCCTCCCTTAACACTATCTAATAGTGATATTAAGGAAGTGGTAAAGGTGTTGCGGCCTATGCTTACTCCGCAGCTTACGCAATGTAAGTTGTTTGCAACCTGTTACAAACGTGTTCCTAACTTGTTATAGCCTAGTTCCTAAACTTGACCTAGCTCTAAACCTATCTCTAACTTAAAGGTTTCTATTCTATTAAAGAAATGCATATTAGCTTTGTAAATAAAGATAAAATCTCGCGTATTATAAAGCGTGAAAAGCTTCTATAGTTCCTATTTAAGAGTAGCCTTAGAGGAGTACACTATAAGTGGAGGACAAAGCATTAGGATCCTAAAACTGTACGTGGTGTGAGAGCACAGGTTTGGAACACGTTGCTAACACGTTACTATAGGCGTATATACAGTAAATCTTCACATTAAGCTTAGGCAACTTAATTATTTGCCTTTTTAAAGAGCAGGCATCAATTCTATTAGATTAAGACATGTTCTAGATGGATATGTTATATAAGAGGTTATATAGGGCATAGGCAGAGATTCTAATAGTAATCTTCTACCTGCAGGAAAAGAAGCGTACGCATTAAGAACAGGTTTGTAACACGTTTCTAACACGTTGCAGTTATTACACTTAGCTAAATTATTATAGATAAGGATATAACTAAGATGTATTAAGTTGCTATTACTAACTTCTTTTAGAAGTGTGAAGCACTTACAAAAAGACAAGTGTTATAGAGGCATATTTACTTACAGGGATTCTATGGGACTACTATTAATATGTGCAACAAGTAGATAATAGGCAAGTTTCATGGCGCACCGCAATATGTTTGTAACGTGTTTCTAACTTGTTTCTAGGACTTAGGCGCTATCTCTAGTTAATTAATCCCTACAAGCGTGACTGGCGCTAGCAACTTTGATCTTGCATAAGATTTTGTTAAGTACATCTACAAAGAAGTATTTACAAAGCATGTAAAAGAGAGCTAGATAATACTACCTCTTTACGTCTAAGTGAATTACTATAGGCATTAACAGTAGAGGAATACTTTTAGCTTGCTAACCTCCTCTCACGTAAGTAAACACATTCTGAACCTGTTCTAAACGTGTTCCTAACTCGTTCTCACATGATTAGAACACAAACCCTCTAAAGATGCCTAAAACTAGGCAATCTATAAGAAAAACCTAGTAATTGCTGCTAGGATTGTGCAATGCTATAGTGAAATGTTAAAAGAGGCATAGGAAAAACTAGAATCTTATTCAAATGTAGCTAAGTAAGCAGGCTAGAAAGGATATAAAACTGGTAAGCATGTAAGTATTCTTGAGGCCACTTAGAAGTAAGTTTACAACCTGTTCTTAACCTGTTAGAATTGTATAAGTAACATCGTGTAGTGCATACTAGATAGATCTGCAGGATATAAAAGAGTTTAAAGCCTAGAGCAAGTTTGGAATACGCTATAACTATAGAACTCCTAATAGGCTTAAGCAAAGGTACCTTAAAAAGCTTTGGAGGGGAGAAAGTAAGTCTTACGCTAGCGTTATGCACATTCGCTAATTGAAACGTGTTTAGAACGTGTTTAGAATGCGTCCCGCAATGATGACAACACTCTGGATAACGATGAAGCAAGTCTTGCTATGTCTAACTTAACTAGATATGTCTTAGTCCTAATAAGAAATAAAAGAGCACGCTTAAAAGCCTAAAGCTAGAGGGCAAGTAGTAGAGCGGTATTAGAAAGAAGTTCACTAGCCCCTTTTCTATCTTCTCCACCACCAGGCTCTTCTCCTCTACTAACAGTAACCTAAAGGTATGCTTCGCGAAACACGTTTACAACACGTTCCTAACTTGTTATTAGTCTGCAACTACAAACTTTGCAATAAAAGGCTCTTCTTAGTAATTAGGCTCTAAAGGAGAGAAAAGAAAAGCTAGAGGTAGATAAGGAAGAACTTGCACAGAAAAAGGCACTGTTTGAATTGCAAAAGGCACAGTTTAAACTTAAGAAAGAGATAGCTGCTTTTTATGCGAGGCAGGGTTAGTCTACAAATATAGTAACTAGTTCCTAACTAGTTCTTAACATATTCTAGTCTATCACGTAAGCATATATAAGCGGATAAATATATATTCTTTCTTCTTCTCTTTCTTCTTCTTTCTTCTTACACTCTATAAGAACTTTTTATATTTAAGAGTTTAATACTGTTTTACTATCTATCTTTCCTAATATTATTAGATATAACTAGTTAATATGGTCCACAAAGATCTTTTGAAGTTAGTATGTGATAGAACGCGTTAGGAACACGTTGTGAACTTGTTCTAACACTAAGTAGGATTCATACTAGCGATATATTAAGCTTGAGTCACTTCTATCTAATACTAGGGCATTCTCTCCTGTAACATCCTACCTAAATAATAGGTGTATAGTATTTCCTAGCGAGCTTTTCTGCTAGGCTATTTAGGCTGGATTAGGGGTACAGGAACTTTGTAGAGTATGTATGCATGCGAGTTAGAACACGTTTACAACATGTTAACAACCATTTTAGCGTCGCTTCTCTAATAGAGGCAATCTTATCCACTACCTTAAGAGGTATCATCCTAAGGTTCAAATAGCCCTAGTAAACTGTGGCAGAACCACAATACAAGGCATTATGGAAGCAAGGATCTTCTATAGGAGCTTAATAGTGAATGCTTAAGAACGTGTTCTAAACACGTTAATAATACGTTCTCCGCTAGTAGAGCAGACTGCACTAAGTGCCTCCTCTAAGGTTTAAGAACCCTCTAAGATAGCTAGTCCACAACAAGAAGTGGTAGCTGGAGTAGAGGCTGAAGAGGAAGCAGAGAGTAAAGAAGAGGAGCAAATAGTTGCTCCCCTTTATACTGTGAATAATATTCGGCGAAAGCAGCAAAAAGGAGATGTAAGTCTAGTCTCTTAAAACACGTTTGAAATATATTAACAATACGTTATAGCTAGACACCTATAAATGCTAGATTCTTCTTTAATCTAAGGGACTACTAGAGCTTTACAATATCTATAAAAGTTAAAAGAAAAAGTTATATACTATTAAAGGACCCTATAAAAGTAAACAGTACTTTACTTTTAGTAGATAGAAAAAAAAAGAGAAGAGTAAAGAGTTTATTTTAGTAATTACTACCACCCCTTTAGGTTATGTGCTATTGTACATTGTTTATTAGAACCTGTTCTTAATACGTTCTTAACGTGTTCCTACTTGTTGCTGTTATTATCTCCCTCCCCCTCTCTAGTATCTTCTCTATCCTCCCTAGGCTCTACAAAAGCATACCGCAAGTAGAACTAGGCGGCATTCTAGTAGGAATTAGCAAGGTCCACACTAGCATCAAAGTAACAGTCTTAAAACACGTTAGGAACAGGTTAACAACATGTTGTGAACGACTTACTACAGCCAGGATAATCGCGAGCGCAGATAGCACAAGGAACCTAATAACCTTGAATCCTTAGCAGGGTAGATATAGTAACAAAGTTAAGCTGTAATAAGTTAGCAACGTGTTTTTAACAGGTTCTTGCAGGCTGTACCTTGTTGCTATTATAGCTACTGCGAGTCTTCTTCTAAATTATATTTAGGAGGGTATTAGCATTTGCAGGGGGGCCTATAGCAGCTGCTAGCTAGGCTTAGAGAACTTCTATAAAACACGTTAGCAATAAGTTTTAAATATATTCTAAATAACTTATAGTGAGGAGCGTTCTAGTAATTACGTATAACCTTTATGTAGAAGTCTATATGTATTAGCATAATAAGTTAAGAATAGGTTAATAATATGTTTACTCTTTGCCTCGCGGACCTCTGTTATGGAGGGCTGGCTAGTCTTCTTAACCCTACTAACCTTATAGTAGGCTATGTTAAGCCTATAATCTTTTTTAGTATAGGTACACAGAGTGCCCCTAGTACCCAGAATAGCCTAAGAATGTTAGAACCTGTTTAGAACACGTTTAGAACCTATTCTTACTCTGCACAAGGTGCCCTTGTTGTTAATCTTAGCATAGTAGTAGCGCTCTCTACTCTCTATCTTAACTGCCCTATTAGGGCTAACCATAGGCTATGCCCTAATGTTGTCTAGGACGCGGCTAAGGGCGAGGTACTATTAATAGTGCTTCTGTAACCTGTTAAGAACACGTTCTAAACACGTTTTAATCTGCTTACGTAGGATAAGAGGGATACGTTAGTAATAGGCATAGTGGTGGTGGCTTGTGGTGTCACTAGTACAGAATGTGTTTAGAACAGGTTTAGAACGCGTTGCAAAATCTTACAGCATAATGTTTGGTTAACCTCGCTTAGCTAGCTAGTAGAGCTTGGCACGGCCTAACCCCATGCCGAATACGAGTTCACGCAGCGCTAATTCCATGGTCATATGAACTGCGCCCTCAGTCTAGAGCCCCAAGTTTCCAAGGCGAAAAACTTGCAGTTTAATTGGCGGAGTCGCGAGGACGGGCGATCACCCGCGAAAGGCTCGATCGATTTACAGAGGACGACGTGGTCAGTCTGGACCGCGGATTTTCTCGTAACGTTGTAGCTTCTTTGCCAATCTGGCAGCCGGATGGGGTGTTTTAGTTGGAGCGGGAGAGGGAGTTGGTGGGGCACTGAAGGCTTGGTGCGGATCTGCGGATTTGAGGTCCCGTGCTGGGTTTGGGTTTTTTTGTTTGTTTGTGGATTACTATGTATGCATGTAGGGCTTGGAGAGTCTGTGTTGTGGGGATTGGGTGTGCAGTGTTTCGTATAGGTGTGCATTGTGGGGATTATGGGGTGTGTAGGTCTTCACACAGGCGTGTGGATTGGTGCCTTGCTAGGCGGACGCAATTGGAGACGATGGATCGCATGATACGCTTCAAGGAAAATTTCAAATGCATAATACAGCATGCATCGGGTGGGAACAGTCAAAAATGCATGGTGGTGGTACAGGCGGAAACTCATGATGATTGTCGATGCAACAATGTATTGATTTGAAATTGTCTTCCATTCTAGAAGAGTACCGGTACCGTATAAGAGAGATGATGTTTTCTTGTAACATCATAGTTGCGTCAACGCTTCCACCCATCATAGCCGTCAGCCTGCAAACCGCATCCATCCAAAATTATTGTACAATAGTGAAGCTGAGTATTTGAACCGTGTGAATGTTGATGCAGAAGCCCAAGATGTTGCCTGTGTGGTGGTGGCCAAGCATCCACAGGAAGAAAGAAGAACATGGCATTCACTGAACACCATGGCTCGCTAAGTCGCTAAGAGGTAGGAAAGTCGTTCAAATTCGTGAAAGGTGGCAAGATAGTACTGCCGTTGTCGTGCTCGTCAGGAAGTTCTATCGGGGCTGGGCGATTTTAATTGAGATAGCGATGCGAATGAGTTTGTCATGGCCGAGTAGGCTGTTTGTGATGATCGACTGCTGGAAGAAGATGTAGATGAAGCGCTGTTGGACCGACTTGAAATATTCAGAGTAACACAGCTATCGCATCGTGCAGCGGTGTTGTTGGCCCGGCCTCGGCATCCACGCTCGTAGTTGACGCAGGAGAACATTGTCGAGTAAGTGTGATGGAGATGTAGAGTTGATGTTGGTTGTTGGATGGTTAGATGTGCTTTGGAGAGGAATAGATGACTTGGGTTTCGAAGGCTTGATAACTGTGTGTCCAAGCACTATTCTGAAACCGTTTTCTTCGGCGAAGCGTCGTGAATATATAAGATGCCAGATGATGTAGCCCCACGGAACCCGGAAATGCAGGGTAGCCGAATTGAGCCTGGCCGATGAAACACCCTTAATTGCAGGCGGTGCGGTGTTTTTTCTTTGGCGTGCCTTGGTACCAGAGCTATTTCATCCAATAGAGGGAGAGTACGACGGATTAGGCTAACGCGTGAGAGAGAGGCTTTGTAGACTGGCCTAAAGGATACGAGGATGAAAAAGAGGGCGGGTCAGCAAGTCTGGATGGAAAGTCTCATTGCAATGGAAAAAGATCAGGCAAGCTCCCTCTCTCTCCCACAAATGCACGCAGCAGATTTATACCGTACAGCTTGCGTACAGCTTCCATCTAGATCAGTCCCGGAAAGATGAGGATAGAATCATGCGGATAGAAGGTTCCAAGGCCCAACGGCCATAGCAAGCCACCTTGGCCCATGCGTTCTTCCTGACAACCGGCTCGAGGGTCTACCTACCTACTGTATACACATGCACGAGGTCTGGCCCTGGCCGTACCGGTAGCCTTCTCCTTCGCTCATATGCAGTGTTATACATGCCGAGCGTTAGATCACTTAGACCCTTGGATGCCTGAAGTATGATGAACTGGCGATATCCTCAACCCGGGGGATGCCGGCAAGCGTCGCGCACAAGGTGGCTTCGATGTACGGTTCGAGTGCATAGGAAGGAGATCAAACGCGAAGTGGATAATGTGGCATCTCTCTACCGTATCTGCTGCCCTTTGTCTCTTGTGAGCCACCTACCATACTCTAGACCTTGGGGCCACCGCCAGCCCTGTCGCTTTGGTTCCAAACTTCCAAACCCGGAAACCTTGGAACACCGTGCGACAGCTCGTGGGTTTCCAAGCTTGAAGCAGTCACCCGCCACAAGTTGCAGATGCGTACCGCTGACTTGGGTGACATTGCACCTCAGCTCTCTGCCACTTACGTAGCAATGCCATGACCTGCTCGGCTCCCATCTACCTCGTCCAACGAAATTGTTTCTTTTGCAAGCTCGCAGTTTGATAGGCATGCTGGCTACCCTGGTGCTCCATCGCTCTGTTGTGATCTCTCCGGGATGGTGGTGCCCTCACTTTAATTCTGTAAAGTGTCATCATCTCTCCATGTCCATGACGCCAGTGACACGCGCAGTCTCGACCAAGACCTGCTTTTCTACCCGCAATGCCTTCGAGGCTGTGAATCTGGCGCACGGGCCTCACTCGGCACGTGCCTTGCCGGTACGGTATGGTAACTCCGCAGCCCCCCGAGATAGTTCCATCCTTACGCCTCTTCTTCCTCTTTCCGCTTGCAACGACACTACCCTTATTTCCCCCGCCAGCCACCAATAGTTCGCAGTAGTCTAAGTACTTACAATACATACTTAGTCTGGCTTCTGGCCCAAAGTCTCTGACAGGTTCCCTGGCCGCAACAGAGGGCCGCTAATTGTCTATTTGACCGCTCCCGGTATAACGCGGAACCTAGTTCTGAGACCGGCCGGGCTCTTTCTGTTTACATTCTGAATGACTGATCTAGATCACTTATAACTCGCACCGCTATAACTCTCTTCCTCTGTCAAAAGTAATCAGAAGATGCTTTGAACAGTCTAGATCATGTACAACTTATCCGGCTGAACCCCCCTAAATCTTCCAAAAACCCCATCAGGTCGACAATCTTTCAGCCTTTTTCTTCTGATCCTTTTTATTCCTTTCTCTCTCTCTCTCTCTGAATAAGGTTTGACAATTTTCAAGTGAGGTATCATACCGGTGAGTAACAAGCAACATGATCTTCCTCGTTCCATTCATCCGGTTACCTTGTATACCTCCATAGTGCGGCCGCAGCCAACATACGAAAGGCGATGATCAATTCAGAACATCGATATTTTACCCCGGAGGAAACTAGACAGTAGTATTTTATACCATTATAATTCCAAAGCCAGTATCACAGCACATATCAGAATGCACTACTATCATCTCTACACCTACACATCTTTGCATAGCTCTGTAGCCATCCCATACCACACATACACACACCACACCTCACACCCCGCCCCCGCCCCCCAATCACCCACCCACCAGCCCAATCACCTACCAACCCCAAGCCCACACAAGTCATTCACCCTCCAACTCGCCGTGACTGGTCCGGCCAACCAACCCACCTGCCCTACGACTCGCACCCCAACTACCAACATGACAGCCTTTGCTGCCCAATCTCACCGCCCACAAGTCCCGGCCGGTACATGGCATACATCACTCTTATATACCCAAACCCATATTCCACATGCTTACTCTACATACCACGGTGACGCATCCAGCCGCAGTACCTCCGTATCATGTCTGCATGCCGTGGGCTTACGGTGCCGCTGCTACCCAGGCTGAGGATGGGTATGTGCGCAAGGGGCGCGTGTGCATGTGGTGAGTTTGGCGTTGCGCTGCGCTATTGTTTCTATGAGTGTGGTGTGTGTAATGTAGATGAGTGGTCGGACATGCTGACTTAGAAGAGGGGATTGAATGGGGTGTTTCACGGCGTAGTTTTCACATCTAGAGACAGATGTGGATGGGTGGATCAAGTCTGATATTTGTATGGCATCGCGTGGGTTTGTTGTAGATGGGGCGAGCTTTTTTTTTTTTTTTTTTTTTGCTTTGCGGAGAGTTGGAGCTGTGGGGGATGTGTTTATTCACTCGTTCACTCATCTATCCTGATATTCAGCACACCACTCGCGGTCTGCAATATCTCTGCATTCAATTTTCAAACCAATCATCCCACACCATGCCATATCACGTTCCCGTCCTAATCTCTCCTCAAATCCTCCATCAAGCAGGCGTAAGAAAAAGCGAGTACTTGCCTATAGCTATATTTACCGTCTCATTCAGGTACCCCCTGCTCTCCTGTACCAAATCACCCACCATCATCTCTACCCAAAATCGCATCAGAAACTCACGAAAACATACCCAAAAAGGCTCAGAAAAGGCTGCTTCAAGTGGTTAGTTTCTACAGGTTTTGCATGCATACATCAAGTCAATCTGACATAATCTTTACTTGAACCATTCTAATCATCAATCCTGTATTCAATTGGAATTAAGTTACCAACTGTCAACAACTCCATCCCTCCCCCTGCTTCCCAAGCTCATATTCACTCCAGACCTTTCCCCGCCTTGACCATCTCACAGCCCTGCTCCTTCAACCTGAACTTCTGAATCTTGCCACTTGCCGTCTTGGGGTAGCCGTCGACCCAGAAGATATATTTAGGCACTGTGTTTGACAAATCGTCAGTTGCTTCCTTCTTCATTGCATATAGAACCGATGCACAGGATGCGGAAATCCGAAGGGATGAAGGTACCGCAACGAGGAGAAAATCAATAAACATGACTAGCACGTACCAAGATGGTGGCTCAACTTCTCACGGACCCAATTCCTCAGTTCATCTGCCGTCACCCTTCCCTCGTCTCCGTCATGGCGGACCACAAACGCGGCAACCACTTCTCCGTACCGTTCATCTGGAAGGCCTACGACGCTGACCTCGCTCACGGCCGGGTGGCCAAAGAGGCAGTTTTCCACTTCGAGCGGGTGGATGTTCTCTCCGCCTTTAATGATGAGGTCTTTGATCCTACCCGTGATCTTGATGTATCCTTGCTCATCCAGTGAGGCTTCGTCACCTGTATGCATCCACAGCCTGCCATCTGGATCGGGTCGCAAGACCTCTTTGGTGCGCGCCTCGTCGCTCCAATATCCCTTCATGACGTGGTACCCCGAGACGGCGAGTTCGCCGCGCTCGCCGATGGCGAGGGTACGCGACCAGTCTAGTGGATCGACGACTTTGGCGGTGATGTGGGGCATGAGTTTGCCGACGCTGTCGATGCGCTTGTCGAGCGGATCGTCGGTGGTGGTCATGGCAGAAACGGGACTGGTTTCGGTCATGCCGTAGCAGATTGTGAGTTCGGTGAGGTTCAACATCTTGTGTAGCTTTCGCATGAGTTCAGCAGGGATAGAAGATCCTGCAGCGATGCCAGTGCGTAGGTACTGATAGCCATCTCGCGGTACGGCGCCGAGGGCGAGGAGCTCGAGCTCTGCAACAAACATGGTGGGTACACCGTACAGGCCTGTAGCTTTGTATTCGCGGACTGCCTCGAGGGTGGCTACAGGATCAAAGGCTTCTTTGGGGAAGACTATTGCGCTGCCGTGCGTGGCCGTGGCCATGTATCCGAGGATGCAACCAAAGCAACTGCTACTTATTAACTAAGTATACATTACGGCCCCAATGCTGGACCTACTGGAATAATGGAGGCGGACAGCAGATGACATCATCTGGTGTCAATAGCATTCTGTCGCCAATGCTGTTGCCATTATTCAATATACTGCGGTGGCTCAGGCACGCCGCTTTCGGCATGCTCGTGGTGCCCGAGGTAAATTGTATGTTTACAATGTCATTCGCATCAAGACCTTGATCTTCTAATGCGCTGTCATGTGCCCCGTCTTCCATCACATGTTGATATCTTGTTAAGCTCTTCTGTTCACTGATATCAACCCGCCCTTGTGAGTTATCGACGAGAACAACATGCTGTAAGGAGGGTACGAGTTCCGACTGAAGCGTTATCCCGGCAAGATTTGGCACCAGATGTGTGAGAAGTGGGATATTGGAGCGTGGGTCTTTGCGAGGAAGGTTTGTTTCGGCACCGATGATAAGATGGGAGGCGGCCAGGTGATTGAGTGCGGAGAGGACTTGCGGCGCATTGAAGGCAGGATTCAATGGCACCTAGAACCACTCGTTAGCTTGCGAGTTCTTTCCTCTTAAAATCGGAATCGGCATACAAGTATAGCCCCAAGCTTAAACAGCGCATATGTGACCTAAACAACGGTCAGCGAACGTCCCGAATATGCGACGACATGCCCTGCATACAGTCGCAAACTCAGCATTATTCCCTAGCGACACGGCGACTCGATCGCCCTTCTTCACACCCAGCTTCTGCAGTCCTCGAGCCAAGGTATTCGAGTCTTGATCGAGCGCATCATATGTGAGCCGTATTCGTTGGTGATGTGATATTACTCTGCATTCCGTCAGTTGAGCCAACTGGGTTCTAGGCAAGGGAGTCGACAGACGCGTCACGATCGCCATATTGCTTCACAACAGTTGCAAAGTGCTGTGGGACAGTGTACTCCAACAAAGGGGGCTGTGAAGGTGATCAGAGCCGTCCATTGCAATGCTGTATCCGTATCCGTAGCAGACGACTTACCTCGGATGGCCCCACGCTGTAAGCTGGAGTGAGGATGCCTCGCCGCGGGGTATGCAGCCGCCGGGCAAGCTTCGGTGACCGCGAAAGGAGCGTGCGAAGCATCTTCACAGCTGCAGCGCACCCAAGAGTAAAGGAGATGACCAAACATCTTGCTTCCCCGAGGCTGGCCCGCGTGGGTCAATGATGTATGTTGTCGGAACTGAGCCGCGGCCCTGTACGTGAATATGCGGGGTATAGTTTGCCCAGGGTCCACGACAAGGCGGCTCAAAGCCGTGACGGGCCGTCCACGTCCCACATCACGGGCGATGCTTGCGCCTTGACCTCTGTGCACCTAGGTATATGCGATGGGACGCGTAAAGGGGACCTGTATGGGGACGTCGATGGAGCGAGAAGTAGTGTGTCTATTGATTATGCTATCAAGGGAGACCGCTCCAACATCAAGACATGGTTGTAGCCCAAATCCAAGACTCCCAAGTTGCTGTAGGCAATGAACGATCGGCCACAAGGAAAATGAATCTCATCGTTCGAATTCGAGCACCCTTCGACTTGCATCGCTCCCCGATCTATTTCTCGTCGTCTTGATTTCCTCCCCACTGGCCCTTGTGGGGGACAGCAACTCAGGTGGAGGGACACTCTTTGCCGACTCGACACCTGTTGTCTCGGCTCCTTCAAGTAAATCAAGGTCTTTCGCATTGACCTCCTCCTCGTCCTCTTCATCGTCTTTCCCATGACGTGCTTCTTTATCTAGCTCTTTCTGTGCTTCGTCGTATCTCCGCCGCACTTCAGCTGCAACACGCATTCCATCTGTGACAATGTTGTCCAGCATGCCACGAAGACCTTTTCCTGGGGGTACGACACCAGCGCCAGCTCCACCAACAACACCGCCCAAGCCACCTGCGACGGCTGCAACCTGCCTGCCAGCGTTGGAAAAAGTAGTTAGGTTGTTAGAGGTTGCAGATGCAATCGTTGTATCTGCAAGCCGGAAGGACGAAGAAAACCCGACCTCAAAGAACTGCTCGAGTACCTCGTCGGCAAGTATTACCATACGAAATGTCGGTAAAGTGATATGTAAAGGCTTGTTCGGATCTAACGCGAGATTGGCTGCCTTTGCTTTCTCGCCGCGTTCGGCCAACTCCGAATCGCTGGTAAGGTTAGAGGGTGTAGGCGACAGAGGATTCTGCTTGTTCTTGTCAAGTTGTGTCGTTGCTTTCGCTTTCGGTGTAGCAGGTGCGGACCCGAAGTCGATCAAGTCATCCTCTTCGTCGTCGCCAATAGCAAAATTGTCCACGTCCTCCTGTACCTGATCGACACCTTGATTGTCCTGATTTGAAGCATGGTCGGGGTCAGCATATTCAAAGCATCGACGAATGAAGGCTGAAACGCTGCTCAAGAAACGTTCGTCTCGGCTCGCTCGTTCTGAACCTGGATCGGATCCGATATCGAGCGAAGAAGCCGATGGGCTTCCGTCATGGACACCTCTCCTTGACAGAAACAGAAGGGCTTCTGATATCCTTAGGATGCCCTCCCTATCGACCCGGCCGTCACCGTCGTCATCGTAGAGCTCGAAGAAATAACTGATGTTCGACATGATGTCCTTGGTGCCTTTGACGTGGGCGAAGCCAGTCACAACATTTTGTAGAGACAATGAGTCTGTCATGTCAACATCCCAGCGTCGAAACAGTCGTCGCATGAACTCATGCTCTGCTGGCTCCGGACCTGACCCCCATTGTGACATCGGAGGTCTATTCCTCGTGCTGTTACCAAAGTACGAATGCGAAGCCGCACTGTTTTTGGCCTCCAGCGGTGGGCTCGGAGAATCGGTAATAGCCCATTTGGCGATACCTAGACTAGTGTCAGTGAAATTTACAATCGTTGATCTGAATGACTTACCAGCCAAAAACTCTCTAAAAGCATCGTAATCCATCTGTGTAGGGCTGGGCCCAAGAGCAACACGCCCAACCTGTGTGTTATTGCCTGGAATTCCGGTGACAACTTCATTTGCTTTCATACGGCTAGCCTTTGCTTTTCGCTCCGCTTCTTGTTGCATGACCTCGGCTCGTTGCTGTCGTTCATATAATACGGCGTAGAATTTATCGTACAGGAAGCTCAAGTCATTTAGACTCAGTTTTTTGCTCTCAGGCCCTAGGTTCCTTATTGAGGTGCGTTTTGCAAAGCTCTCGATATTCTCAAGGACAGCGTCCTTGTGCTTGGCCCTCTGTTCTGAAATTGTATTTTGTGTAATGCCAGCGAATTCTTTGAAGGCCACGACCATGAGCTCCTGGAATCGAGTGACAGCCCGCAGCTTGGGGTTCTCCGATTTGGGATGGGCTGATTCGTCGAGCCTTGAGAAGTACGATTTAAGTACTGAGATAAAGGACCCATCGTCTGCAGCATCTAGCAGCTCTTCGCCATTGATACGTAAAATGGCGAGGCCAATTTGAAACAACACTTTGGGTCCTTCGAGAAAGAAAACGTCTAGTACGCGGAATGCAAAGATCAAAGGCATAGAGTTAATGTAAAGCGAGAGAAACCAGGGTAAAGAAACAACAGATAGCTGCACGTCCGATTTGACGAGATGATCCCACAGTATTGGCATTGTCTTTTCGACCAATGACTCAAAAACTTTCTGATCCAGCAAGGTACCGTACATGGTTTGCGAGTAGTAACCAGGGAGGAGGCGATCGCATAGCACTGACAGAAGATAGAATGCCTGTGACTCGGACAGATAACTGAAAATGTTATTAGCGTTTGCCAACGGAACAGAGACTTGACATACATCAGCAATGCTGCTACGACGATGTTCATTGCCTGACAGTAGCCGACTTCTTCATTCGTCCAGCTGTAGGCTGTCAAGACTCGCCGCAGTCGCCCAATTCCCTCTTCACTCTGGAAGCCAGGATATTCGGGCAAACTCCTATTCAAATCCTTTTCAATCTCATCAATTGCCAATGATTCCCGCCCCGAGTATTTCGATAGCGTTTCGGTGTACAGGTTTGGACTTTGCAGACGCAGAAAGAATGCGCCAGATGTGAGTTCCCACATCTCACCTCGTAGGCGGTTGGGTAGGCCAACGCGAATAAGTTTGTGGAAGGTCGGCTGTCGTATGAGGGTTGCGCTACGCCCGTTGTCTATTCCATGTCAGAAAGATGGGCTAGCGCAGTGTTGTGCGACTTACCTTTGAGATAGTCGCGCCATAACCTGATTTTTGTAGCATCCCTGAGCTTTCGTGCATTGCCTGGATAGCGAAACACCATGCCTAAGCCGGTATCTGGGTGCTCCCGCTCTGGTTTCACATCCTCGCCGCCAGCCTCTCGCTTTTCGGGCGTCTCGAGGAGATACTCGGAGTAGCACTGGCCAACAACCCGTCGCAGATTGTCCACCTCCTTAACACCTTCTCTCAGCCCTTTCTTCAGTCCGTCACAAAACCGCTCACATGCCTGTCGCGAGCCGGCCAGCTGTATCGTAAGCTTCTGACCGGCAGGCGCTTTTGATTTGGCGTCTGGTATTCCGTTCCAGGTTGTAATGGCCAAAGCAAACATGTAGCTCTGACTGTGCAAGCGTTCCACTCTCCGTATCGCACATAGTGGCAGCGTGAAGCCGTTCCCTGCCGGGCCGGACCCGTGCGTCTGACCTGTGAAGCTGCTAGACGAGCTCAAACTGGCCGTGTTCACGAAGCTGGAGCCGGTGGTAGAGAAGCAGAGATACTGCTCGCTAAGGTGCAGCTTGCCCACATAGTGATTGCCCTGACTGCGGTCCTTCTCGGATGTGACGTCGCCGGTTCTTGTGGAATGGTGGGGCTGCAGCGTGAGCTCGGCGGTGATCTCCTGGAGGGGGTTTTGCGAATCAGGAAGGCGGAACTGGTGGCGGAAGAGGGTCGCTTTGGAGGGTCTCCGGTCGGTGGGCGTGGGCGCTGCAATGTTATTGAGTGTCGGTTCGATATACTGCTGCGCCTTCTGGACTAGGTTGGAGAGGTTGAACATCTTCGGACCTGCCAAAGGAGAGTGGGGGAACGAAGGCAGATTATGCGACAGGTAGATTGGAATTGTAAATCATTGCGTGGACATATGCAACGCGCGCTGATCAGCTCGCAGTGTCTTCGAGACTGTTGTCCGTGTATTGTAGGTATCTTTGGTATGCAGGGTGGTGGAGGTGGCTAGCTGTGGCAGGGCAACTGCTGAGGCTGAAATGTGGAGCTTATGTAAGATCTTGAGGCAATCAAGTCGGGCCTTGCATTCCGACATGTCGATTCAAGCCACTTCCGACGCGTTAGTTTCTCTCTGCACATTCTCCCTTTTGTACACACTGCTCAGCCCTGGGGCCGTTTTTCTTCAATTAAGAAAGGCGCAATGGATTATCAGCCCGTCTGGGTTGCCTATAGAGCGCTGTGCTTTGCCCCACCCATCCCATGATCAAAACACAACTAGCCATCCTATATCCGTCCCTGTTTGAACCGGCTTGCGCCCCATCCTATTACCCTTGTATTAAAAGTCTAATCACCGTCTGTCGTTTTCTGCGCTTACAATACATTTGTTCGCACCTCCTCAAGTGCAAGTATAGGCCCCATCCACTCTCAAATCAGCTCCCTGCGGAGTGTTAGCGGGCTCCGAGACGGTGGTATAAAGTGTTTGCTTACCGTCACATAGGAACTGGCGTCACTGGAAAGAAACGTCACAGCGCCCATCAAGTCCTCAGGTCGACCCATCTTGCCGACTGGGATCAACGAAGTCCATTGCTTCTGGAGCTCTGGGTTGTCATCAAGAATCTTCTTGGTCCTAAAGGGGCGTTAGAGCCAAAAGGTTATGAAATGGCACGATGTACACTTACAATGCTGTAAGCATGTATCCAGGCGAGATGCAGTTCACACGGATGCCTGCATGTGCCCACTCGACTGCCAAACTCGACGCCAAGTGACGGACCGCGGCTTTGGCGGCGTTGTAAGGAGCCTGCGGCTGCGGAACGTTGACAATGGCGCCAGACATGCTGCCAATCATGACAATGCTTCCTGGTACCTTCCTCTCCATCAAGTGTTTAGCTACCGCAACTGCGTATAGATAGGTGCCGTCCACATTGACCCCCCAAAGCTTCTGCATGCGGTCGTGCGGGTACGAGATGGCGTCGTAGTTTTCAGTGAAGCCAGCCGAGGTGACGAGGTTGTCCACTTTGCCGTGGGTCTTCACAATTTCTGCGAAAGACTGGTTCACCGAAGTCGGGCTGGAGACATCGCAGAAATGCGCAGTAATCTTGGGAAGCCTGTTCCTCGTATTAGTGACTGAAGTGTGAAATCGGCATCTTGGTGGTCTGACTTGGTCAATCCAGGATTCTCCTTCTTGACGAGATCGAGAAGTCCCTTTGCAGATCGCGCAGCTTCGTCACGGTTCATGTCGACAATGGCGACATCAGCGCCTGATGTGACCAGTGCTTGGGCCATGACCAACCCAAGACCTCGCGCGCCTCCTGTTACAATGGCAACCTTGCCCTCCATGGAGAATGATGCGAGAGTGCGCTTGAAGTGCTCTCCTCCCTTTCCCACCACAGGGTTGGATGGCGGCAGATCCTTTTCTTCTGGGTACTCTACTTTGATATCTTGATTTGTTCGTGCATACTGCCCTTCGTGATCGCCACTCTGGCCCGGTTCTCCCGCTGTTGTTGCATAGTTGACATCGTCATCATCGGGGCTTTTCTCGAACCGTCTGGGGGAGGATGTGAATCGCCTGAGGGAAGAAAGAGCAGGCTGGGCAGGTCGAGGGGCTACACGTGGAGCTTGGGCTCTGGCTGCCGCACGAGCAACTTGACGGATTGTCTGTGATTTGAACATGATCAAAAAGAAGAATAACGACAAAAGTCAATTGAAGTCGAGATGGAGCCTGGATCGAATTCTCAGGCCACCGCAGGTGTCTTCGAGAAGAAAGAACGAGAAGCTGGAAACGCTCAGGATGTGTGGTGAGTCGAGTCGCAATGAGCAAGCCTGCTTGGTTGGGCTGGCGGAGGTACTTCGAAGCGATCGGGTCGCCAAGGGTCGGCTCTCGCAAAGTCTGTGAAAGTCGGTCAAGGGCACAGGGAAGGATTGGAGTGGAGAAATCTCACGATGATTTTGCCCATGCCAGAAATCAACGATCGCTTCTCTCAACAGCTCAGCTTCCGCGACAACCCCACCCGAAGATCGGTCCCACACCATGACGTCGCTTAATGCAGGGAGAGCTCCGTCAAGCTCGAATCGTCTCTGCAGGGCGAAGGGCGAAGGCCTGTCCTCCACCCACGTATCCTCTTTTATTCAACGCCATCGCAGTTGCTGCTCCACCACCCAAGAGTGCTGTGGAGAAAAAGATTGTGGCATGGTTGCCAAAGCCAGCGTAGGGCCACACCGTTGCCAGCACACGCGTTTTCGAGCCGCGATTGTGCCCCGATTACGCGAGAGGGTGTGATTGGGTTCACGACATAGGGTAGATGCCTACACCGCAGGCGCCCTCCTTCTAGACGGTGAGTAAAATACCGGAGGATGCGTGCAGCATTCGGGGTGGTTTCAACTATACGGTGAGCAGACATGTCAACTCCCTACCATGTACCATTCACACTACGCTTGCATCATGCGTTAAGCTGTGCTTGTATGTGGGAATACCTATCTAGAGTAGTATTTCCAGTCTCCCAACTTCCTATTGCTGGTTCCAACGCGACTTCCATTTGCTACCTAGTCCCAATGCCGATCCTGCGCGCGACTCCATCCTGACGATGACACTCACACAACAGCAGCCGATCCTAGCACAACACAAGTACAACCAACATGTTCCAACTCTACCTCGTCACCTTCAACTGCGCGCGAGAACTTGTCGATCCGCAGTCACTTGCTCCTTGCTTCTTCGATGCCTTGCCGAAAGAAGCACCCGTGCCAGATCTCATCGCCATATCGCTGCAGGAAATCGCACCCATCGCCTATTCTTTTCTCGGAGGCTCCTACCTCAAACCATACTTTGATCGGCTCACCACCGTCGTTCAGCTCGCAGCAAATCTCCGAAGTCATGGGGAGCTCGTGCATGTCGCGACACGCAGTCTGGGCATGACTGGCCTCATGATCTTTGCGACTGCCAAATTCGCACAAAGGATCAAGCATATCCAGTCCGCAGGTGCGGGCGTTGGTTTCTCCAACATGGGCAACAAAGGCGCGGTTGCCATGCGTTTGGGCATATCCTGCCCAGGCTCACAGACGACGCTCGAGCTAACGTTCAGTGCGGCTCATCTTGCCCCCATGGAGAGCAACATAGAAGCCAGGAACAAAGACTGGGAGATTCTTGTCCGAAACCTCGTATTTATCAACGGTGATGATTCCCCATACAGCTTCGCCAGAGAGGAGAAAGTTTGTGATGCCCCAGAGGAATTGCCCGCAGATCACAATGGCCTCTTCACCACTGGAAATCATGTCTTCTTCTACGGTGATTTGAATTATCGAACACATGATTCGCCGCCAGACGAGGAAGCTTACAAACTCTTTCCTCAGCGAACAGCCTCAGAATCTTCAGAGGCGCACTTCTCACATCTATTGAAGCATGATCAACTCACTCGAGAAAAGGCAGCTAAGCGGACATTGCATTACTTTGAAGAGCTTCCCATCAACTTCCCACCAACATACAAATATGCCATGTCCAAGGGACAGAACTTGAGCGTCCCAAAGCGCACACTTGCGGTCGACGATGAAGACTGGCAATGGTCTAAGCACAGATATCCTTCCTGGTGCGATCGTATTCTTTATCTACCATCCCACTCTTCTTCTGGATTGGAACCACAGATATACACTGCTCTTCCAGTTCAGCCGACCTCTGATCATCGGCCTGTAGCGCTGTCGTTACGAGTTGACGACAAACCACTCGCAGCATACGAAAGCGATGCTCCTTGGCAGCCTCCTTTTCCCATCAATCCACAATGGAAAGATCGCCGGGACGCCGCTCGTCGATGGGAGATCATAGTAGGTGTCTTGTCATATCTGACCTTGACTGGCAAGGGCAACGCCATACTAGTCACGCTTTTAGGTGCTCTTGCTGGCAGCCTCTGGTTGGCAGGTCGCTTCGCCAGATAACAGCTATCAACGATTTATTCCATGTCCCAAGTAACGACTACTTTCTCATCGTTTCAGGCTATGTTAGCTGCCGCCATTGTTGCCACACCCAGCTTATCGAGGATTTGGTAGGCCAGCACCCCGTAGCATCGACCTCTTCAAGGAATTCTACTATTTTCTGCCAATCACAATCATCACTCAATATCACAGCAAATCTGTGTATGGCGCGAACCGCCACTGATGTTGTTGATACAGCATATGCGTCACATCGAGCGCTTGCAATCATCTCTTTCAGCCCTTTCAAAATCTCATATCGAACGTTTAGTACGGGATTGGATACAAAGATGCCGCCATAGTTTCCAGCGGGAACATGCGTAACGAGCGCCATGTGACAAATCTGCAAATACACATTGGCAGCAGCTATGTGAGTTAGCGATCGTATCATTATCTGCAAAATCTGCTAAGCACGGCTTACCATGGCACGGACCCGATATCCACAATCCAGGGCTGTCTCTTGGATTCTCGGGATTGCGATCATGTGAGAGTGCATTGAAGCTTTTTGGACTGGTCGATTCCCACTCGTGCACCAAAGCTCTTAGCTCATGCCATTCGCTTACTGAGCACGTCTTTTTTCCTATCCACTGTAAGATGCGTGCGGTCAGCCAAATTATACGATTCTCCCAACAAGCATTATCAGACTGCGATGTCGGTATATCGAGAATATCTTCGCTGTAATCGATGTGCAAGCTTGGCCGGTTCAGGAGCGCATGATCAATGTCAAATCGAACGTGCATCATCAAGCAGGCTTGTACCAGAGGATTTGACATATCGAACAGCCAGCCTCCAGGTCCTTGAAACAATTCGTAGGTAGAAAGGTGCATCTGCTCTTGAGTGCCTGCTAAACTAAGTCAGCTTTGTAACCTCAGCTGCGTCTTCTGAGCAACTTACCTTGGAATTCTTCAAATGCTCTAAGTAGCATTGCCGCAAAAAGTGTCGCATCGTCTTCAATCCTGCCTTTTTCTGCCAGATGAGGTATGAGATGCTGCAACAAACGCTCATGGTAGAAATATGGGTTCGCTGGAAAGTTGATATGGAAGCGTTGGATATGTTGCGCAGAGTACATGAGGATGGCATTAAGCAACATAGAGTTTTGCATCGCCAATGCCGGAACCACTTGCCTGAATATTCTGTTCGAGCTCGTTGAGTCCCACCATCTGGCTGCTTCGTCTACCCAGAAGCGGAGGAGACGGCCTTCGATGGGATCTGCAAGTGGCCATGCCAAAGGATGTTCAATCTTTATGGAATCGCATACGAGCTGAGATGGCAGTTCGTCTTGCCACGATGAGGGCACGATATCATCGAGGCTAGAAACTGATTCTGGCCCGGAATTTTTGTAAGGAAACCCGTTTACTACGATACGACTTGGCCAATAGACATCGGGACCTGTGGGTGTCGAATCTTCTATTCCGTCATCAAAATAATCTCCTGTTGCCCGGAGATTGTCACCCTGTATGGACCGCAATCGTAGGGCAGAATCACGTCTTATACGTGTGCTTCTGGAGCGGTTTACACGCCGTGTAGTAGTCTTGCGACCTCCAACGAAGATTGGACTGTCGACACCCTCACCACCACTGCCATTCTGAATGGGATCATTCACAAAATCAACTGAAAGGTCAGCACCCACACCATTTGATTTGAACACATCGGTGATATATACCTTTCCCTGGAGTCTGGACCCAGGTTTGCTCACTGCCAAAGAAATAATCGTACTTCTTGATATCTTCCCTAGTTGCTTGGCTCTCCAGATTTGGGTATACACCATGTCGGAACCGAACCCTGAAACTCGACTTCTTGGCCATGGGTTTCTGATACCGAAACTGATATATGACTTAGTGCCAAGTCCCATAAGAACGTGCTGTTAAGTTGGAACGAAGTAGCGAGCATGCAAACCGTCTTGGGTAAGTCCTGGAAGATTGGGCCCCGCAAAGATGACTTGATAAACTCGCCCCGCTCGAAGCATATGTATCCCGCAACCACAGCGACCGCAAACGCCGCAGGGTCCTCGCTTCAGCGTCGACATTTCACTAGTCCTCGACGAAGGGCGCAACAGATGGGAAGAGCGAGATTACTCAGCCTAACAGCGGTATGCACTATTCACCGTCGACAGTGCGATTTGCACGCGCATGTTGATGCCTAGGTGTAAGCGAACCATATATATGGGTTCCAGTCAGTCTTGTCCAGTTACCATGGTATACGACGCATTTCTCCGTGGATCAGGGCATGAGGCGTACCGACAGGTCGACTAGCAATACACCGATCATCATGTGGACGATAAGCCTACATACATCATACCAATATCAATGCTCTGCCTCCAATCGGTCACCCGCAACAAACGGCGCGCAACAGAATCCACCATCCCATAACTTTATGGGGTGAGCTAGGGCTGGCAGTGCTGAGTGTCCATATAGGAATACATTTCCTGCAGCGTTGAGTAAGCAGCTACTACACTTGAAGTCAGTTTAAATAATTATTGAATCACAAACTATCCCCGAGTCAGCGATTCAACACCGCGCACGGGGAGGATGATGAGGCGTTACACAACATATATCAGCTGTATCGGCAGAAGTTCCGTCCCATTCAGCAATCTTAATTTCTTCCTGTCGGCTGCCGGACGACGTCATGCCGCACGTGCCGCTAGACACTGACGATGCCGCTGCCGCTTTCTCCCTCAAGCATGCCGAATAATCAAGGTTACATCTCGGTCAGCGAGCGTGCACGAACATGCCCAGTGAGATGATCACCTCTCATTGGGTCCAGCCACGGCGTCGTTGACTAAAATCCATATGTGGACATATATAATCTACACACCAAGCATCATCTTCCTCAGGAGTACTTCGGAGATGTGTGTGTGAACGCATTGTACATGACGCCGTGGAACGTCGCTTTGAACACTCGGCCGAAGAGGATGAGATGATTGTTCATGCATCAGCTCGGAGTTAAGGGGTGTTTATATCCACCAATCAAATTGGGAGCATGTGTTGCTGTGCTGAAGCTTACTCTCTATCGTATAAGCTTTTGGAGCGTGTTGTGTGTAGAGTAGAGGATCTCTCGCATGTATACTACGAGGAGCGATTTGGGTCGTCTCCTTGGAGTGGGTGAAATTCAATGAAGCGTTGGGGTTGGGGTGTTGATTTTTGGTGGCTGTAGTGAGTGTGGGAGGAGATGGTATGGCGGTTGCATTAATGGGAACGGTGTTGCGCGTTGGGTTTAAGTTGATGCTTGCAGTGCCTAGTGTGGCTGGGCATGTGTACAGCTAAGTAATTTACGAAGAAACACATTGTGAGTCATGAGAGGCGATGTTCATGTTGTAGCGGATCCAGCAAATTCCACACAACCAACACTTGTTATAACATGGAGATTCACAACTCTGCTCCGCCAGCTTAGATTGGTGACATTATGGTTTCCAACGCATAATCTTGAGCCATGTGCTTGGGAGATGCGAATGCTCAACTACATGTACGATTCTTCCAGCTGATCAATGAGGTGTATGGAGTATTGAGGCAAATATTGGCTAGCAATGGTGCTAACGAAAAGCAGGTGACTCACTCAAACGATGAAAATATCCCTGACGAAGCTACACAAAATCCCTAGAATAGCCGATCCTTCGACTGACTTTGCTCTGATAACAACCACCTCGCACGTCCCATACCATCCCTACTCCTTAAACGGCGTGAATCTCTCCAACACAGCCTCCGCCTCCTTGAGCTCCTTGAACAAGACCTCTCTATGCGCCTCACTCCTGATCCTAATCTCACACCGAAACTTCTGCGGCCGGATATTAAAGCCCTCTGTGTACGCAAAAGTATCATACACCACGCCCTCGACAGGCGCGATATCAAATGCCCACAGGATCTTGGATAGAGCAGCGAACAGGGAATTCTCGGCAAGATTTGCACCGGGGCAGATTCTTCGTCCCCAGCCGAATGACGAGTGGCCTGCCTTTGCCGGGTGCGGTTTGCCTGTGAGCGGCGATGGGGCTTTGGCCCGCTCGGCGAGCGCAGAGTCGAGGAAGCGCGTGGGGTCGAAGTGGTGCGGATTGGGATAGTATTCTTCGTTCAGATTGATGGCCCAAGAGTTGCCAAGTACGGTGGTGCCGGCGGGGATGTAGTAGCCTTCGTAGTGGTCGTCCTCGGTGGAGGCGTGCGGTGTGCCGCCTAGGACGGCGACGGGGCGCCAGCGCAGGACTTCTTTGGTGAGAGCGCGGATGAAGGGGAGATTGGCTTCATTGTCGAATGTGGGGGTTCGGTTTGGGCCGATGACCTTGTCCAGCTCGGCGTGGGCGGCGTGGAGAACCGAGGGGTGGGTGACGAGGGCGAGGAAGGCGGTGCATAGGGTCGAGGCTGTGGTATCAGAGCCCGCGCCGAAGAGAGAGGCGGGTATGTAGGAGAAGTCACGGTCGGAGAGTGGGATGTGTTCTTTATCGCGTAACTCGAGGAGGAGTTTACAGAGAGAGTCGGGAATGGTGTCGCCACGGCTCTTCGCTTCAGCCATGTCCGAGCGAACGAGGTCAACGAGACCCATATTCGTCGCTGCTTCTTCGCGCCCGTGGGCTTTGATCTCTGCCTTCCATGGTGCGAGCAGGTCCGGTATGTACTTGAGCACCGGAAACGACTCCACCAAGTACCTACCCGGGACATTGAGTGACGAAGCATAGTGCATAAACTTGAAGCGCTGGTGAATAATCTGCGCGTTCAGCGAGTCGATGCGGTGCCCATACGCCACGCAAAACACAATGCTAGACGTGAAGCGCTCGAGCAACTTCTCCCAATCTGCAGGGCTTTCCAGGAGCTGGTAGCATAGCCTCGTCGCTTCTGCGTTCTGCACGGGCTTGTATAATCGCAGTGCCTTTGGCGTGAGCGCCTGATGTAGGAGTTTCCGCCTTACGCTCCACACCTTGCCATACGGTTGCACTAGTATGCTCGCTCCATCCCACAATATCTCGCCCATGGCCACCATGCGCGGTCTCGACGAGTACTTTGTACTCCGCTTCTCCATCAACTCCACCGCCACATTCGGATCTGAAATCACGACCGTAGGCCGCCGCCCGATCCACACCGTGAAGATGGGGCCGTAGACCTTGGCCCACTTTTCGAATTGTATCCACGGTTTCGACTTGGGTAGGTCGAATCGGTTGCCTATGAAGGGCAGCGGCGTGGGCCCTGGAGGCATGCGTGACCATATCCAGACATCGTGCAGCAGTGTCGCGAGAGGAATGACAAGGAGTAATGACAGCCACACCAAGGCAGGAATTTGCGTCAGACTCTCTAGAGCCATGCTTGTTGGATTTGCAAATGCTGTGCCCGCACACAAAAAGGTAAGAAAGAGAGTTGGAGTCGCGACATGTAGAATAGCAATAGGAAGGGGATCAAGACCTTACCAAAGCCCTGTTATTTCCAGCCGTACGATACGATACCCTCTTTTTCAACGTCACGCTCGGCAGTTTTGAAGCTCGGCAGTTGTTATGCCTCGCTGTTGATATTCCGTGCTGGCTAAGGGAGGAGAAGTGCACCGTTGCGTTCCCTCTTCACGCGTTGTCCTCGTACACCTTGAAACCTTCCACACATGACCCAAATAACGCGACTCCCACTCCTATATGGCCTTGACATCCATGAAGCAAACGAGGATTGGAGTGTTATCAAAGCACGTCGACAGGCTTTCAAGCATCATCCATTTCCTTGAGGCTGGGCGATGACAAGCGGGGTAGCGTAGATCCAGGCCCCCCCCAACTTGGCGGAAACCTTCTTCCCCCCTGCACACAAACCGCCTACTCCTTCAAAAGATAGCCGTGCGAAGGCAAGCAAGCATTCAACCCGAATCCCATTGATTGGGTCTTTTTCTTGCATGTGGGGATTGGCCCGGCCGATGCCGCGGTTTCAGAGTTCCGTAGAATTTGGCGTGTTCCCGAGGCCTTGATTTTGTGTGGCGGTTGAGGTTGTCGGAATTTGGGATTCCGAGCGGGGGTGCGTTCCGAACAGTTAGCCGGTGTCTCTTAGCGTAAATCAATCCGACGTCCGACAAGTTATGAGACACTGCGATCTGGCATTGTCAATTGAAAAGACTTGGGCCATTGGGTGATGGGATATTCTGGAATGCATCGATTCATAGATTTGAGATTCAGGAGGCGAAAAGAGAGGTCATGTCTGAAGAACAAGTGTATGAGCGCTCACTACCGGTACGCAGAAAAAAAACTCAAGTATAGGGGGTGGTGTTAAAGGCCGTGATGGAACCGGCTTCACGATGGGCACTTTTCATTCACCGGACACATCTCAAGTAAGTACAAGGAACTGACTGATCAATCGATTACAATACAATTGGTTTCGGTAAAATTGATCGCCAGATTTTGCGGCATATGTGTGAACAGACTGCGCGTCGAGACAGGGTCATATCACAACTTTTGTACAGTCCCATCTATTGACACGCACCAAGACATATCCTCTTTCCTCCACACAAACTTTTACAAGCCACCCATGCGATCCCCAAGAGGTCTGCTTCTCAAACGCGCGCCAGGTTGAGTCGAGCTAGCAGTATGATTTTGAATCCCAGTAACAAACGGCTCGGTGCTACTGAAATCCTTAATACGGCCCAGAAGAATCTCCAACATACGGAAGGAGACACCTGGAGTTTCACCAGGCAACATATGGCCCGCAAGCCGGGCAGTATAAAACGTGAGACCGCGTTCTTTTGTCCACACGCCCTGGGTGCCATGGCCAGCAGGGGAGCCCCTGTTGTAGTCTGAGTGGTAGGGCGCGTACAGCTCGGTGCTTGGATATTTGGAGAACCCCTGGGCGCCGTTCCACGTCATGTTTTGGAGGGCGAAGAGGGTTCCGTTTACGGAGAGGAGGAAGTCAAGTTCGCCGGAGCCGATGATGGTGTTGTTTGTGTACTCGATGACGCGCTGGAGGACGCCGCTGTTGGCGGGGGGAGGCGAGGCGTCTACTGCATTGCTGGTGGCGTTGCCGTTGCCGAAGACGTTGATTGTTGCGCAGAGTTGCCAGTTTGAGTTGACGTCGGCGTGGAGGGCGCGCTTGACATCTGTTCGGTTGAAGTAGTTTACGGCACCGGGCGGGTCGTAGTCTCCCTCATTGGCTTGGCCGAGCACGGAGCTGGGCTTAGGGCAGGTGTCGGTGATGTGGTAGATGTTGAAGCAAGGGTTGACTTCCTGAAGGGCGTTCACGAATGTGGAGTACATGTCGCAAGTGGAATTTTCCGTTTTGAATGGGCTCTCCAGAACGGGGAATGGACCCTTTGGTGGAGGGAACTTGAAGTACGTGTCCCAGTATTCTGCGTATCCACACTCTTTCTGCTGCTGAGCCGCGTCTGCCATGACGGTGGGGTTGAGGTACAAAATCTTCTGCCAGAACTCAACGTATGGATAGAGCACAACCGCCTGTTCAACGGTCTCATCGCCAACAGTAGGGTTATTGATTGAGATACCCCCCAAGTTGAAGTACTTTTTGTCATTCGCCGAGATGAAGCTGTCGGCGATGTAGGGAACATAGTAGCCAGCATATGACTCGCCCGTAATGTACGTCTTCCAGTTGTGAGTGGCAAAGGTGTCCACAAAGTTCTTATAGAATCCGCGGAACTGGTTAGCAAGCCCTACTTCGTCGGTGATGCTCGGGGTTCCCTCAGAGTAGCCAACGCCCACAGGTTGCTCAACCCAAAGTACGTTTGTCAAATTGTTCCAGCTGTAAGTGTTCTGCGTAGGGCGGAGCGTGCCGTCCTTCCATGAAATTGGGCCGTTCTCCGTCAAGAACCCACTCAAAGAGCTGCAACCTGGACCGCCATTGAGCCTATGTTTGTTAGATCTGTCTTGAAGCATTTTGAAGCCAGACAGTACGCACCATATCACGATCTCTTGGGGCGTATCGGACAAAGCAGCGGGGAAGAACCAAAAGAAAAGCTTGCGAGTTTCCGCTGGATCGTCGGAAATAGGCAGTAAACCAGCGTAAGACTCGCCAACGTCGAAGGAGACTTCTGGGATGCCAGTACCATTGACAGAGAAAGCTATGGCCTTGTTAGTCCGATTAAAGGGGGATTCAAGAAGGAAGGCAGCCCACCTTCAGTTTTGTTGGTCAAAAAGCTCAATGCTCTCTTCTGGATTTCCGGGTGTTCAAAGGGCTTGTTCGCGGCACGCTTCTCGACGACGGGCGTGACCCTGTCGAAATCATAGCGCCTGAAGCGCGAGTTTCCTGCAAGGGCAGTCGAAGCACAGAGCAGCGATGCAAACACGCTAAAGGCCTTCATTGTCGCAATTCACGCTGGTGAAGTTGCAGCTGGTGAAAGCGATTTGAGTGAGGGCTGAGCAGCTCTTACGTTGACAATGCAAAGGAGCAGAGCATCTCCTACATTGACAGTGCAAAGGAGCAGAGCATCTACCAGAGTACAGTATGTACCCCGTATTCACCATCTTGCGTGTACTATGATATTACCACCGACATGCAGCCTGGCGCACAAACATTGTATAAATCTGCAACCAGAAGGCCCGCCAACATCCTTGCTTTCTTCGGCCAATTTTTGATGACGGGATGGAGCTGCGGAATGATACAGGGAGATCGAGCTTGATAGCCGACCGGCAAGGGAAGTACTCATTGTCCTCGCCACAATAGACTGATCGTTCTCGCCCTTACTGGGGTAAGCTACCTTGACCGCCTAGCAAATTAGTACTTGGCGCTGTGTATCTTACGTGAAAAAATATATAAGTAAGCAGAAAAACCTAAGGTTAGGGTTAGTATAGAGCAAGGATATAGAGCATAAAAAACGTGCTCTGTCTTACTTTATAAGATATATTACATTCACTGCAAAGCCAGTAATCTCTAGCTATACCTAGATAGGAAGGGCGAGGACGATTAGTCTATTGTGGCGAGGACAATGAGTACTTCCCGTTGTAATGCCGTCTAGGTACTTGGCGTATTAAATATAGAGCAAGGGTAAAAGTTAGGGCGATTAGGGGTAGGGACAGACTACATAAAGACTCTACATAAAGACTCTACATAAAGACTCGGGAACATGTCAAAAGTTTCATCCCGTGATATCGGTATTATACACGCCAAGTATACGTCAACTGCTGACGTAGGCATAGTGGGCTTGTGACCTGAACATTTACAGTAGCTAAACACAGCATTGGCACCCAGACGAAACAGTTCCCGTCCTGTCATCGTACATAGTAACGCTACGATGCCAACTTCAATGCAAGCCCAGTCCACAGCAAAGAGACATTAGCAAGCTAACCATCGACACCCCAAGCACTCAACACCATCCTCCTCCCATACTCCCATACCCACCCAGTCAGAAAAGCCCCAACAACCAAAGCCCATCCAAAACGCCAGACCACAAATCCACACTCCACCCACCCAGGCCATCAAATCTCCGCCAGCCCCAACACCCTCACACCCTATTTTCTCACATCATCTCCCAACAAGAACAAGTAGATACAGTACACAGTACGGTATACTACCCAATGACACGCGATCCCCATCCCCAGCACCTCTACCCTACGCTTCCCCCACAAAAAGACCATTCATATCACGCCATGGAGAAATGCCCTGGAAAATGGGGAAGTGCCGAACCCGATGATGCGAGAAGATGCACAGGACATTGTGGCCCACAACCCCGCTCCGCGCTTCGCGTCGGTCCGCCGAGTACCCGATACAAGCAAGGACATCGGTCGGAAAAAATATATTGTTCCTGTTGATCTGAATATGAGTGCGCCGTGGTGCTGTCAATGCTGCACTGCGGGTATAATAGTATATATGTATAAATTGTCCAGGGTGAATATCAATGATATCATCCCTTGGAGTCTGAAACCGCACTTACTTGTGACAAAAAAAAGACCCAAGTTCCATGTGCGTAGTAGGTCATCAGTATATAACGTGAAAATAATCCCTACAATCTCGCATCTACAGCATACCCCTTTCCTTTTTCAAAAACGGGAAAACGTGATCGAGGCGTCCCCCCGGATCCGTCTTCGCTAGGGTTGGCGGCGAAGTAGCCACCGGTGCCAGAAGCTTAGACTGTACTTGATCTGGCGGTGACGGGGCTGTGAGATCTGGAGTTGCATTCTCAGCATCCTGATCATTGTTCCTTGCGATTTTCTCATCGACATGGTTATCCAGCCAAGCCTGCTGCTGTTTGCCTAGGCGAAGATTCTCTTCGACTTCGCGGGTCAGTTTTTCCACTTCAGCCTGTAAGATTTCGTCTCTAGTCTTCTTCTCTTGTGTGGGCGGCGCCTCGTCCCGTGCCGTTGTCGCCCAAAGAGCTTCCAGCTCCTCCAGCCATCCCAGCGCGCTCGCCAACCGCTTGACCCCCTCGTCACAATCCTCCAGCAACAGCACGTCGTCGGCCCTGTCGCCCAACCCACCCACTTGCTCCGAGTTGATGAGCAGCCGTGGCGTTTCCGGTCTGCACATTTGCGGGAGCGAGGCAAACGGGTGGACGGACAAGGAGGTGCCCATTATGATGCAGAGGTCGGCTTCGGCAGGAAGACTGCGGTTGTCGAAGAAAGCGGCGGGTAGTTGTTCGCCAAAGAAGACGATTTCAGGCTTGACGAGGCCGTTGCAGGTCGGGTTTTGGCAGCGAGGCACGGTTTTGGACGAGATGGCTTCGTGCATGAGGTCGGCGGGGTAGGGGTATTTGCAGTCTATGCAGCTTTGCCTAGGGAAGAGGATTGTTAGCATTCACTTTGCGTTCTGCCAGTTGGCACGGGAAAAGTACTTTGCAAAACTGCCATGGGCTTCTATAATCCTTTCGTCTGAGACGCCGGCTTCGCGCTCGAGACAGTCGATGTTTTGTGTGAACAGCTTGAGTAGCAGACCCTTCTTCTCCAACAGTGCAATGAACGAGTGTGTGATCGTTGGCCTAAACTTGCCGGGATATAATTCTTGCGCGAGAGTGTAGAAGGGCTCGGGATTCGTGCGGAAGTAGCTAATGTCGAAGACTGCTTCTGCATAGGGTAGGTTCAGTCGTGAGAGGTTTGCGTAGAGGCCTGTGTCTGGAGATCGAAAATCGGGTATACCAGCTGATGTACTGATTCCTGCGCCTGTCTTTCTATTCTTTAGCATACTAATTCTGTGCCCCTCTCCATTATCATCTCAAACATACCATGACGACAATCTTCCTTGCCTTTCCCTCTCTGATGTACTGTGCCAACGCCTCCAACGTGCGCGCCTGCAGCGTCTGTGGCTCTACATTCTCATCCACGACTCTGCTCTCCTCACTGCCCATTTTGCTTCTCTTTCCTCGTCCTTTACCAGGCTTACCGCGCCCCTTTTCTGCGTTGCGCCAGGCCTTGTCTTGTTGCGCCTGTTGGCGATGGGCTTTGTGTTTTCGGCCTATCTTGAAGAAATCGAACAGGTAATCCAGAGTGCGATAGATGGATGAGTGGATGGATAAGGTAAAACGTTGCGGGAGTAGGGGGAAGCGGGGTTCGCTGTGGAAGTCTGTGTGATGCTGTGCTCCTCTGTGATGCCTGAGTGACGCGAAATCAGTAGAAGCGACCCCACGAAAATGACTGCACGTGGCTCGGGGGTCCGATCCATGGCGGGGCGCGTCATGCCAAGACATGCGTAAAGTCGCGTTGACTCCACGCGCCCAAAGACTATGGCCATGGCTGTATTTATTTTGCTGGTGCAAATCATTTTTGAGTCAATATATACATACCATGATATGGACCAGAGACCCTGAATGTACTGAAGAGACTAACTAGATGGAATTGGTATATGTACGTGTAGCAGTGAGACGACTCTCAGAAACTCAATCTTCAGACTTGTCTGGAACCCATTACCTACCATGCTTCCTATGTGACAGACGTGAAGTAACTGTCACGCCTTGGCCATGTTCATGCACTGTCATGCCCTCGTCAAACCTCGCTCATTGCTACCACCCAACGCCAGAAATGATGAACATTACGAGAGATGTACAGAGAAACATAATCATATATCGCTAGGCACGACACAGTAGATGCACATGCGAAAAAACAAGAAGAGAAGGGGTATAGAAAAATAATCTGATCTTGTCGCAGCTCGACCTCATCTGTCGACATGGCAGTCGCGACGGTGCCTGTCGCGCAATAGGGCTCATTCACCTGAACTGACTTAGTGTACATTCCACATAGCATCGCTTGTGATCCACTTACCGATATCTACGGCTCCCCCTCCGCTCGCGATAGTCCTCATGCTCTTCGATGACCTCGACCACATCATCCCCCGGCACCCTGTGCCTCTCCTCGACAATGATGCTCCTTGTCCTCGTCGGCGGCCTCCTCTCATCGACGATAATCTGACTCCTTCCGCTACTCCTTCGTGGACTCCTGCTGACCTCGCGCATCTGGCGACTGCTCCGTGGCCGCGACGTAGTGCCATGTGAGTTGCGTCGTCGCCGGACTACGATTTCCTCCTCACCAGCCATGGCGGTCGCGTTGCCAGATCTGGTGGTACCGTTGGTGATGGAGTAGAGTAGCCAGACGATCAAGAGGAAGCCAGCGACACTGCCGAGCACGATGCCAACAACAGTGCCTGGTGTGGGACCCGAGAGATTGTAGTAGGTCGGTATTATGCCTGGCTGGATGACCATCTGTTGGCGCTTGGCGATTGGTGCTCGTTGTGGCGCATTGGCGGACAAGTCGAGAGCAGGCTGTCGCGAGCGGAGCCTGTGGTCGCGGGAAGCCACCATCTCCTCTATTTGCGCGGCGATCAACGCATCGTAGGGTTCTGGTACGGCGGGCATGGTGAAGTTTGCCGGCTACACGGCAATATCGCCGAGTTGGCGGTTGTGCGACACAAAGACTCGTGGAAACACAATGGTAGGGTAGTTGATGGGCAGTAATGTTGTTGTTTGCGGTCAGGCAGGTTGGCGTCGCTCGGAGGGAACACGAGTTCCTGCCTGTTGTGGATGCGACCGGATGATGCGCGCGCTAGGTGGTAAGTCGTGAGGGTGTTGGGCCTTGATGTGATGGCAACGATGAGTTGCAAAAAAACGATCGGAGGGAGGTGACGATGTGGGTATGGGGCGGGAACGTCAACAGCAACAGGATCGGGCGTGGGGAGATTGGATTAGACAGTCATGCGGGAAAGACTACGATGGCATGATGCAATGTGCAATTGCGCTGGCCGCTGTTTTTGGTGGCTGGGGCCAATTAATGGGGAGGCTGTCCAGCCTCAACACCAAGGTATCCATGACCAGGCATGTACTCCGTGTCCAACTTCGCTAAATTGCTTAGGCATATTCGTTCGTATAGGTACGTGCAGCCAAAGGAAGCTAGTTCCCTGCAACAAGCTTCGCGTCACTTCGAACTGAATGATACTGATGAAGCAGATTTCAGCGACAACAACAATGACATTTGCCGCAGCGGCTCTTGAAAAGTACCGGTACCTGTTTTGCAGCATGCGGCCCAAATCAGGCTTGAATGGCTCGCGTTGGCACTGATTTGCTGTTACACTGCGGACATGTATACGCTTGAGGTACTGCACCAGATCTACTGTATGCACCAAAGAATAAAAAGTCGATTCTCTAGCCTCTTCTCAGAGTAAGGTACCGTAAAAGAATACATGGCGGGATATCGAAGCTACTTGTGTCCCACAGAGCGCCCTCGCAAGCGCACATGCATTGTCACGGGTGCACGTGACTGTGTCACACAGGCGGGTTGTGTCCAGGTGCCGTCGTACCTACAGCAAAATTACCCGGTATGGTATCCGTATAAAACAACGACCATCTCTCGCTGACTCATGCTGCTTACCAAGCACAGCAAGATCAACCTGGCAGCTTTCCCCAAAGTCGACTCAACCCGCATTCTTGACCTTTGCTGTAGCGAGCCACGTCCTGGGGCCTCGGGCATACAGTCAGACAGTGGACTGTAATAAGAAGATTGGCCGTATTAGAGCCGCAGTCTCCAACCACAACAGAGTGTGTCTAGCAAAGCGATGCATTTTCTTTTCCCTCACACCCACTGACAAGGCGTGTTTGACATGCGACCTTTCCCTTATGGGCTAGACCCGTACCAAATTGCCGGACCCTGCAACAGAGCCGCATCCGGGGTTTTAGTATGGCAGCACAACCCCTCATCCCCCATCTCTCCCCGCATTGGCAATTCAATGTCCATGGTGCTTAGCTACCCAGACGCTGATCTCGAGAAACATGAGCAACACAGATGCCATGTCCCAGCACGATTTGGAGTCGCTCCTAGCGCTCCATAACGATGCCTTCGCCACAGATCTTACTCAGCATGCCAATGACTTCAGTGACCTGTCAAACGCGTTGACAGCTACACAAAGCGCACCAGACAATCACAATGATTCGTGGCAATGGGAATCACCGTTCCGAGATCTTTCGAGCCACTCCACGGCAGTCTCATCACCCATGACGCCTGGCACACCCATCACACGACCGAAGCTAGGCAGTCGTTTCTCGAGGGAGGTCATACGCACCTTGAAGAACTGGCTTGCTGTTCATCAACAACATCCATATCCTACTGAAGATGAAATGGCTGCCCTTCAGGAACGGACAGGGTTGAACAAGGCTCAACTGACAAACTGGTTTGCAAATGCCAGACGCAGAGGAAAAGTCCAGGGAATCCGTCCCGCGTCACCGCAAGTGAACATACAATCTAACCCTATAGACATTATCCAAAGACCTGGTACACCTGCTTTCAGACCAGAATCCTGTTATAAAGACCCGCTACAACGCTGGGTTGACTCGCCTCCAGAACATGAACCCGCCACCGCCCATGATATTGCTCGAGCTATGGCATCGAGCTCGAGGAGAGCGTCCCGTAAGTCATTGAAAGCCCCATGAAAACTGTTGCCCTTTGTGCCTTACCACCTGCTGACTTTTCTTGTAGAGGAAAGAGCAGGACTATCGTCTCAGTATACAGATACATGGCAATCGCCCTACGCGAGATCATCGGCCAGCAGCGCTGCAACCTCGCAATCAAGCGGCGAGTTTTCAGCTCATCGATCTTCGGGTTCGCAATCCTCACTCAAAATCCGCCGTCCCCCCCGCAGGAAGCGCGCTAGCCGACGTCGACACATTGAGCAGCACCCTACTCTTGAGCCCCTTATGCCTTACCAGTGTACCTTTTGTACCGAAGTCTTCAAGACCAAGTACGACTGGCAGCGCCATGAAAAGTCGCTTCACTTACCTTTGGAAAAATGGATATGTGCACTCCACGGTCCTCGAGCGCCCAAAAAGGACAGTCCAGAGGCTTGTTGTGTGTTTTGTGGTGAGATTGGGCCAGATGATGCTCATGTGGAAGCCCATCACTATTCAGATTGCCAAGAAAGAAGTATTGAGGAACGTACTTTTCATCGAAAAGATCATCTCGTACAGCATCTCCGCCTGGTGCACGGCGCGAAGTTCGCCCAATGGTCTATGGCACGCTGGATGTTGCCAATGCCCGACATACGGTCTCGATGCGGATTCTGCTCAATTACAATGAGCACATGGGAAGAGCGAACAGACCACCTCGCTGATCACTTCAAAGCAGGCGCTACGATGGCGAATTGGCATGGAGATTGGGGGTTCGACCAAGCAACGACGGACATGGTAGAAAGCGCGATTCCTCCATGTAGGTGAAGAAGCTGTACGGTTATGTTGATAGAGGCTGACAATCCCTGACAGTTTTTGTTGATTACGAGCGGACTACGCTGATTCCAATGAAAGCCAGTGATCCACCGTGGGGATCGCCTCCAAACGCTTATGAGATGCTCAAAGTCGAAATCATCTTCTTTATCCAGAATCACTTCGACAAAACGCAACAACTCCCCACAAACGATGCAATGCAGCATGAAGCATGTCGAATCATCTTCGCCGCCGAAGCCTTCGCTAGTGTACACGTAACGGAGATGGCTCACAGCCCTTCATGGCTCCGTGACCTGGTCATGTCTACGCCAGAACTGGTGCGACAGGCCAAGTTTGGCCCAATCAGGACATCGAGCGAAAGCAGACAATCTCCTCTCAAAATTAACGGCAAGGATCACTTATTCGAGATGTGCCCACTTGAGACTCAGCTCCACGCCTATGTGTTAGGTGAGCAAGTCATGAACGCTCCGATTACCGATAGCCAACTACAAACGGAGGCTTGCGCAATTGTGCGGCGTATGGAGGAAGGGTCTGACACACCGTCGGATATGTTTGCGAACTGGGTGGTTAAAGGCATATACTCAAGTACTGACTGGCTCACTGGATTCAAGCAACGAGCCAGTATGACAAGTCCCTCTCTCACATTTGATTCGATCCAAGAACCACAGCACAGCGTAGCATGGGACTGCAACGTGCAAGTTCCCGATCAAACACCACCTTCCCACCAATCGCCAGCCGAAATAAGTCCCTACGCATCCATATTGGCAGATTCGCCTGACCAGCCCGTTCCCTTTTCCCCCGTCGATGCGGCCAACCCGTCCCCGCTCATACCGTCCAATACACTAGACCTATATGACCGTTGGCGGACGCTCTTACCGGACGATTTAAACTTCTACCGCATCTTCGACAGCGACATGAAGCGTTGGGCGGCCGCGACCATGTCGCCCAAGAATCCAAATTCCCACATTCCTTCGGACGAGGAGATTCAGCACCAGGCGCGCTGGATCATGTACGATGGAGACGACACCTGGAATCAGACGCCTGCGGATTATCAGGCGTGGTTACAGCAGTTCAAGAGGAGTGTGGGTATCATCGATGCGAGTGTTGAGGTTGTGGACCCGAAGGAGCTGAGTAGATGAGGAAGCTTATGACTCGCTTCTCGGAGCGTTTGCAATTGATTGCGACAGTCATTTCTATTTTCTTGTAATTAGGGCGGTACGGATATTCAGCACCCTCCAGAATATGAACCCTTTATGGATCGAGCTGTCCAATCTCTCATAAGAGAAAACTGCCATTGGTTAATTCTGATATCCTGGGGACCCCAGGCTCCACACACCGGAGCAAAGGCGCCCGAAGAGATTCTATATACATATTGCAGGGGCCATAAGGGAATCAGGTTGCGCGCACTTTGTCATGTAGATAACCATGTCCCTCTACCGCGCAACACGAACATTCTGGTTGCCAGGAATATCCCATCACCACATCGTTTAACCTTTCAGCAAATTACATCAGCAACTTATGGCCTCTCGTTAGGGTTTCTCTTGCTGCCATCCACAGGGGCCCAGGTCTCTGAGGCTGGGTCATGTCCAGGCAATAACATGTCCCCGTGACACTGAGCAGTTATCGAGCTCTGACTAACATCTGCAGACTTCCCTCCTGACCTTGCAAACCTTTTCATACACCACCTGTACAACTCGTCCGTATCGTGAATATGGGTCTCGCCGTACCCTACAGCGTTCGAAATTCGGATTCCCGAACTCTGTCCGTTCGGCTCACGGAGACAGACTGAAAATTCGGCTCGTCTTGGCCCCAACAATGGTACCACAGTAGAGTCCTCATTCTGCCACTTGCATCTTGAGGACGCCTCTTAATGACGTCTGAAGAAAAGTTTGTCCGATAATTTTGGCGACTACGCTTGCGGCGGGCCGCTAGTGCTGCAAGGTTGGAGACGGCGACGAGCCACCAGCACATCACGCCAGGTCCCAGGATCACTCGGTTAAGGTCGGCCATCATCGCAACCTCTGTGGATGCAAACGACTCGCTGACTGGCTTTTGTGGAAAAGAGAAGGATTCATCTGTCATCTGTTCTGTAGATATGGTTTCCCCAGGGAGGATCGAGCGGAACACACTCGCTTTGAATGGGCGGGTGAAATTGCAAGGCGACGTTGAGGTCCATCACTTGGTAACAAAGATTTCTGGGCGGATCGCCTTGTACTGTCACCACAAATTCAAACCACCAAGGGCACCTGCGTTACCCACGCTATCGATATGTGGCCAAGAAACAGCAAGGACGACAAGGGCAGACACTAATGGACGATACAATATCTCGTGAGTTTGCTGATGCTGATCACGCGAACTACGCTTGCACAAGCAATACTAGGCAAAACAATCTGCTTCCCGATATGCAAGGAACTGGAGACGACCCACAGCTTCATGCAGGTCGTAGAGCCGCCTTACCGACCCTGCATGCATCCGATCAAGTCTTGTCTGCAATGTCATTGGCCCAGAATTTGCATTTTCCTCCGGGTGCTGGCTAGTAAGACAACGCCATGGAACATGTCGAGGAGGACTTTCCCATATCCCATATTCTACGCAGAACCGCCAATTCAACAAAAGCTCTCTCTGGTCTCATTATGTCCAGATTTGCGATTCTTTCGCAATCACAGGAGAAGGCTCAACCGCCTCATGTTGGAGAGAGCTATGGAGGGGGTCGTACAGACATCTAGCCTGAGCAAGACAACCTCCATCATAATTATCCAGGATCTAGTCTCCTATACTCTGGACGTGAGCAACGCAGGGAAAATCCAAGTCGGCCATTCTTCGGGTTGTTCACATATGCAACGAAGAACCTTTTGCCAGTCGCCGCTATCCACCGATTGCATCATAACCCCAATAGTCAAAGGCTCGTCCGAGCACCTGTCACGACCACTTTTTGTACTAGGCTACGAAGTGGAAAGACAGTGGTGTGGACGCGGATCGTGGAAGCTAACAATAGCACTCCGTTGTTTTCGGCCCTTGCCATGTTCTCCGCATATTGCTACTTAATAAATGCAGACATCTTTCCAGCCCATGTCCTCTTCTCCAAAGCCCTCCCCCAAATATCATCTACTACTACCTTGTTTGTACAGGACAGTGTTACAAACAAACATTTCCTCAGAGCTGTAGATTTACAGTTCTGCACACTTCACCACAATGCGTCTCTTTCGCCAAAACAAAGAACAGGAAGTTGCTGAAAAAGGCACTCCTCAAAGCGCTACTCCAACAGATACACCTACACGAGGCAATTCACATGCTGCCACAGCAGCAGATATAGAGCCCAAGGGTGGAGTGCCTGCCATTGCGGTCATTCTCGGAGCTGTCGCCTCAATAGGCGGTTTTATGTTTGGTATGTAGGCCGAAAAACTTTAACCGCAAACCCAAAAACAACATTCTGACCAAAACACTCTAGGTTATGAATCCGGTCAAATTTCTGGTTTCCTTGCAATGGAGGATTTCATCGACAGATTTGGTGAAAATGGCAAGTTCTCTGCTGTCCGTCAGGGTGCTATCGTTGGTCTTCTTGCGTGAGTTTGCTTCTTACTACCGCTGCTTGTTACGAGCGATCATGGATTACTCAGTGGTCCCATGGTGCCAAAAACTATCTGACACTATAATAGTGTCGGTACACTCTTTGGATGCTTGTGCTCCGCTCCTCTCGCTGATACCTTCGGCCGCCGACTTACGATATCCGGTTCCGCCTTCTTTTACATCATCGGCGTCATCATCGAAATCACGAGTGAAAGGGTATGGGTACAATTCGCCATGGGCAGATTTGCTGCCGGTCTAGGCATAGGCGCCCTATCCACCGTGGTGCCCATGTACCAATCCGAATCGATTCCCAAGCGCGTCCGTGGCGCCGCCGTCAGTTCCTACCAGCTCTTCATCACCCTGGGCATCTGGACAGCCTACATGGTCAACTACGGTACATCGGATCAATACGTCAATAGCGCGCAATGGCGCATCCCTAATGGTCTCAGTGCGCTTTGGGCTATCCTTCTTGGCACTTCGATTTTGCTGCTCCCGGAGTCTCCGCGCTTCGCATACCGCAAGGGCGATGTGGATAGCGCTCGTAGCAATATGGCTCGTCTCAATGGAGTTGATCCGTATAGTCCGTTTATCGATGCTGAGATCCAGGAGATTCAGGAAAAGCTCGAGGCTGAAAATGCAGGGGGAGACCACCCGTGGCATGAGATCTTCACTGGTCCCCGCATGCTATACCGCACTCTGCTCGGCATGGCGTTGCAAGCAGGCCAGCAGCTTACCGGTCAGCATTGCTCCTCTCCTTCCCTGCATTACAAATTAATTAATCATCACCTCCAGGCGCAAACTACTTCTTCTACTACGGCACCACCATCTTCGCCGCCACCGGCCTTGAAAACTCCTACGTCACCTCCATCATCCTCGGCACCGTCAACGTCGTCGCCACCATCGCCGGCCTTTGGATCGTGCAAAACGTTGGGCGTCGCAAGGCCATGATGGCCGGCGCAGCTTGGATGGCCGTCTGCCTATTCATCTACTCCTTCATCGGCCAATACCAACTCGACCACCAAAACCCGCTTAGCACGCCCCAGGCTGGCAACATCATGATCGTCTTCACTTGCCTCTTCATCGCCGCATTCGCGACTACCTGGGGTCCACTCGTTTGGAGTATCGTCGGTGAATTGTATCCCGCGCGTTACCGGGCTACATGCATGGGTTTGGCAACTGGTACGTCTTCTCCACCTTTCCCTATCCCATCCATCTTTGTACTGAAAAACTAATCAAACAACGCTTTAGCATCCAACTGGCTCTTCAACTTCCTCATCTCCTTCTTCTCCACTCTCATCACTAACGAAATCAACTACCTCTACGGCCTCGTGTTTGCAGTCTCCCTCGTTGTCCTCTTCTTCATCGTTTACTTCTTCCTGATTGAGACGAAAGGTCGCTCCCTTGAGGAAATCGATACCATGTATGTTTTGCATGTCAGCCCCATCACTAGTGCAAAATGGGATGCAGCGTCGTTGGGGAGGGATGGCCTCGTGGATACGGATAGGATGCATTTTGGGAGTGGGGGGAGGGGGAAGGTGGGGGTGGGCAGGGAGGGGATGTTGGGGGAGGCTGTGAGGAGTGAGGGGCGGGTTTGATGGGTTGTCGTTAGGGGATATGACGGGGATTGTGTAAGATTTTCTCTTATCTGGATTTATGATCAAGGATACAAGAGATTTTAACATGATATGTGTATGTTCTTTTCCCATGTCTATCCCTTAACTGAGTAAACCACGTCATTGCCCCAGAGAAAATCTTTGTGAATAGCAAACGCCAACAACCACCCCTACTACACCTCAAAAGTATCGTCTTGAACAACATCCATCTGCGGGTTTTGAAACACCGACCTTTTGTGTGCTTCAAGGGTACCGACCTCCTCTGAAATCAGTAATGTACGCCAGTCGGAGACGTGAAGAGGCAAAGTCGCACTGCCTGAGCCAGCTCATGGATACATATGAACTTTGTTGTTAGAGCCTGCGTATTGGTAGGGGTCTGTTGGTTATGGGGGCCATTTTCGGAGTACGTGCGTTTGAGGATTTGAAAATGCAGAGAGTGGTACTGGTAGGGATAGGCTTTGATATCCGTGTGATTAGTGTTTGCATGTGTCTTGACGTGGATATGGGAGAGTTTAAGCGTTGATAAATTACAGGGCTAATTTGTGTTTGCGTGTTTGTGAAATACTTGACTTGATTATAGTTCTTTATCTGTTTGGCTACTTCCAGATTTTGTAGAATCTATGTTAGGTGTATTGAATTTCAAGAGGGATACTGTTTATACTTTATTTATTTATTACATTATATTCATACATGTTTATTTACCCTATAATTCATCAATTCATCTCCAACCATATTCTACCTCGACTACCCGGCCCCCCTTTTCACTAAACGCCTTCACCAACTTCTCCCGCAACCCCTTCACCGCCTCAACAGCCTCCTCATTATAGTACCCCAAAAGCTCCACCACAATCCTCTCCAGTCTCCCACACTCAACCAACGGCTGCAGCAAATACCGCTCCCACAGCTCCTCTGCCCCACGCGCCTTCCGCGCCGCCACACCATCCTCAATCACCAAATCAGTCAAATGCTTCACGTGAAAAACCACCGTAAGCGTCCTCAACCCAGGACACGCCACTGCAAGCTCAACATCGCGATTCACCGCCAGACCCTGGGGAAAGCAATCGAAGAAGCCAAAATACAAGTGTCTCAGCAGCGCGAAGCGGCCCGGCGATTCGGAGAGAAAAGCACGCAGTTCCTCGTTTGCTGATATCCGGTTCACGGCGAACGCGTTGTTCTCCAGCAACACGGTCACGGCTTCCTCCATTGTGCGCTTGGAGGCGAAGGCTGCGGCGGGAAGGAAGGTGTAGGCAAACTGGTTGGGGGCCTGTGGCGAGCAGCCTTGCACGTAGATTCTACGGGGGGAATCGAGGGTGTGGGCCCAGATGAGGAGGCGGAGTTCGGGCGGAAGGAGGAGGAAGGAGTGAAAGGTTGGTGTGGGGGTGAAGACCTTCTTCTCTTCTTGTTGAGGTACTAAGGCTGTTGATCGATAGTGGTTAGCTGATGATATTCGCTTGGTTACAGGTTATTTGATGACTAACCTTGGGACGAAAGGGGTTCGCCGTCTATCCAATTGCCACTTTTCCACGTGGGTGGTTCACTTGGAGTCCATATATCGAATGTGTCAAGGTAGGGCTCTGCGTATGGTAGGGCAGGGAAGTCTGCCAGGTTTCTGCGGTATGGCATGGGGGCCATGGGTGCGGCGTGGCGGCTACGTGGGTCTTGTTGGCGGGGGATTATGTATACTGGCATGATTGTGTGTACTGCGATGCCAGGTTAGTTGATATACTATTGGTGTTAAGTTTGACCGACTTACTATATGGTATATAATATAAAATATGGTATAATAAGTTCAAAGTGTGGGAATGACTAGTAAAGAAGGATACAGTACGGAGAAATGCTAACTTCCAAGAATGTAGTACGTGATCTTGTATGTTAATGTAGTGATATGTGACAATTGTGGCATACAAGTAGTGAAGAAGTTAAATATCTTTCGGAGGGGGGCCTACCCTCTTTTATAAAAATTGCGTAGTTGCTACAAAAAAAATCTTATTCCATCTGAAAACTGGCCCTTCCAACATGGCAGTAGTCTCCCATGGTCCCTACGATCGCTCTTGCCATCCCTTTACCAAATAATCTTAGCACGAACATTCTGCGCAGGCCGAGGCTTGGAGAGCAAGAAAATGAAAGTTCCACGGTTTAGATAAATTCAAGTGCATTGCCATGCTTTGATTGCTAAACGGGACCATATGTAGGGCAGACTAGTAGGTACTGGTATCTGGTAGGTGCAGGAAAAATTGGCAACCAAACTTGAATCGTCATGACTATACATATTTTGATATATTTCTAGAGTAAGCGTTCCATAGGAACAGTTTGAATCACAACCGGGATTATTTTTCAAGATTTTCAAAGTTTCTACAGGCAATCTGTTTAGGCTGCCGTTTTTAACGTGGTACGGGAAGTGAGAGCTAGTTTCAAGCACAGGTAAGTGCAAGACTAGGCAACCAAGAATGTCTCAAGGCCCAAAATTCTCATCAGTTTGACCTCGGCCGAGATCACGGTTTTATGGACACATATTTATTTGGTTTTGGCTGCATGGCTCGCGTTTTTCAGATGCATTGTGACCACTGCGGGATGGATAGCAAGTCCTATCAAGACCTAGTTTGGCAAGCTCCATGGCCAAACCCTATAATTCTTACTACCTTTCTGAATATATCGGGACCAATCCCGAATGCCGTACATGAGTCGCTAACGGGACGTTAGGAATGAATCCACAGGACAACTCATTAGCATGGCGCCCCTAGCACTCAATAAGTTTATGTTCACGCCTTCCAAGTATACTGAAATTAATACAGATCCCAGAGATCCTGGTTTCCGCTCTATTGTAAGCCAGAAGTTCACAAGTAATGTTATTGCCCACATGCAAGGCTCATACCCTTGGATGGCCCCAACAACACTACTCCGCTGCCTCATCCTAAACAATTTTCGTCTCTTCACCCACACCCACACATATCTAAAATACATTGCAGGTAACGCAAATCTAAAGAGCAAACTGTCTTGATACCCTCACTCTGAGTAACAAAGGCGATGGAGTCGCCCTCGCACACCATGGAGTCGATGGCAGAGGTCTCATCATCACCAACAATGATGCGGTTGCACCACTTGGGCCGCGCCAGGTTGTCAAGGCATGGGACACGGAAGTATATATACCCATCTATAGCTAATTTAGATGAGACAGGCTCACAGCGGCATCATGAACATCGATCAGTTCCCCGTGACCCGTCTCTCACGTATCCCCTATCAAACACTGATCCGATTGACGATGACCTGAGCAAAGCTGTTACAAAGTTGAATACTTACCGGCTATGATGCTTCTTTTATTGCCGCTTGCTAATGCCTGCAGTCTGGTTAAACCATTCGTACCCTTGACACCATGGATGACGAAGAGGGAAAACTTGTTGTCCACGTCGGTTTTGTTGAACGTGCCGCCGTTGGCTTTAATGAGTTTCCTGGCGTGATACTCATCAAGTATTTAGTATACATTGTATAGATTACTGAGAAGTTAACTACTGGAATATGCAATGCCTCGCGAACGATGTGTAGGCATGCCAAAATTCATCAGTAGATTTCAACAAGTATGGGGGAAATATCTTGCCTTCGTCATAAGAGAGAACTTTCAACAGTTTGTCGAGACAGAGGTAAAGGCGGGGTGGCCAATTTGGCATATATAGTCATAAACCATTGATATTTGTCAGGCTGGAATAGCGTATCTATCTCAAACCTCTTTTGAGATAGAGAGACCGCACTTTAATGAATTCTAGTCAGTTCCATGTATATTTACAGGCGCCAAAAACGCTCGAGACATACATCGAAAGACTCAAAACTTATTCGTAGCCCTCAAACATTAATATTCCTTTATCCAGAACATGTTGAATCATAATAGAAATTGCAGTGGAGGTTTACAAGTTACTTCCATCGGTTCACGAATAGTCGCAGACTGTGATAGTGGCAACTCGCGAAGTATCAAAATTATTCATGTTCATTGCAACCCACATCTAAACATTATTGTTTTCTACATGACATCTATACCCAGTCCACACCCCATGCACACAACATGTATATCCCATCCCTCTTGCTACGCCTTGGGCTCCTTACCTCCAATCTCCTGACTTTCTCTTGCCAGCCCACCCGCATCCCCTGGCCTCTCAACCTTCTTCTCATTATCCGTATCCGCCTTCCACTTCTTCAGCACATCAATGTCCACCGTCTCCAACGCCTTCTCATGCGTACACTCCAGCTTCACTCGCGGAACCTCCTTGATACCCTTGTCAACCGCGCCTTTCCACGTTGAAGCGCTTATGCAGAAGCGATCGCCGGGGTTTACGCCACTCTTGCGCAGGTCGGCGAAGTCGAGGAAGGCGGCGGTTAGGGTTGCGGCAATGGGGTTGCTGGGGCTGCACATTCCGGCATGAAGGGAGGAGGGGAGGGATTTTGAGGTTGATGAGGATTCCGAGGAGAGTTTGTGGAGGGGGGCTTCGAGGACTGGAGGGGTTGTTAGTGAAAAGGTTTTGGATTGCGGAAAGTTGTGTTACTTGCCGTTCTTCTGCTTCACGTCCATAGAGCCTTGTTCATTTTTGCCAGACATTTTTAACGAATGGGTTGCTTGTTCTTTTGGGCTGACTCTTAAGTAAGTTGATAGTTGAAGTGCTACAACTGGATCAATAGACTCAATGGTAGTTGATAAATTCGAAGTGTTGAAGAAATCAAGCAACTGCGTCACCAGAGGATCTCATATTCGTCAAGTTATCTCGTACCTGAGAAAGCGCCAGCGCTTTACTCGTTTACATCGAACATTGGTCACCATGATGCCTTCATGACCCCTTAGCGAAATAGAGGTCTTGACGTCAGCGTTTCCAGAAAACACTCAGGGACACCACACAGCGAGCCTTCAAAACAACTCTTTCGTCAATCAAAAATCGCAAGAATATTCAGCAGCACCATCGCAATACAATCAGGTGAAAGTCAACGCAATTAATCATGATATTTCATCGTCCTTGACATCATCCCCAACATGCCCCGCCAAAACCTTCACTCGGTAGTCCCAATCCAGCCAAGCTTCACACCCAAATCTCGCATCCCATCTCAACTTCCCCAAGCCAGACATCTCCGCAAAACAAAAACCTCTCCTCCCACACCCTGCCAATAGTCCCATCCTATTCCCTTTCCCCAAGACAGCCCACAAGCCACAAAACACCACATAGTCCCCGCCCACCGCCCCACTTAGCACAATCCAGTACCAGCGTCACACATCGGGCCTCCCACTCGCCGACCACCGACTAAAATTCCGCTCCAAGGGGTCAACCACATACCTACAACATCCCCACGAGCACGAATGCGTACACCGGGACCAAACAAACGGATCGCATAGGCGCGCGTCGGTGGGGCGGGACAGGCAGCGAGCGAGCGGGATTTGCCGTTTAAAAGAAGGGGCAGGGGGGAACAGATGACGCAGTACCATTGATGCGTATGTACCGTAGAGCTGAAAAGCAGACCGTTGAGTGAAGGAATGCATATATGTATGCGTGCATGCAGACAAGGCAGGTAATTTCAAGGGCAGTGACTAGGTACATGTGCATACTGCGTCGTGGATGCGGGGAGACGACTACTACTCTACGCACATAACGACATGCACGAGCGTTTCACTGCTGACGACTTCGATTGCGTGGACGAGGTGAGGCAGTGAGTAAGGGGTGTAGGACGATATCGGCCGAAAAATTATCTGCCAACTGTGCGGAATCAGCTGCTGCGGGATGACAATGGGAGTGGGGAGTATTGGATTGGTCATGGTAGTTTGAATGTATGACTGGGGCAGTAAAACGCTCGAATACGTGCATATATCTCTAGGAATTCATCCTAGGACCCCCAGACACTGTGGCGTCTGGAGTAGTCAGATTCATAATTTTTAAGCTCCCGTTCTTACTGAGCTAAAATTGAGTGAAGAAGCCCGTTAGCAGAGTGCCAAGTTTACAATAACATGATGCTCAAAAAGGCCACGCAATACAAGCCCATGCGGCGTCCAAAGTCAACATGAAACAGCACAAAGCACACAGCACAAAGCCATCAGCCCAGATTGACCCGCGCACCCAAGATTATCGTGCTACATGACATATACGCGTCCCACGAATACCATCCCATCCCATGATGTGCCCAGCGGCCCAAGCAAAACATGCACACCCACAGCCACCACATGAACCATGACGTTATTAAATCAATTACGCAGTCAACTGCCAAAGAGTTTGACCAAATGACGTGAGAAATTCCAGAGACACGGGCATGCAGGCTAAAAGTGAGACTCTGGGGTAAACTACGCGATATGCATGAGAGCAAGGGGATGAAAAGTTGCCCTTTCAGAAAGAATAAAATGGGGCGGAATGCTTCCCCGCGTAACGGCAGGACAAAACTGCAGAGTGGAACAAATGGGAGAAGGGAAGCTGACATGCAGATGTTGGGAATTGGGTGCTGAATGATGATCATGCTTGGTGATGGGGTGGTTTTTATCTGAAAAAATGGCTGACATGTCGCTGAGGAAAATGCAAATCTAGGTAAACTGCCCCCTCCTGTCCCCCGCCGCATTTATGTCAGGGGGGGGGGGGGGGGTCAGCCGGGTGCTTGTATGATAATTATCTGCATGGTCCTGCCTATACAGCTACAGTCGATGCTGATCGGTCGTCAGCACAACCCCACTGAATCCATGCAAGTTTCATCCCAAAAGAACTCGACTCCCCATTTTGGGAAGAACCTCTTCAACCCTGTAGCTTGACCCTAATCTCAGAAACAACATTTCTGATCCGTGGTTCCTTAACCTTTGACTCTGCTTGTGTAACGGCATCGCCAATGCTCAAGATGTCCCGACCAGCTTCGCAGAAGTCAGGACCAAGACACAAAAGTGTGCCTGTGGCGACAAGTGCTCGATAAACGGCTTCTGAATCGGTAGCCGAGGTCAGAATCTTTGACAAGTCGTGGAGTAGTGATAGCGCTCGGTCGGCGTTGTTTTCAGATGTCAGTAACACTGCATAATTGATGTACAAAGTAGTGAGAGCGATGATGAGGTTGCGATTGGACGATGTGAGGAAAGGCGAAAGCAGGGGATGAATGCTGTCGAACTCTTTGCTGGCCAGCTCACGACCCTTGTCCGTTTGCAACAGGTTACTGAGACACCGGATTGCCATCATGGTGTTGTTTGGTGGCGATGACTCAGTAAATATCTCAGATTCTGTCAGACGAGAGACGAGATTCTGCTCCGGAGATACCAGGAAAGCTGCAGGGCCATCAAAGGCCAGGACGAGACGCAAAAGATCAAGAGCTGGAAGGCGCTTTTCCGCAGGCCATTGTGTGGCAGCTTTGACCAATAGTTCAACACCAGTGATGTCGATACCCTTTCCGTTGCCCTTCTCCAAAGCCGTCACAGTCACATTCAGCTGCTCGATGTCTGATGGATTTAGTGAAATACCTTTCTGTCCCTCGTCGACTAGCGCCTGATTGAACTCTTGCAGCTTCTTGAAGATGATTTTGTGATTGCCAGAGGTGATTGGTAGGTAGTCTTTTTGAGGTAGGATCTTGGGTGCTGTTGGGGTGGGCGCTGGTTGCGATGCGATTTGGTTGGCATCGCCAGGACGGTATCGGGCCTCTGAGCCCCATGGGTCCGCTCCCTGGCCACTACTTTGACCTAACGTCGCACCTCGAGTGTTCTGAATGATGAAATTTGCGACCTGGTCTAGGTAGGTCAGAGGAAGCTCATTATCCTCGATGAAATTTCGTGCAGCCTCGTAGTGGTTCTGATTCAGGTTGTACGGAAGCTTTAGTGGTGGTTTTCCGTCCTCGATATCGACGTCGAAAACATAGTCATACTCCTTTCCATTATGTGAGATTTTCCGCCCACCACTTCCAGCTGAATCGACGACAGTACCAACATTGACCCATTCATTGGCCCCGGCGGACCATTGATAAGCCGATATGTTGCCATTAAGCTCTTTAATCATCTGCACCTGACCCTCTTTGGTCCCCGAACGTTGGGTCAGGAATTCAGGGCCTGGAAGCTGTTCTTTGTTGATATCTGGGACCGTTTGCTGCGGTATGGCAGAGCTCTTGACATCCTCGTTGAACTGCGCGATCTCGGCAGGGTCGGCATATCTGCTCGCATCACGCGTGAAGACACGAGCGAGCTTGTCACTTGCGCCCGTGACAATGTCTCCGTTCTCAGGGCACACAGCTACGCTCCACACTGAAATGGCAGGGTGTGTGATGGTCTGTATGCATTCATTGTTCTCCCATATCCGCACGGTGCGATCCTCGCCCGCACTCACCAAGCCACCGTTGGGCAACACCGCGAGGGAGTAGATGAAGTTGTCGTGACCGTGCAATTCTGCTACCTGCCGCCCATTCAGCGTCCATAGGCGAATGACGGCGTCATTGCCCGCAGAGGCGAATTGTGCGCCAGAAGGATGGTCCGAGGGAAGTCGGCAGAGGGCGCGCACGACATCGGGTGCCTGAATCGATCGTATAGGCGAGTCTGTGGAGGTCTGGAATATGCGAATCTGCTTATCTGCACAACCTGTGATGATGGTGCTGTCGTCATAGGCCAGTACTGACCACACTGCAGCATCGTGGCCCTTAAGTACAGTCGAGGCGCCCCATTTGCCCACCTCCCACAGCCGCGCTTCAAAGTCCCAGCCCCCGCTCACAATGTATTTGCCATGCTGACTGACGTCGAGTGCGCAGACGTTATTGCCATGACCAATCAAGAGCGCATCTGCATCATCCCCCAGACTCTTGCTTGGCTGCCGTACGTCGATGATCTGGTCTTTGCCGCCAGACACAATGAGGCCCTCGGGGTACTCAGATGACGGCGGTACAATGGCGAGAGAGTTGACGAATTCTTTGCCATGTGTCTTGATGGTGCTGTCCCACACGGGGGGTGTAGCTGACTGCTGGGCCCATGTCCGCACTGTGAAGTCCCGCGAGGCAGAGACAATAATGGATGGCGAGGGAAAGGCCACGCTTCGAACCTGTCGTGCTCGTCAGTCCAAAGCTGCCCACATGTAGTCATGTGATTACTTGTCGTGCTGGGCATGGACAATCAATCAATCAGTTTCCATTCCTTACATCATCCTCATGGCCCCGCAGGGTTGCTGACAGCTTGAAGTCGCGCATAGTTATTTTTTATTTTGGGTGAGTTGGCGCGGGGTTGTTGGCCGGTACTCGGTGGTGGGGTTGGGGGTAAAGCCTGAGCCGGCGAAGGAAGCGCTTCGAGTGCTCTAGCAGTGCATCAAGCTCATGGAATATTTCAGCTCCGTCAAAAGGTGGCGATAGAGCCGACAGTCCTTTTTTTTTGGCAATTCGTCGTGTTGTCTACTGGGTATACGTGGGGACGGTGGTAGAGCCCAGCCAGCTAAAGAGCTTCCAACAACGAGACGACGTCAAAGGCTCGCGCGCCGTAGAGACTAAGAAGTCGAGACTAACCTGATTAGGCACCCCTGTCGTTGGCCCCTCCATCTTTCGCTTACCGCACAATGGGTCTTCTTGCCTGCCGACCGGCCCGCCACCAGACATCGCGACTCCTACTCTATACCTACATGTGCATATCCCAATATCACAATAACTCCTGCGAATGACTCTCTCTCTCTCTCTCTCTCTCTCTCTGCAGATTCTGCGATACTTGTTGCGTTGTCTTGGGCCATTCGCTTACAATGCATGTCCACTGCACCGTGGAACACGAACCTCCTCGCCACCTTCACTGCTTGTATATTGCCTCTCGGCTTTGCTCTGTTGCTTCCTCGGCTTCATCTGGACTCTGACTATGTGTTCTTTTCTTGGTTTCACTATACTTCTAGTCGGTCGTGTCCTGCTTTTGGAACGCAGTTGTGCCAACCCCGCTTCCATACAATCTGCGGTACTCTAGTGGTTGAAGGCTCAGGAGTCTGGGCCGCGCTCATTCTCCTTTTCAGCTTCTAGTACTTAGTACGGGAAACGTTAGCAGTCTACGCAAATGCTCTTGATACCAGCATGAAATCAATGCGTCGTCAGTCAAGCTAACACATAGGAGTACAGTGGGCAAACAATGGGCTTCACTTTGGCCCACTTGCAGAGATGAATTGCCGCACATGAGCACACTGCCCCTGCGTTTCTCATTGTCTCACCCAAGCATGCACCTGTCTCCTGTTGAGATGATGCAGCAGCGTTTTCTCGGAAGAGTACAACGTTGTGTACTGCCACTACCACTGGTTTTGTGATCCCGTCCTGCAGTCTCGACGCTGAAACATGCCTCAATAGGGATGGATCGGTACAGCATAGCCAGAACTCCTCTAACTTTGCCAGGCCATGATTCGTCGCGGTGCAACACTCACAACAATATTTCTCTCTCACTTCTCCTCCCGCGCACGTTTCTCCTAGGAAATTCCGCCCACCTGTTCGCTGGCCACCCCGTGGGCTCTCGGACAGCGGCGTTCTGGTTTCGCCGACGTTCAAACCTGGACAGCACATCCTGCGCATAGCAATCATGGAGTTGACCACACTCCAACGCCACGCAGTTCTAGGTCACTTGAACATCTCCGCTTTCTTCGTCATGCGAGCTTGGCCTGTCTTCTCATTTCCTGCGCGCGGCCAGCCAGTCTGTGGTCCAATTCGTCCCTCGTAGATCGCCGTCAGCAGCCATCAGAGCGTTAGGCCCTCGCGTGACATGGCGCTACGCTGCTTTTTCCACGAGACGCTTGACAAGTGTTCCTGTCAGGTCTGGACCCAGTGAACGCTGCGCTATAGCGAAGCCCCATCGCCTCTGTGACGAAGTGTTGCGCGTTTCCTAGTTTTGGGAGCTGACGATGCATTCTTGGAACAGCCTGTGACTTGCTTGGACAGTACCGGTAAAGCTGGGCTTGCGTAAATTCCTTTGTCGTTGACATAGGCGACTTCCAGATTTGACGCCAGCTCCAGACCTACAAATGTGTGCCAATCTCTCATTTCTGCTCCCTGTTCTGCTCTCGTAGAATACGTTCAGCATGTATAAAATTTGCCGAGCCATAGCTTCAAAGACCCCTGAGTAGACACTCATCCATTATCTCTGCTGCATTCGGATTCGCTTGCCTAACGCCTGACGATCTCGGTAACCTTGTATCAGCCCTACCATATTCTCGGACCCACAGAGCCACTAATTGCTCTGTCGACCCTACGTACCCCTAGGCGTCTTAAGCAAGGCCCCTGGACTTCATTCAATTGGGGCAATTCAAGGTGTGGACCAATCTTCCTGCTCTTTGGGATATAAAATGGTCGATTGCCTACGTTCAAATCTCATCAACTACGGCGACTTCTTCTAGCCCTCTCCTCATACACATTTGCAATACCGATCATGGATGCACCAACACTAGAACTCATGTCTGCATTGGCATCGTAAGTACCATATCTTCTCATCGGGGACTTCTTGCTAAGTCTTCTTCCTCTCCAGACTGTTTGAGAGCGGCAAATATGCAGATCTGACCATAGTCTGTGGAGCAAAAAGATATTCGGTCCATCGAGCTTTGCTTGCGACCCGATCAACATTCTTCGAGGGGGCATGCCGCAGCGGATTCCGAGAGGCAGAATCTGGCATCATTGACCTCACCGAGGAGGACGCTGAAGCCGTGGACCACATGGTTCACTGTGCGTATGACCTCAGCTATTGACAGCGAGTGAAGCTAATGGATCCATAGACTTTTACCACAATGATTATTTGACCAGATCAATGTCTCGCTGGTCTTCACGTCGGTCTTCTCTGTCTAATTCGCCGATTTCCATGCGACCAATGAAACGTCCCACCCCAAAGAAGCTCAACTTTGCCCTATTGGAGGATCCGTTGCTGGCTCAGGCCAATGCCACTAACACCGCACCCATCACTGCTCCTGCAGGTGAACCAGAATTTCAAAATTTGGATCTTTCTTCCAAAAATTCCGATATGCCGACGACCGATAATATTACGGATGACGATACAGAGAGTGTTGGGTCGGAGCCCGAAAGCGAAATCGAATCGTCGCATCTGATTACACACGCCAAGGTGTATGCGATCGCCGAGAAGTACGTATGACCTTACACAGGTTTTCCTCTAGTTGTAATTTTGCCTAAACTACGCCCCTGTATGCCAGCATCCTTTCATTTGCGACCGCATGTTTTCCTCTGCCTATGCATGCGCTGTGTCGCACGGCGGAATAAATCCGTTGGACCCACCATTTGCGTCACTGGGATTACCAGCAGCCAAATCACCGTGTGGTTTACATTCCCGTCTTCAGGCCGCCGGACGCATTTTTATCACGATTGACCTGCGTTCTTTTTGATCCAATCAGGGCTTCTGGAGAAAAAAAGCAATCTGTACTGCTGACTGAGAAAGCTGTGTCAATTTTTTGGTTGTCTTGTCAAAGAACGCATGCCGACCTCGTCATTTGTGGCTACGATAGAGTGCTAACAAAACACTGTAGGTATGGCATAACAGGACTGAAAGCGCTATCACGCCAAAAATTCGCCGATCAGATCGATTTGCATATGAGCAGCCCGGACTTCGCAGAAGCCTGCCAAGAGGCGTACGAAAGCACATATCACACAGATCGAGGTCTGCGGGACGTCATTATCCAGGCTTTCCGCTCGAACCCAGACCTGTCTCTCCGCCCAGATGTTGGCATGGCCGTCAGAGAGACCCCAGGTCTTGCATGGGAGCTGTATCAAATGGCAAGCGGCCTTCCTGTCACTTCATGAAGATTTCAAAAGTCTCCAATCCTTGCTCTCAGCTGTGCGTAGTGTAATGCACCCCGCCCTTCAGCGCCTCCACAACGGTTGCATTTACGCCCTGAAACTCGGATGACCACGTCAGCTCATTGACAGATCTATGGTCCGGTGGTACAGTACAGATTTTCCAACGAAGTGCAAACCTACCCCGCCATCAGCAGCCACTATCCCCTGGATAGTGTGTTGACAATCAGCGCGCACTACAACCCTGTATTATCGCAGCTGCAGTCAGCTACTCCAGCCACTCTAAGCTTAGCACATGAGACAGGGCCCACGGATTTTCATTAGTCTCTAGACAATTCTCCGAGTGAATGTCTTGCTCATTGAAAGATCATGATTTTGACTAGCACGTCCTGCTGAGCGAAAGGCTCCTAGAGGCTGATGCACAGGTGCGGACAGTACTTGAGCGGTACTATTCAAAGTAGCGAGGCCCATGGGCGAGAAAGAGCACAGGATTGCATTTGTAGTTAGTGACAACCCGCGGCAGTTGTTTATTCTCAAACAAACTTGGTGTCTTGGAAGCCACCTAGACACCACATCATCCACTGTCAGCACTTGATCATGTTGATTGTTCTCGAGATGAAATTATTTCCCCATGACCATCGATCCCGTTGCGATGGTATGCCGACTGGAGCTTACATCGGCTGTGCATAGAGTACGTAGGTGATTCCCAGTTTCTTATTCAAGGTGCCTAACTATAGTAGGCATGTAGCCATCCCAAGCTTTCCTTTCTAGTCCGCCTACCGTACACGGACAAAATGCCCTCCGATGAAGGCCGACAATACCTGTAGATCTTTCCCTAGCTTTCTTTCTGTCACTTACCAATGCCTTGGGGAGATGTTCGCCCAGAGTAGGCTAGGGAGTTGCTGATGATTACTTTTGCATTTCGTGGCTTGGAGTGGGGAGCGACTTGGACGGCTGCGGTGGGTCGGCGGCTCACTTTGCGGGAAGCGGGCACTAGACCATCTGGAGACTAGCGTGAACCGGACTCTGGATGCTTTCCCCCCTTGTTTCCATCGCCATCAACGCGTCTTGTGTTGATGACGCGCCAGTTCAATACAAACAATGTCGGGCTTCAACTTTGGCGCCACTCGGCCTGCATCGACACCCTCTCTCATCGCGACAAGTGGTGCTTCATCAGCAGGGGCATCTTCAGCCGCAGCGCGGCCAACTGCAAAGTCCAAAAGCGGTGCCATCACCAGCTCAGATAATACAAGCATCATGAGTTTGTTCGCACAAAGAGCTTGTCCCCAAGCAGTTCTCAAGTAGGCACTCCCTGTCAGGTTCGTTAGGATTTCAACGTCTCACACCTACCAGGTCTTACAAGTCAGGTGACTACACCGATCTGATTATCAGCTGCGGGGACCTCATCTTCAATGTGCATCGAGTCGTCGTTTGCTCAACATGTGACTTCTTCAAGAAGAGTGTTAGTTTCGGAAAGGTAATTCTCATCCCACTGTCCGCCCGTTAGACGAAGTCATGCTGAAGCCTCACAGGAACAAGAGGACGGCCGTATCAACCTGCCAGATGATGATCCAGAAATGATACGTCGTCTTATCGCCTTCTGCTATCTGGGTAACTACGACCCTTGTGATGACCTTTTCTTGAATTCTCTCGACAGTCTCAAACAATATGCATCCACAACTTCACTCGCGCCCACATCTCATTCTCGATATCGTAGAGGCGGACTATTCGCCGCTCCGGACCCTTGTTCATGCCTGATGCCCATGACACAGAACTTCAAGCAAGCTATCATGAAGCCAAAGTCAGATGGCGTCCCGTCCGACTACACCATAGTCAAGAAGCCTGATCATAGCGCCGAAGTTGCGGAGCCTCTTACCATACACGCGACAATGTATGCACTTGCCGATAAGTACCAGGTCGATGGACTCGCGGCGCTTGCGCGTGACAAGTTTGAGTCGTGTCTCCACCACCATGCAAACACGAACGATTTTGTGAACGCCGTTCAGATAACGTACTCTACTACACTAGAGACGAATCGGAGACTCCGTGACACGGTGTACAATGCGTTTCTGACACATTTCCACGTCAACCTCGCGAGTATACCCGGTATCGAAGCGAAGCTCGAATGCATTGATGATTTGTCGTTTCATCTGATTAAGGCGTGGCCCCTCAAGACTGAGCCGGCCAAGCCTGCTACAAAGCCTATAAATTCGACGCCTGGCTTATTCGGACTACCCAATATCTCGCCGGCCGCATCCTCGTCTGCTGCGCCGCAACCTTCTATGAGCCTTTTTGGGCGCTCACCCTAAATATTAAGGAGCCGGGGTAGTAGAAATGTCCGGAGGAATCTCAGTATGTAGTGATACCCCTCTTCCAAATCGCCTCTATTTTCTATGGCCATTTCACATTGCCACTGCTCGCTGTCGATCCTGCACGTTGAAACTGAGCGACACACGAAGGAGGCGGAGTCAGTGGTAGTTCATCTGATTACGATAAACATGAGTATACTAAGCTTCAATAGATGAGATAGACATTTCTAAAACTATTTTATACGAGGTCCTTTTCATATAACTGCGCTGTTGCCATTGACAGACGCTCCTTCTATGGTCGCACAAGCACGTTTCGTGACACATTCCAGGTACCACCGCACTGCACGTCCGCACTGCAACCGACACATCGCTCTCTTCCCTTCCAAACTCCAGCAACCGCAACCATCATCGCAACTACTGCATTCGAAATATTTCACTACTCTGCAACTGTATATACAAGCACCATGATCCTCCATCTCCTTCAGCATTGGCCCGATACAATTCCAAGTGCACACTCTGCTATCACACCAGTACAACATTTGGATCGACGTCTTGGGATTGTGATTCTTTTTGACATAACATAACATACCAAACAACCTACACGCATCTCTTCGGATTAAATACCCCCATCGTAATCCTAATCATACCAACAACAACACCATCAAACCGTCAAATCATGCCCTCCCCAAAGGACACCACGATAACCGTCCTCCCCCACCTCTCTCTTTTCGCAGGCTTCGGCCACCCAACAACCGACACCCCCCACCCAGCTCAAATGCGCGACGGCACACCACGCAATCCACATCGTGACGGCAACATCAACGCAATGACTCAAGCAGAGTTCGACGCCCTACCCACTTGGTCCGACATTGAAGACGACCCAGAAGACAATCGTCTGCAACAACGTCCACGTGATGGACCACCACGTTACAGCACCTGCATGCAAGAGTCCTGCCTCACACCCCTCCTCCCCCGCATCACCCTTGTAGAACATTCTGCCCACGAAGAAGATGACTCGAAACATGGGTTCTGGGGCGAGCGCGCAGCGCAGACGTATGATAGCATCCTTACGTCTTTTCCTGCGTTCAGAAGGAGCAGTGCGGCTGAGATGTGTGAGAGGAAGACAAGGGGTGCCGGGAGGAGAGGCATGTGGGCATCATGCTTTTTCTGGGTTGCGCTGGGGATGGGTATGTTGGTTTTGATTGGGGTCGGGTTTGCAATTGATCTGGGTGCTAGTGAGTTTGGGTTTGGGACTGGCGTTGCGGCGTACATGGTCAGTGGGGCAAGGCATGGGAGTGTGAGTGTTAGCGGAGGAATGCGCGAGGTCAGCTATTCCCATGCCCATTTCCATCCCTCCACCGCACCGCGCAAACATCTCACAAAACATAAAACTAACACAAGAATTACCACATAGATGCACTTTTGCCTCACACCACCCAACCGCTTCGCCCCGACATCGCAAACATGGCACTACATTGCGCCCCTTGCCCCGACTCGCTGCACAACCCAGGTCCTGACGCTCAGCGCCGGTCCCGCCGATGCCTGGAAATTGCATAGCAGTGATGAACTCCGTCTCGGCAATGCGGCGGGCCCCCGCGTGGCTTAGGGGAATCCGCGGGTGCAGCCAGAGAAGGCGTATGTTTCGCTGGTTGAACGAGTTCACGCGTTGGAGTCGGGCGATGATCTTGCTGAGGAGGGGGGACTGGGGTGGGGCGGAGGGGATGAGGAGGTGGAAATCGGAGGCCGTGGAATGTGAGGTGTGGAATGAGATGGTGATGGGTAGTGTATGCGGAGTTGGGGAAATGTATTATTTACATCAGGGTGTATCATATGGAGTTGGAAGGCCGGATTGGAGATATTGCTGGCATGGATTCATATGTATCTTGCTAACGTACACATATATGAAGATTACTGGCATACCGTTTCTCCATTCAGAGTCCCCGAGGTCTTTGACTCACATGGGGACCCCATACAAACACCTGAGCACGATCCTCCCATTTCGTCCATGCTTCAATAAACAAATGTTCCAAACACAACATAAAACCAACCTAGTGGTAATTGAGACTTAAGTTGTGGGGTTGGAGGTGACATGGTAGATTTTGGGAGCGTGGGTGAGGTTTGAAGACTTTCGAAGGGGAAGTGTGCGGGGAGGGAAGGTCAGTACATATGAAGATTGCGGCGCTATGAATACTTGACGCCACGAGCGCGTTTGAGCTTAAGATGGGTTGGATCTGACACTTGTTACAAAATTTAAGGCACGTGAATTCGATTTCAGGATCGATGGTATTAGCAGGTGGATATAAATGTCGTGCTAGCATCTAAGTAATACATGGCTTTAGGTATAGTCCATCACTCCATACTTGAATCCATGGAAAGAAAACTTATTCAGGGATCGCAGAGGATTCCGTAACACCAACCCTAGCCCGACCTATCCAGCCGTATCTCCGACCACTTAGTAGAAGGCCACACAGATTCTGGCTTTGCACCCTCCTCATCAACGCAGTGCTCTTGGACCTCTTCCGACTCAGTACTATACAACGAAAGATCATCAGGAGATATACTGCTTGCATTTCCCGCACTCCTCGGGCCCGCGGGATAGATTGGGTTGCTCAAGCTAGTGCCACTGGGCGGGGTTTCCTCAAGTATAGATACCATTTGCACACTATCTGGCCCGAGGGCTAGGGAGCTTCGAACGGCAAAGTCTCGCGTCGTGCTGATGACGTCTTCATTCTGTTGCGGCTGATCGCGCGTACGTTTGAATATTCCGCGAGAAAGACTGCGAAGAAATGTTCGATGGGCAGATGATGGAGGCTTTGTGGTGACGGAACTGCTGGCGGGTTGTGTGCCTACGAAAACTGGGGTTTGAGCTTGCACCGGGCGGACGCGGGTGCCCAGGGCGACTCGGGTGATTAGGTCTGCCATGGACATTTCTATGTTGAGTTTGATGAGGTAGGCGAGGGGGTGGAATATGGCGTAGCTTTGATTGGGGATTAGCTTGCTAGGGTGAAAGTAGGGGGAATATGTTGAGTCCTTACACGAAACCGTTTGGAATGTCCATGGCTGCAATGATCATGACGTCCATTAAGATTGATACCACAATCATGCGCTGGTTGAAGCGGACCAGGCGATCGTATTTGTGTAAGCCGTTTTTGACGAGGTTGCCTTTTACGACTCGTATGAAATAGACGTTGAGGGCTGCGTCGACGAATAGGTAGATGACTTTCTCCACGCGATCCCAGTATGTGTTGGTGCGGACCCACCTGTACCTACAGTCAGTATATGTGTGGTTGAATATTTGAATATTTCACCTACCTCGGGCTGATTTGAAGACTGGCTGGAATCCAAATAATATAAACGCTGAGGCAAAGCAACGAGATAATGAACGCAGTTCCCCACATGAGCTGCTGTCCTCGCCTTCTACTTTGTAGAATGATTCGGATTCGATTGATGATGATCTGAAGTAACAACTGGATTTGAATCGTCCAGCAAAACACTGAAAACCGTCAGTCTTGTTCATAGATGCCATGTCTGCCTGTGAATTATACACGCACAAATGGACATGTAAAAGTAGAAGCTCGGTCGAATCACTCGCAGAAGAAATAACAGGCATTCGATCGCGATGACGACGGAAGCAGCCCACTCCAGCCATACCATCCACAGGTAGACGCTTTTCCAAGGCTTCGCGCTCCGCCTGCTTTGTCGGACTACGGTGTATGCTGCTAGAATGGCAAAGACGCCGGCCAAAGCAAATGCCGTGCTTGCAAGAGCAATATCGAGCCGAGTGATTTTCAAAAGCTGATATCGATCTGAGATGAAGGGACCCCATGGACCATATCCAGCGTCGGGTAAGATTTCTTCGTTCATTTTTTATTCTCCAAATTTCGAATGAGGACAGTGTATCGTGACATTGACTGAAGTGTGATTTTCATTCGTGATACAGCTTGTGGTCTTTAAGGGTGCGATGATGGCACGATGCGCGAAGGTCTCAGGATGAATATTAAAGTCTTGCGAACTCCTCGGCGCTGCCACTTGCCACATCATGAACGGGTCAGAGAAAAGACTACGGGCATATTCAAGAAGCAGTGATGGTGGCGATGATGCTCATCAAAATGTCTCACCGGATGCTGATCACAAGATGTGCACGAACTCGGTATCTGATTGTTCCTAACGTTTCCATGTGTGCAGTGTCTGACGCCTCATCATTAGTCAAAAGACGACTGCACATGGAGGTTTGCGGACAAAAATTGTCTGTCTAATTCTGCAACCAAGGAATCATCACGTACAAATCAAGAGGTCTTAGACAGTACGTATTTGGTTGCAGCTTGACATTTGCGTAGGAAGGGCGGTTCTCCGGCAACGATGATTAGTTGATAAATGGCCAAGTAAAGATACAAACTCGTATCTGTATCAGGAATTTGATTATAATGCTAGACACCCAACGCGTCAATTCGACGCAATTCTTCCCCCGTATTAAGGGCACGGTTGACGATTCAGAATTCCCGAGCCAATGCTGTTCGTGCTTTGGAGTGGGCCACAAGTTCCTGACTAACCGCTTGAATCTTTAAAAGCAATAAAGTATACGCACTACTCGATCCATATTCGAGTGTAAACGCATGTGCGTAAATGCGAGGACGGCACTGATATTCGGAGGGCATGGTCTCAGGCCTGCGTGCAGTACGTCATGATTCCCCATACCTACTCAATAGCAACGACTACTGCCTCCATCCCCATTCCGTTCGCTACAGTCTTGCATTGGGCACTGTCTTAGGAGTGATGTTTTCTGGAGTCACAAATGTACCATATGTACCGCTTGCAGCCTCACTCAACAGTGTCTCAGATTTCGACTGCGAGAACAAGCTGCGCAACTTCCTCTCCAGATCCAGACCTTTGGACTGCCACTGAATGCCCTCTTCGAACTCATCAAACGTCAACCCTGCTTCTTTTGCGCGTTGTCGAATTCCGCGAGTCCGTACAAGCCAGATTAAATGTGACGTCACCATGCTCATTTCAATCGCGCAGCTATGATGGGAGATTAGCTGAGGGCACAAATGCAATCTGGGCCATCAACATTCCGGCTTACCATAGTGCATACATGGTGCCGAAAAGGACGTCAAACTCGTTTTGGGCAACAAGGGCCATGAGAGAGAAGAACGCCCCGTTCCAGTCGATAGTCAAGAAGACAAAGTCGATCCCCACGACGCGCCCTCGGCGCTTCAATAACTCGAAGGGGATCGGCACATAGCCCAAAAGGAGGGTGAAGACGGCAATAAACCCGATGATGAGTACAGGCCAACTGATACCTCGCGAGTATACAGGTCGAATGGCGTATATGAGCCCTGCTTCGACTGCAGTGAAGATGGCAAGCAGCAGTATCAACAGCAAGGAGGCTGTCCACGTTCGCCATTTACTTTTTGCCAATCAGCGTCGTGCTTGAAGTCCCAATTGTCCACTCACCGGCCATAGATCAGACATTGCGCCCAGCTGACACCGCAGAGAACACAGAAACATTGCGGCTGGATGATCAGAGGCAGGTTGAATTGTTGCAGCACTGCGTAAACGCCAAACGGTACGCCTGCATGCACGTCAGGCCACCATTCACCCAACCCAACACCAGCCACGGTACTAGTTTACCTGACATGGACCAAATGAGCATCATAGACGGCGGTAGCCCTTCTGTGTTTTTCGTTCGATAATTCCGCCATATCTGCGGAAACAGCTGCACGCACCAGCACACCGTGCCTATTGTGCCGAGGACATTAGCAGCCACTGGTATCGACTCCTGCGGCGCCATTACTGTCTGTATAGCTGGTATCGGAGCGAAATCCAGAGGAAGATGGCAAGACTTTGCGAAATTGGTGTATGCACACGTGGACTGTTTTTCCTCGGAGAAGAAAAAACCCTGACGTTAGTTAACGTTCAAGTAACGACAAGGATGCGCCGGTTTCCATAGCGTGACATGTGCGGGGGACGGATGTGGCTTGCACGCGGCGCAAACCGTTTCGCTGGAGGTTGGAGAGCGCTCATTCTCCTTTGGTCGTTGAACAAGGATCGTTCTTGTTTGGGTTCTTTGTCTTTTGACGTGTCAAATTCTACGAGTTGTACCGTACCGGTACAGGTTCATCCTCGGGGAATACCGTAGCGGTTGGTTACAACAGATAACATTATGACCATGACTATCAGCAAGCACGTGGACATACTCTTGCGCAACGACAGAGAAAAAAGCCACGGGAAATGAACAAGACCCCATCTCAAGCGGGGCCCACTGATTTATCAACCGTCCCTCCACTGCGCTATCCCTCGTTCAAAATTACAACTTGCACTGCACATCCAAACACACCACCGACCTCACTGTACCTCGATGCTACATATTACGACGTGACTGCACACGCCACGCGGAAGCGCGGATAATCCTGCCCCTAACCCAAACCAGGTGTCGCGCATCCGAGTCAAGACACGCAGAGTACGGCCGAACACCAGCCGCAAACAGGTTACAATTTCCCATGCGCTTGCGTTGGCCTGATAGAGTAGGGAGGCTGCAACGACATGAGTCCTGGCCCTTTGCGCTGTCCTGCGGCGATGAAGAGGGATTGTGGGTTTGTGTAGATCGGTGTGGTGGCGGAGATGGGGAGGGCTGGTGTTGGGCTCAGGAGTGAGGTGGAAATGGGTATGGTACGTACCGTATGGTAGGTTTGGATGAAAGTTGTGCTGCTTGACATGGCCATCTCTCCAGGCAGACTGCCGGACAGGTCCACTGACACCTATGACGACAGAACCAAGGCGAATCCGCCGAAAACATTCTTCCTTAAAGTGCTGACACACTCTCTTCCCCCCCCCAGAATAGAACATGAAATAGGGGGGGAATGAAGGGAGGAGCGTGTTCTCAGCAGGTAGGTGCCGTACCGTCATCCACATCAAGCCCATCTCCCACCACCACAAAAAACCCCCCAAGCAAGACACCACCGCACAACCCCAACCCTCCGAACAACGAGTCAAGCCCCTACGCAAGCCAACTTGCCAGCCGCGATTGCAAGACTTCGCGATCGGCAGGGGTGCAGGAGTGATGGACTGTCGATCATTATCAGCCTTAGCACGACATCACCTCTGTGCTCACTCAACAGTGCAACGCCGCGCCGTCGCCGTCGCCGGCGAAAAATGAGTGGGAAAGCTTGGTATGGGAGGGTGAGATAAGGTAGATATGTTGGGGTTAGGCGTGTACGCGTATGGCACGTACGGTATGGTTGTACGGTTGGTTGGATGGATGGATGGGGTGGTGTGCGTGGTGGGGGGGTTTGGGTATGGGGATGTGTGATGGGGTGTGCAATGTTTGGTTGTGATTTATTGTACAACTATGTTATACAGCATGACTTCACAATTGCTCTCTCTCTCTCTCCTAGTTCAAGATATCCATACAATACAATACCCATGAAATTCAACATCCGCCCACATCCACCTCCCAATCCATACCGCTCCCCCTGACTCGCCCCGCCGATCCCCTCCAAACCACATGGCACAATCATCCACTCTCCAATCCACCAACAAAAAAATTCCCCCAGCATAGACTCCCTACCTCACTTTTCCAACCCTCAATACCAGACCCCCCATTCCAACCCACAACACCAAACCCCTCTTCAAACCTCCATCCCAATCAAGCCCAATTCCCCAACCATCGAACCGTAACTAGATAGCCCATACCACACCAGCGCTCATGTGACAAGAAATACAAAGTAAAATGCACGTCACGCACAAGCCTCTACCTCGCCGATCCCTTTCACAGCGTGCATCCCAGCACGGGGATTTTGAGTCGTGTAATGCAGCGGGGGTAGGATAAGGGGGGGGGGATGTGCGTGCATTATACCGGTACGTGCGTTGAGAATCTGCAAATGTCCCAACTGATACCGTGTATGAATCAGCGATCCAAACAATCCCAACCCAGCACCCGGGCAAATATATATAGTAAGCAAACGATGCCGCAAAAAACTTTCTCATCTGCCAACTCGCCCGTGAGAAAAAAAAGCAAAACAGCATCTGACTCTAGTCCTTCTTTTCACTGTGTTTGATCATCGTCGCTCGTTTTTGACGGGGAGATAGTTTTTTTTTAATCTTTGTCATTTGGGATCCCATACATCAATCGCACAACACCTTGCAAACCAACCACCACAAACAAAAATGCGCGCCACCATCATCCTCGCCGGCTTCGCCGCCCTCGCCGCCAGCACCCCCGTCAACGTCCCCGTCGTAGGCAACGTCCCCGCCGTCGGCAACGTCCCCGACACCGCAAACCACATCACCGCGGTGCCCGGCCTGAGCAAGCGCGAACTAACGACGCTCCCTCTGGACGTAGTCTCCAACCTACCCATCGACAGCTCCCAGCTCCCCGTCGACCTATCCAGCTTGCCCGCCGACGCCGTGAGCCTCGTGGACCTCTCGAAGCTGCCCGTCGATGTAACGGGACTGCCAACGGCGGTGTTGAATGTAATCGGCGAATTGCTGAACTTGTTGGATGTCACCAAGCTCCCTGTCAACGTTGCGAATTTGCCGGGTCAGGTGCTTTCGATTGTGGGGGATGTAAAGGGGATTGTGGATGTTTCCAAGATTCCTGTTGATCTTTCCAAGCTGCCTGTTTTGTCGAGTGTGGATGGCTTGTTGAAGCGTGAGAATCTTATTGGGCACCCTGTGAACGCACCAGTTGTGCACAAGCCCAGTGGTAAGGGTCTGGTTGGAAAGATTGACGTGCCGGTGAAGCGTGATGGTGTTGCGCTTTCGGCTGTTGCTAGTTTGTCGTTGTCGGCTGAGGCAAAGGTTGAGGTTGAGGCTACGCTGCGCCAGGTTACTGCGTTGCTTACTGCCCTTGTTGAGAGCGAGGTTCTGGCTACTGCGCATGTGGGTGTGGATGCCAGTGTCAACGCTACTGGAGCTGTTAACGCGTCTGTTGATGCGTCTGTCGATGCGTCCGTTGCGGCCAACATTGAGGTTTCCGCTACTATCAAGGCTGCGCTCAGCATTGTTGCCAGCCTGTTGGCTTAGAGCATCGTGGTCGGTGGATATGACGGTCGTCAGACTATCGATCGGGGATAGACGGCGTTTTCTTCAACGCGACATGTATTGGTAGTTCCATAGTACAAATACCCATTTGTCTTTTCACAACCCATGAACTCCTCATGACATGCCAACTAATTATTAATTTCGCTGTAGAGAAAGTCCGCAAGCGACGCGTCGCTCAAAACGTCCTCGGCTGACCACCGTTGTATACCCCCCTCGCCAAAAGCAAAGTCATTTTCGATTTGCGTAAACAGATAGTGATTCTGCTCATCCATCGTCCACGACCACGGCGTCGGCGGATTCTCCAAACTAACCATACCTGACTGCGGCCCATTCGACGGGGCCACAACCTCCGCTTCCACGACATCTCGCTGCGGCACCGCTGAACCCGACGACGCCCGCTCACTCGCAGGCCGACTGGCCGCACTCGCAAACCCGACATCATCCGCCTCAACCGCCAACCGCGAGGCCGTCTCGCGGTCCAGGTACTGGAAGAAGAGTTGCAGAACCCAGTTTGTGACCTCCCACGTCTTTTGCAGTTCCTGCAGTCCCAACAGACAGAGCTTGGCGCGGTGCTCGGCCAGCGTCCTGTTGATGCCGGTCGAGCGTCTGAGATTGGCGACGTGGATGCACAGCGTGTTGAACAAGTTGGTAATGACGTGAATCTGCGCATGGCCAATGTTACCACTAGGTAGCATATCTTCGACGATGCGGGAATTGCGTGCTGCTGCCTGCAAGGCAATGTTTCCGTCGACTTCTGCACTGATGTGCTCATCCAGGAGGAAGCTTGTGCGATAGAGGAGAATCAGGAGATTGTTGTAAGCTAGATGGAGCATGCTGGCCTGGAAGCAAGGTGGCTCGCCCGTGTCATGATTCAATTGCATGACTTCTGGCAAGCCTGCTTTCCATTGATAGAGCGCGTCGCGGATGCTCGCACGGTCTTCAGCAAGGAGCGTTCGTTTGGGCAGGTATCCGGCATCGACCACCTTACCCAGGAAAACGGCCAACTCGACCATGCCGATTATATGGGCTGTATACCGATGGACGTTTGCTTCTGATGTCGATGGGCCGAAAGCAGAGACAAAGTCCGAGGCTGTCAGAGGCTCGACATCGCAATCTTCGTCGCGAATCCGATTGGGAAGGCCGAGGGCAGACCCACACTGCCGCTCACGTACATATAGCGCCCACCATAACCGCCTTGTGAGTCTTGTCATCTTGCCTTCAGTCTCTCCTCCCGATCGATGCAGGGCTCTCGTTTGCGACAGACTGATTGCCGTGCCGAGCCAATGCCGAGCATCCTTTTCCAACAGGGCGCCTGCTCGCCAGAAGCTCATCAAGAATAACGCCTGGATGACGATGATCTTGTTGCTCTCATAGGTGGCATCGTAAATGTCTTTTGCTCGAATGTAAAACAGCCATTTAGCTCGGTGTCGATTGCCCCAGCCCAGACTCGTGAGCGTTGCCTCACCACAATGGATTACCCCGATGAAGAGCATGGCCTGCAACAGTAAAGGCGACACTCTGCCATCACGGTGCAGATCCCAAAAGTCGGCTTCATCGATGATGGCGAAGTGCGGATGGAACCATTGAAAGTACGCCTTGAGTAACTCTTCCCGAACGGCAGCGGGCGGAAAGGAAAAGGCACCTTCTGCCTGAAGAGCTTTCATCCGGGCACGACGACGTTCAGCTTCCCATTGCGGAACGAATGCCTCTGCTTTGGCGGCACTGGGGACCGCATGACGGAAGACGGACTGTCTACGTTCTGCGGCGGCGGGTGAAGGTTCCTCGGTGACATAGCGCAGCGAGCTCGACTCGCCCAGAAACACGGCATCTTCGCGATCGGGTTGCGTGGAGTCTAGTCGCGAGAGATCATTATTGTGCTCGGATGGCACCGATGGAATCGCAAATTGATACTGACTTGCACTTGTCGAGGGCTTGCTGTACGTCAAGGGGCTATGGAAGTTTGTCGTCGACATGGAGGCCAAGACATGGGATACAGCGACTTCATCCTCGTGACGATGCGGGTTCAAAGGAGGCTTTGAGTCCTGTTTCGGTGACCTGTACTAGTCAATCAGCATCATGACGGAGTACTACTACTCCTACTACAAAATGAATGATGCAAATCCCGAATTCTAGCTAATCCACATCCCAGACCGGAACACCTCTTACTACCCTAACCATCCCAACCACCAAACTCACCGTCCAACCTCCGGCCGCCGCACCTTGACATCCGGCTCCGCCCTAGCCTTCCTCACATGTTTCCCACGCCTAGACTCGCGGGTCTCGCAGTGCACATTGCCGGCCCTGCAATTCCCACACGGCTGGCGCTCGGTAACATCGCACTTGACGCGGCGCGCATTACAGGTGGTGCAGGCCAGTTTGGCGCGTTTCTTGGGTGGTGGTGATGGGTTGGACATGGTTCCGAGAGGGGGGTGGGGATGTGATGGGGGGTACGGGATGGGGAAGAAGGCGAAGTTGAAGTCGGCTATTAGGGTGCAGGGGGTTGTACTCATGCGCTCGGGTAGTTTGAGTATCATGTGATTTGCCAATGCTACATCCTGGCTATTTTCATAACACAAGCCAAGTAACGTGATCCTCAAACTAGCCGAGATAACTAGTACGGTTAGGCATCGTTGGGGTTAGTGGCTTGGCGGGGTTTTCCGGGTCAACCTACCCACCTACCGGACCTACATACCATCATGATGACCCAAGTACACAACCACCTACCATCCACACCACCCCTTCCCAGCCCTCCAAAAAACCCCATCCAGCACAACCCCAAAAACCCCCAAACCCATAAACCCAACCCCCCCTCCCAGCACCCCCCAGACTCAATACCAAAGTTTCAACCTCCAACGTACCCAACAATCGTCATCCCGTCCCCTCGCCATCAATATCGGCTATGCAAAAAAACCACCCACCCTGCACCTACACAGTACCACAACTACCATATCCAATCCTACCCTATCCCAACATCCCCATCTCCCCACGACAACCAACCCAAAACAACGCCTAACCCACACATGAAATCATCAGCTGTGGAGAGAGGGAGGCGGAAAAGCAATCTATACGCCAGGAAACCGGGGTGCATATGGAGATGAAGAGTTATGATAGATCAAGCAGGCCGAGAAAGTGTTGGCGAGTAGAGTGAGTGAGTTTTCGCCAGTCAGTCGGTTCATTTCATTGCTGCTGCTGCTGCTGATGCTGATGCTAGTCTAATCGCACGTTTGCATATTTCCCCCCGCTTCCCGCGGATGCAAAACTCTAAATTACCCCCCTGTAGCCATGTTCTCGTTGATCATTAGAGAAGAAAAAGAAAGAAAACCCCCCTAAGCCCACTTGCCCAACACGCTCATAAGCACCAACCCTGAAACGAGCGCAAACATGGCAATCGACGTGCGCGCCAAGCCCGCAGTCAACAACTTGCCATGCATCCAGTCCCGCGCCAACATCTCAACGATGCCGACCCAGGCCAGAATACCGGCCGACAGGGCATCGAGGGTGCCAATAGCCACAATCGTGCTCGGGTCGTTGCCGTTAAACTCGTTGAGTACGCCGATGCCAATGGCCATGCCGATGGGGGTGATGAGCATGAAGACGCCAGCCATGATGCATTTCTGCAGCGTCGAGGCTGCGGCTTTGGGGAGCTCGGCGATGCAGGTGCCCAGGGCGATGCCCTCAAACATTTGGTGGAAGAGGATGACGATGAAGAGGGTGACGAAGAAGCTGTCGCTGGCGACGACGAGGGTGATACCAATGACTGGGTTGGCGAGTTAGTGGGGGAAGAGGCGAGCAAGAACGGGTAGGGGAAAGAACATACGGATGGAGTGGAAGATGATGCCGGCCTCGAGGTTCATCACATTGATCTTCTCCTCCATGGGCGTGGGCTCACGCATGGGGCCATGGGCATGAGCGATCCCGTGGCTGCGATTGAAATCGTGGTCTGGCGTGGGAGAAGGTGCGGAGCCGTTGGTGGACTTGTTGTCAGGGCTAGGTACTGCGACCTCTGCATTCGAGCCCACGCGTTTGTTCTGACGCCACTGTACAAAACGGGCGCCGAGGTAGTCGACGACAAAAGACAAAAAGAGGCCGGCCATGAAGATGGCCGAAGTGACACCTTCATACTGCAAAACGCCCAGGCATTCGCTTGCGAACATGAGCTGGGCATGGGTAAAGAGATGGATAAAAGCAGTGGAGATGACGATGCCGGTTCCGAATTGCTTCAGAATGACAAAGACGATGTTGTTCTGCCCGATGAGGTTGAAGCGGGTGGTTAGTACCGGGGTAAAGACTCCAATGCCGCTCGTGACGAGAATGACAAACAAAAGGCCGACACGAAGCCTGACGTTGTAGTCTCGTGTTGGTGCGTCACAGCTAGCTTCTCCCGATGAACCTCCCGTGCAGTGTCTGGAGATGGTTAGCGTTGATGCCGGCCGAATTTGAATGAAGAGATGGCTTACTCTACTCCAGCATGAGAGTGACAGTGCTCTTCCGCTCCTGCGGGTTCGGCTGCCGTTCCTTCTGCGTCGTCTTCGCAATGTCTGGAGAGGGTTAGCATGGATCTGGTGACGAAATACAAAGTAGGCATACTCGACTCCGGCATGGAAATGGCAGTGCTGTCCAGTTCCTGCAGGTTCGGCTGCAGGTTCTTCAGCATCGTCTTCGCAATGTCTGGGCATGGTTAGTATCGATCTGGCCAACTGTGCCTGAAAAAATAAAAAAAGACGTACTCGACTCCGGCATGGTAATGGCAATGCTCTCCCGATCCGGCAGGCTCTTCCGACTGATTATTAGCTGGCGTGGTGGGCGTTTCCGTGGGTTCGACCAAGACTTGGACGTCCTGGCCAGCTTCATCTACACAGAAGCTGCTTGGTTGTTAGCAAGATGGCCGCTACAGAACAGCGCAAACCACGTACGTCTCGGAGCCGCCATGGGTATGGCAGTCGGTATACTGAGATTGGAATTCTTCGGTCCTGGTCGGGCCGACAATCTGGTACTCTTCTGTACCATACATGCACCAGCTGGGATTGATTAGCGCCTGGTGGGATACTTTTGTGGTAGGGGCAGCTTTGTTTTCTTTCGTCTGCAGACTTACTTGACAGTTTGATGGGCATGGCAATCCGAGACTGCAGTGATGGACTGTGTCGGTGTGGCAGCTGGAGCAGACGATGGCGGTGCAGTGGTTGTCTGCGCCACAGCGGCAGCAGCAAACAGCAGGACTGCGCTCGAAAGCGGCGAGCGTGCAGGTGAGAGCATGGTCAAAGGATGCTTTGGACTGACGAGCTCCGGAAGAGAGGAATTGGGGTAGTTGGTCTTGACAGGGCAAGGACTTGATATATCGACTATCGGATTCCGGCAACAGGTCTCAGTTTGGTAGGGGCGGAGCAGGGAGGGCCAAAGTACCGTGATGGGGTTACATTGTTTTTTTCTTCCCAGGACCCAGGCAGCATGACGAAGAATCTGCAATGGACAAGCCGACAGCGTTCTTTCCAGGTCGCGGCATGCCCAGGAGGATGTTGTGCTTGGCTTTGCCATGGCGCATTGAGTACCGTGTTGGCCAGAGGTGGCTTGGCAGGCATCCACTCTTCCCAGCCCTAGAGTCTGCACCGGGCCAAATCATCGAGGCCAGACGATTTTCCTTGTTCTTTCGGCGGCCGATTCGATTTCTGTTAGTGGTGTGGATAGAGTAGATCAGGGAGCCTACTCGAGGAAGAGAGCAAGCTAGGTGCGTGTGGGTGGACAGGAGTGAGAGTAGTCGAGTAGTCGCGTAATCGAGGTGACGGCTGTGCTTGGCACGGGCGGGCGTGGGTGGGTCAGCGGTGCAAGGTGGGTGGACGTTGGTGGTTTGCACGTGCCATGGCAGGATCACTTGGGGCACGACATGGTAGTCTGCAGCATCTACTCGGCCACTATATGCTGGTGGTGAGAGTGCCTGGAAAGAGGTATGCCTGTGTAACCGATGCCGCCATGGCAAGTCCATGAGTCTGGACAAGCAAGACTCCAGAGGCTGGCTGCGTTTGTTGTCAGTATCATGATTCGGTGGCCGTGTAGGTGTGTATGACTGACTAACGGGTTCCCCAGCACGACAATGGTTCTCACGCCCATTTCATCCCTCCCACCCACCACACATGCCTACCGCACCTACACAAACCCACACCACACACACACACACACACACACACACACACACACACACACACACACCTCGGTAGAAGTGGCGGCGTGGGGTTCCTTCGGGGTTCCCATGCGTGAAGACAGAGGATTCCTGCAACATCCCGCACCGAGACCCAGCCTGCTTGCCCAACGCAGGTACTCTTCCCGACATGTCGCCTCTTGGAAGTGACGAGTTTTTTTTTTCGCCATTGGTAGTCCATCACGGTGCTCCAGAGTAGTCCCAACCAACCACCCAGTCAATCCACCACCAAAGCCAGCCAACCACCAGGACCCATTTGAGCCTCATCGTCGGACATCAGCCCAGCTTTTCAGGCCCCCGCTACTCCCTCTCCCATCCCCTCACCCCCCCTCACCACCCCCACCCACGTACAGTATGTACCGTATGTAGATACCCGCCCAGATGATCCATGCCATGGCTACGTCAAGCCAAGCCGACCAGGTCAACTGTTGAGCCCCGTCTGGTGTTGTATCCGGCTCTTTGAACCCCAACCTGCATGGCATGGCCCGCTATCGCCATGAGGCGTACAAAGAGAGCGAGAAAAGAAACGAAGAAAGAAAAAAACAAACCCTGCGTCTGGCCCGGCGCTGGCTCCGACTAAGAGCGCGGTGGGAGAGTACCACAAGGGTCAGCCGTCGAACCACAGCCAGGTAAAGGGACGGTTTGGGCAATATAAAGAGCCACTTGCACCTGCTGTACTCGACCCTCCAAACCAGCCTCTCGGGACATCTCTACTTCTACCTCGTCCTCCTCTTCCTCCTCCTGCTTCCCCTCCTCCAAAACACAAGTCCATCCCCATTGTCCTTTGAGCAGTCCACAAACACTTCTTGTGTGACACTCCTCCCTCCCACCTTCACAATGGCTGCCCGTCTCTCCACCCTCCTCCTACTCGGAGCCTCTCTCGTTGCCGCCGGCCCTCTTGTTCCTCGTGCAAGTGAGCAAACCGTGACCGTGACGGCTGCCGCGCCTGCCTCGACAGCATGGAACGCCGGTGCCGTCCCCGAGTTCCCCATCCACGCCTCGTGCAATGCCACCCAGCACGCCTACATCAAGAAGGGTCTTGACGAGACCATCAAGCTTTGCAGCCAAGCACGCGACCACATTCTTCGCTTCGGCAACTCCTCGGACATCTACCGCAAGTACTTTGGGGATGCCCCCACGGGTGAGCCGCTGGGATGGTACACCAAGATTGTCGCCGGTGACAAGGCCGATATCCTGTTCCGCTGTGACAACATTGACGGCAACTGCAACCAAAAGGGTACGTCTTCCTCCTCTTCCTGCTCCAGTAGGCCCTTCATCCCACTCACATGACATAGGCTGGGCTGGCCACTGGCGCGGTGCAAATGCCACCTCCGAGACGGTCATCTGCGACCTCTCCTACGAGCTCCGCAAGCCCCTCGAAGGCCTCTGCATGTTCGGCTACAACGTCGCCAACGGTGCCACCAACACGTACTGGGGCTCCGATCTCCTGCACCGTCTGCTGCACATCCCCAAGATTGGCGAGGGCGTCGTCGAGCACTACGGCGAAGAGAGCAAGTACCCCGGTGTCATGTCCCTGGCCAAGGACAACGCAACCTATGCGGTTAGGAATAGCGATACCCTCCAGTACTTTGCCCTCGAGGTCTACGCTCACGATGTTGCTGTCCCTGGTATTGGTTGCCCGGGTACTTACACGGCTACTCCCACTGCTGCCCCGGCTTCTTCTTCCGCTGCCGCATCGGCTCCCGCTGCGGCTACCCCTTCTCCCGCTGCCGCGAGCCCTTCTCCCGCCGCTCCCCAGGAAGCCTGCACCCCCCACGACGACCACTGGTACGTTCCCCACCCCCATTTCCACATCTCCAACCCCCCCACTTTACCGCATACTGACCCAACGCCTAGGCACTGCCCTCCCGGCGTCCCTGTCCCCACCTCTCCCCCTGCCTAGATCGATAGGACCGCAGTCTTACTGTAGGATGCCATTGTAGAGCAAGAGGTAGCACTAACGACCTTAATGTCAAATACTCGGATGAGTAGACGTAATGATAATCCATGATTTTAAAATTTGGCGTTTCAATATAATGGTCGATGTTGTGATGTTGTGATGTTGTGATGTCGCATGTCTCAACTCGTAGGCGTGAGGAAGCATTTACCCAAGGTATCTTCCAGTTTTACCCAGACACCTTTATACGAGGTACCTAGAGAGTAGTGGGCCTAAGGGATACTAGATTGTTATAACAAGAATGTACAATAAATCAATCACTAGTGACTACAACATTGCTACGACTTTCTCAAAACGATGCTGGTCCAACCAACGGTGCGGGAAGTTGGAAGTCAGAATACTGAGGTTCGGTGGTCTACCGGTACCAAGGCTGCGCGCGCCATAGCCCTGTTGTGGAAATTGGGATCACCAAGGTCAGGAATGATTTAGGAGATGGATTATTGGATTAAATCTACTACGATTGGACTTATATATATAGAGCTTTAGCCACCCTTACTAGAAGGTGTGTAATTAGTAAACCTTCCTTACTAGAGCTCCTTTTTTCTATTAGGCACTTAGTAGTAAGCTAGTAGTAAATTAGATTGTAGATTAGCTAGGGGTATGGATTGAGGATATTAATCAGGGTTTAGATTGGTTAATTGGATTAGGATGCTCCATAATCTAGTTGGTATCCTTCCTACAACACAATAGCTTTCAAGAAAGGCCTATATATACTATATTCTAATGGCATTTTGCATTAATGTTTGGATAATCAACGATAATGGAACAGGGTTTTTTATCTTGAGTACACACGGTAGTCTACTTTTATTAGATCTTCTTGCACAATCTTTCTATGGGTGAACAAGGGATACTAACTGGATCGCATTGCCTTCTCCCGGGAGGGCTCTGAGTTAAACAAGTGCCACCCTTAGTATCTACTATGCAACTCTAAGATACGTTAATTTTCTATATGCAAGCTAACAAGTACAAAACTTACACCTATTGCACCGCTTTGCTGTGGGCTAGCTGGCTGCCGCCGATCAGGTAATACCTTTGCAGCAACATTGCAAGCAGCTATAGAAAGATAAAGGAGAACAATTTGTGCAGCGGATTTCATGTTGGCCGAGTTGAATAGATGCGATGACTTGGTGGTAGTGATGCGTGAAAGCTTGGAGTTTTATATCTTCCAACTGAGGGCGGAACAGACCCGTATTTATGCCTACCTTCGGCCCCATTTGGGGTAAGAACGGCAGTAATCCGGACGTGGCGATGAGCAAGAGATTTTAGACACATGTATAGTGGGGCCCCTATACCCTTGTAACAATGATCTATTGCAAAGATATTCGCTGTCTAACTGTCAGATGGAGGCATGAGAATGGAACCTCCCACCGGGCCCGTCCAACGTTCAAAGGCTGCGCTAATTCCCACCCTTTGGATACCTATTCGGTACTAGCGGCCCCATCATAAAATGGGGAGAACGGGCGCGCCCGAACGTGATCAGCCAATATAAAAAATCATTAACAATCATCTGTGGAAATTTGCATCACTGAGTTTATAAATGATTTAGGAGATGGATTATTAGATTGTATCTAACTAGAGAGAGCTTGAATATACAGAGCTCTAAGTTGCTATATCCCTAGGAGTCTAATTAGTAAACCTTCTTTACCAGAGCTCCATTACTTAGTGAGTGACATGGCATTAGGTAAGCAGTAGATCGACCAGGGGATCTATTAGTGGATCCAACAAGGATCAAATCAAGGATCAAGCATGGATATTGATCCAGGGTACTACAGCCCTTTGGCCAATCAAGAGGCTAGGATTCATATGATATCTACAGACTTCTATCCAGTCAGCGTTGCAGCTCTCTTAATAACCTGATGCCTCGTACAATGGCCCCTCTATCCTCTACTATGCTCGCTTACTTGTCAGACGAACTGCTGCTCAATATCTGTGCCCAGATTACGCAACCAAATTGTAACACTGACCTTGCGAACCTGTCACTAGTCTCGCGACGGCTGCGGCCCATTGCTTAGGAATGGCTTCTTAAGGAACCGTGCTTCAATCTCGCCTGGATCGACCTTTACCTTTGGCAGCTTCGTAGTCGCCCCGAACTCATCAAGCAAGTGCATACCCTCGACATTTGGAGCCGCAGCAATGGACGCGTCACACGTGATGAACGGAATCGCATTTGCCACGAGTATCCCAAAATCAAGGCAGCAACAGTGCTCGAAAACACACGCTTCCTGCCGCACTTCCTTTCCGTGCTCAAAAATGCCAAGGATGAACGGGTCATCAGTCAGATCGAGGAAGACGTCTTGCCCTTGCTGTTCTGCTACCTGGTGGTCAGCTTGCCAGGCCTGCGCGAGCGCAAACTCGGCGGCGCCTGGCTCATGGACTTTCCGATATTCGAGTGTGGACTGTCCTCTGCGCTTGGCAGGATGTACCTCCCCGGTGACTGGAGAAACTCCTTCAGCCTAAGCACCTACAAGAACCTCCTATCGCAGCTAACCGTCCTGGACGTCCCCGCCGACATGACAGCCATGCACTTCGCCCAAAGCGCACGCACCGTCTTTGACGTGCGCCCCTTCAAACCCCTCAAAGTCCTCGGCCTATCCATGCGAACCCTCCAAAAACTCCCGAACCAGGCTCCCCGCAAAACCACACAAAATCTTCCCACCAACACTCCAAATCCTCCGCATCAGCGAGGCCTCCCAAACCACACCCCATTTTCTCTGCCAACTCGCAATCGCAAAGAAATACGGCTCCCACCTCCCCGCCCTCGTCCGCGTAGAAGCCTACTTTGAATCCCGCTACAAAGCCTACTGCCACAATGCCTCCAGCCGCTCCCCTGCCAGGAGAATCATTCATATTCCCAAACTCTTCAAAGACGCTCACATCGCCCTCTTACTCTATTTTCCCCCCTTGGGCTTTTCGCACCTGGCACGCTGGCGCTACGCCCTGGTCCCTTCGGTTGCGCCGGGGTGGACGGCAGTTGGGTGAGCGGAGGTCGTCTGATTGCGAGCAGCGTGCTTCTCAGACCCCGTTTGTGCCGGAGGCGAGGCATTTGGTTGCGTGGTATGCTGATGGGACTAGGGTTAGGGTGGGGCGTCGGGCTGGTATGGCTTGAGGAATTAGTGAGGGGAGGGAATCTAGAAGCTTGGAGGTTGAGATGGTGCGCTGTGGGGTTTTTGGTTTTCAAAGGGTCAGGTGGTTTGTTCGGGTGCGGTATTCTACTGGCTTCTGGTATGTGAGACTCGCGGCTTTTTTGAGAAGTAGATGAAGGCGCTGGTGTGGTCTGGTGCGGTGGGGTATGAGGGGTGATGCTTCATGGTTTATGGTTTGCGATTGAATGAAAGCGTAGCGATGGCCTGGACGGTAATTTTTTCTTCATTCTTCGAGGCTTAAAGGGCCTATGGTAGACTGTATGGGCATTGCAAAGGACCTTTTGTGTGACTTTTCTTTGCTTGGTTTACGGCTGGATTTTTTAGTTTTTGATTTGTAAAGTTTAGTTCATGATTCTTCATGTTTATAGTTTGATAGATCAAGATAAATTAATCAAGTTAAATCATACCATTATATCCTCACGGTCAATTGCTTCCCTCCCACCCAAATCCCTCGTCGAACCGATAACCGCACCGGGCGATGCAGGCTTTGGAGCGCGTTGGTAGGGGGGAGGGTGCGGGGATGAGGGTTAAGTGCGGTGTGTTGGGCGCGGTGGAGGTGTTGAGGTGGGGGGAGGGGAGGGAGGGGGGTGGATGGTAGTTATGTGGTAGTAGTGTGGTAGTTTGGTGTGTGGTTATGAGCATGTCGGAGGTAAAGTCGGCATTCCTTGAATACGCTAGTTAGAACAACCAGTCTTCAAAATCCCGCATTACAAAACAGACAACGAGCGTACCCCTCAACTAAACAGAAGTCCAAAGATACCATTCATTCCCCTCTAGGAGAAACCTTGAGATACTGTCGTTCCTTAGGCTTATGCGCAGAATGCCGATTATAATCCACACGCGGAGGCACCGTCAACAGCCTCCCATTCCCATCCTGCAGGCTAAATTCAAACGCCGCAACAAAGTACGCAAGAATAATATTCTGCTCCAGCTTAGCAAAACGCATCCCAAGACAGGGGTGACGGCCAGCGCCCCACCCGACGAATGCGTGGTCTTTTGCCTTGTCTTCAGAGCGCCCGGGGAGGTAGCGCGAGGGGTCCCATTTGTGGGGATCGGGGTACACGGTCGGGTTGAGATGGATGTCGCCTGTGGCGTAGGTGACAAAGGCGCCGGGGGGTATGACTTCGTCTCCTGTGCCGGTTGGGATGGGTTTTCCGCTGATGTTGCGTCGTAGAGCTGTGCCGAGGAGGTTTAAGCGGATGGAGTCGCGCAAGCATAGGTCTATGACTGGGAATTCGTTTTCCCAGGCGTCCAGGGGTATGTCGTCGAGTTGGTTGTAGAGCGGGGCGTTTGGGTTTCTTGCATGTTTGGCGGCGGTGGTGCGGATCTCGTTGTGGACTCGATGAAGCCATTCTGGTGAGGTGGCTAGATAGCAGGCCACCCATGCTGCGTTGATGCCGCTGTTGAGTAGGCCTGCGAATAAGGCGCCGAGGATGAATTCGACGATTTTAAAGGTTTGGTCGCCTTGGTCTAGTAGGTATTGTAGTGCGTCGTCGTGCTTTTCGTCGCTGGCCGCTCGCTTCTTCAGAATCTTCTCAATCAGCATGTACAACCGCCCGGCCGCATACGTGCGCTTGACAACGCCTGGAGACGGGAGTTTGGGGAAGATGACGGATAAGGCGGTGGAGCTGTTGTCGAGGGTTTCAAACAGGCGCAATGTCTCCTCGAGCACTTTTGTCTCGTCTGCAATCTCATCGGCCCCAACCATGCGGATGGTGAGGCGAAAGACAATCCGATACAGACTCTCGAATGGGTCGGTGATGCCGCTGGGGTCGTTCCTGATCGCTTCTATCGCCTCCTTGGTATCCGAGATCAAGATGGGCAGCTTGCGACGAAACTGTTCATTCTTCAAAAGATACGCCAGCCGACGACTGAAATGATTGTCATCAGCCTCCTGCGCCTCGTTCGCATGATTCTCAAGAGCCTGCACCTGCCCAAAAAGCACCGCATACCCCTCCTTGAAGCTCAGTCCTCTCGACTCGAAAAACACCTGCCGCCCCTTGTCGCCCGAAAGCCCGATGATCGTGTGCGCGCCCGCATGCCAGGAGAAATTCCCAGTTAAGGATTCGTCGCGCTTCCGCTTGAACCAGGTCCAGCGTTCGGTCCAGAAGCCAATTGCGCTGACTATAGGCGCATCGTCGCTGACGGGGGGAGGCGCTTTGGATGGTATTCGGCGCAGGAAGAGCGTGTGGACGATGACGAAGAGGGCGGCGAGGACGGTGAAGGTTGCCAGCAACCTCAACGTGTACCAAGATGCGATGCAGTCGACCATGCGTGGCAATGCCATTTTGCAATCGCCAGTGAGCTGCGATGCTAATCGCGTGTAGAGAGATATGCGACGGCAATATGACAGATGATTCCCTTGTATTGTCGCCACAGCAGCGTGGTCCCAAGGTCAAAAGCGTTCGAAATAGCCTTGCACGGGAAAGAAGAGACGCAAGTCCTACCGTACATGTCGCAAAAACAAAAGCAGAACAGCAGGCGGGAAAAGGGTGCGCCGCACTCACTAGCATGCTACTATGCTGCCACATCCTCAGCCTGCGGGTGCAATCAGCCTTTTGCCATTGGCTTTTAGAACCCGCCATGCTACCGAGGCGATGCAACGACGTCGTTGTGGTTCACAGCGCGTCATCTTCGTTTCCTAGCGCCGGCCGCCAGCTTGCCGAAGCCGAATGTGTTGGTAGAGTAGGGAGGTGCTTCAGGTTGTGAAGGGGGTATTTTATATACTGAGAATACGGCTGTTTAGACGGTATATGGTACACAGTGAAAGAATACGTTCTTTAATAACCCATCCACTCTGTACCATCATCGTACGTGCCTTTTCCGTGTTACATGGGCTAATAGCCAGCTCCTCCACACACATCCTTTTACTTTCAAACATACTCCCAATCATCATTCCCGTAGAATTACCAGCTCACCTCCTTCCAAGTAAATCATAATATAAAATACCTCCAGCAAAATAACCCCAACTCAGCGCACAGGCCCCACACATTCCAGAACCTGAAGCACCTCCGCAACACAAATCCCCCAATCAACACTGCCGAAAGAACAATCAACCACCAAGCCATCGGCCCATCCCCGGCTCCTTGAACCACAGTCACGGCCACGTACAATCGAACATGTGGTTGCATGCCGAGGACGTTGTACAGCATCATTGTACGCGTTGATTCGCATCCTCCCGATGGAAACCGACGAATCAAGGCCAGCCTCCGATGAATCCCAAATGATCATTGTACCCGCGCAAACCCCACCGAGGATGCGAAGCGAGGCGCAGTGGTAATTCTTTTCTGTTGTACCGGTAGTTACTTACTTCGAACCGACGTCGCTTGGATTGTACCGTATGACGCCGGTGATCCCTACGACTTCGCCTCAGCAGGATGTTCGGCCCGTTTGGGAGCTGCCTGGCCGACCTACTCTCCGGTGATTTTACCATGTACATATTGTACTGTGTACTATGTGTGTCCTTGCTTCGTCAGATCAAGTTGCTTCGAGAGCTGTGGTTTTTCGGCAGAATAAAGAAAGACAGCGGTGATGGGATGAGATGTTAAAGACGGTTGGTAGCTTCATGGACCGAAACACGTGAGAGCCTTTAACAGCGCCAAACAATCACTATCAACGTCAACGCCTGAAACTTGCAACAGAGCGCGCGCAGTTCAAGGGATATGGACCATTGAACTCATACACAACACTTCAACAGCCCACTATCTGATTTTTGGATGAAAACTGTGACATCGTAGCAACTACGAGTCGTCTTGTAAATGTTCTACGAATAAGATAGACTTGGACACTCATACTCACCTTGACAGGTGCATCTCATCGTAGATATCACCATGGTAGCCTCTCATCCTCTAATGACTCCAATGTCCAATGTCATCGCTAAACTACACCCCGCTAACATCGCTGCAGTTTCGTTCTCTATGGAACTGCCTGCTGAGAATCTTCCCAAAGTCCCTCCTTCCGTCGGCCTGACTCCTGAGAGTGCGCCGCGAGTACCCTCATTCTGACCTTCTTTCTCAGCATCTCGGATCGGTGGCTCTTCGATGCCATTGTGCAAATCTTACGCTTCTTGGTGTTTTGGCAGATTTCTCTTGACAGTGAAGCAAATGTTGGTTGATGTTGCAGTAGGTAGTCATGTCCCACGAAGTTTTAGTCTTTCATCCTGTCTCTCTTGATGAAGCGCTCCATGGTCCAGAGTCTAAGAGGAAGCGCTCTACCAGGAATGCGCTATTGCAAGAGTCGAGGAGCAAATCGGGATATTCGTTCTCGTCTGTTTAAGGTTGCTATTGCCCCAGCATTCTAAATGCCAGTCACGTCCCAT